CGTGACTACAGGCGTGTCTTGCCCTCGGAGCGACTCAGCGACTCCGCTTTCAAGGTCTCAGACCTTGAGCTGTAGGATGCTCAAGCCCTATTCCGGAACGGTCCGGCGACGAACCCAGAAACAAAAAAAAATAAAAGAAGTTCCAGGCGCACCGACATGGTGCTGGATGCCATCTTGACAGGCTGGGCCTGGTTCCCGTGAATACGAACATGAGGTTATGATATTCATTGGGTGGATTGATGGAGAAAGCTGGACCGATTTCCCACGTTTTCCTCTCCGTCTCTTATGCATCGCCGGGAGTTTGATTATGGATTACACCACGATGGCGGCTATCTCTTTTCTCGCGTTGTCTTTCGAAATTACTTCGCGCTCGGCTCTGCAATGGCTGGTGATGTCCTCGACCGGCTGGACTCGGTTCCGCCAAGTCTAGCCCTGGCTTTATCACTATACGGATATCTTCCCAAGGAAAATATCCCTATGATGCCGTCAGGGACCATCCCATCCGGCATCTACTTGCAGAAACGAGCGCCTTCTCGAGTTCCACTCGCTTTATCTCTTTTTATACCCCGTCTGGGGCTCCACATCAACCCCAGAGGGGTCTTTTTCGCATGGAGGATAGAACATTGCATGGATACGCATACCAATACACCAATACCACCCGATCCGACACGAAACGGACTCGGGACCTGAACTCATGGATCTGCCACTGGCGGGCAGTGGCGCAGATAGGGCTCTGATATCAGTCGATCGGCGATCGACACCTTCGTTGTTTTTGATCTGCCGTCTTTCTTTCTTTTTCTTTGCTGCAGTGCTGTTTTCCTTGCGCATACGTCTTCTCTATGTCGCTGGTTCGAGATCAGATTCACTCGCCTTTCTTTTTTTTTCTCTTTTTGTCTGCCATACCCCCCTTGTGTTACTTGTCTTTTAATGCCTGTTGTTTTCGGTCTTCGGGAGGACTGGACAGACCGGCCTTGTATCGTTCTGATTCAAGTCTCTTTCCTGAAGTAGTTTTTTTACCCTGAGTTAGATACCTCACTGCATTGATATAACGGCTTTATCATTACTATACCACAATTCTGGCTTTCCAATACCCATCGCGAGTATGCCCCAGCATACCGAAACTAGAATAACTATCTTCTATCCAGACAACCCCCGAAACTCACCCCGCCAGCCCTACCATCCAACCAAAAAACCCCCCATTCCCAGCCGCGTCTAGAACAGCCCATTAGCACCTTCCCAGACTGACCAATCCCCTCAAACCGGAGTTATTTGATCAACCGCAGCAACCCTCCACCCTCCACCCACCATTCCGAGCTCAGCACCAGCCGCACAGGTGCCATTCTCATCCCAAAACGCAGATCTACAAAAATATCGCCAGACTAGCCCCAGCCATGCTACCCCCAACCTGCATATGGCCCCACGTGCTTGGCTTCTTGGGCGCTTTGTCACAGTCGTGACTTGTCAGCCGTCACTTCTGTGAGGCCGTCTTGGCCCTCGCGCAGGACGTGGTGGGCGGTGCTTGGCAACCCTCCCCCAAGGCCAAAATTCAAACGTAAGCCCCCAGGCAGCAACGGCTTATGGGGGCTATAACCGTTCTAACGGCCCTCTAACCCCCCACCCCCATTCTTGGGTCAGTCGGGGTGGATTTTAAGCCCGGCCCGATGGGCTGAGTGATACGTGCAGGGATGTTTGGAGGAAGCCTGGAGGGTTGGGGGTTGTAGCTGCATAGGCATCACTTTTTACGGGTCAGGGTAGTGAGGGGACTAGTGCTTTGCTTTGTTTAGACGTTTCGTTGGACTTGGCATGACGGATGGAGGGGGAGGGCCTGGGGGTTGCCAGCGTTATGTATTGTATTGCCCGAGGTGGATATGCCTTTTTCTTTGTTAGAGTTGGGATCTCGGTATTCGGCTTGCTGGGCTAGGCTGGGTTGGTGCTAGCATATACTATACTGTACTCGGCCGTTTAGTCTTTGTCCACGGCTTGTAACGCTGTTGGTCGTGTGAAGTATTGAACCCGCCTGGAATCGGAGTTCGGATCCGATCGGAGGGTTGGGATGTTGCGCCAGTTATGCAGGCTGATAGGTACAGTACTTCATTGCGTTATGAAGAGGTTTGCTGGCGTCTCTGCGGAGCACAGTATGCTGCTGTATACGGGTGAAACAGGCGATGGATCTAGACTTGGATCTACTTCTAAATTTGAATGTGAACTATCTGGATCTGAATCTGAATCTGAATCTGGATGTGAGTCAGGTCGATCGAGCTTTTGTTTCAGCCCTGAGGGTCCTAGACAGTCGAGCGGGTTATGTTTGACTCGATAGTGCGTATGGAGTATGTCGATCATCGACACTATGGATGATGCCATAACGAGCGTACCTGAATTCGGTACCCTATGTCTCAAAGTGTATTTTGTAACCTTCGCGCCTTTAGGAAGAAAGATCGCAAATCTGCCGCGGGCAAAAATAGCAAGCTTCAAAAACAAGACATCCGTAGCATGGACATCATGTATTTCTATCTTGACTCACGGCGGTATCCACGCTCTGCTTCTCGCTCTTTCTCTGGGTCAACCTCAATAAAGAAAAACTCACAGAGCGTGCCAACCTCAGTCCTAACTGCAAGTTCTGACAGTGGAAGCTTAATACTGTATGACTACAGAGAAAAGCAATCGCAACACCCACATAGTCAATTCCGCCTAGGCAATAATATGTCGTTCTTGGGAACAACTAGTAGTTAGACTTTCCTAGGCGGCCCTTTCAGGGAAAAGGACCCGCAGACTGGCGTTCGCCAACCAGCGCAATAGTTAACGCCCGGGTCCCAGATCGCCTCGTGAAACGAGACAAGAAAAGACAATATTCTCCACTTATAGGCGCCGGCATTTACTGGTACATATGGAGTACGAGAGTAAATAGTACTCTATGTGCTCCGTATTCTGGTCACTAGGGCAGAAGTGGGCGTTGCAGTATTTATGGTGAGATTAGGATGTTCGCGATTATTGGTTTCCGAAACTTACTTTTCGTAGGGCAGGAGAGTTTATTCTCGCGTGGGCGCCAGAAATTGACCCACAGAAACTCGAGGGAGAAAGAGGATGAGGAGCATTACTTCACCTCATGTTGAAATACGGATACTATACTTTTAATGTGGCTATCATTGGATTCTAAAGGAGAGTCAATGTGAGTATGTGGTTGCCTGATGGGATCAAGAAGTACAATACTTTAACATTGCAAGTCTAGATGCAAACCCATGGATAATTCCGGGAAACGAGATGCGCCGTCGAATCATAAGGCACCAATTCATCTAATGGGACCTTGAAATCTTTCGACGGAGTTTTTCATTGGCGTAGCATGTAGATAGTAGATAGCTTCTGTGCTTTGTACTGAGAGTACGGAATATTCTAGATTCCTTAACAGTCTCAACAAAGCCATGGCTGCCCGAAGCAGCCAGCACGTGGGGACATCAGCCTTGGAAAATTTCAACTAAAAAAGAGGAAACGAGGATCCGACGCACCCCACAGTTCAGAAACTAACCTCGAGGGAACAGTGTGAACCACTCATACGGAGTATGTCTCCGTGCTGTAGGTACAGAAGGGTGGATTTCGTTCTTCGGGCTTCGGGGATTGATCCAAGCTAGCCATTACGGAATCATGTTTGAAGTGAAACACATGGGTCGCGACTTGCGAGCTGTCTTCGATGTACATTATTGTAATTCTGGCCTCTTCCATACAAAAACCCACGTCCCTCGTGGTGTTTTCATTACCCGTTCACCCCCTTTTTTCCTCCCCACTAGGGCCGCTCAGCCACAGTCAGATCATTGTTCGCTGTTTCAGAGTGGGCTGTGGGGAATTTCTTTCTCCACTTCTTCCTCTGATGAACTCTATGAGGTAGGTTTAGAGGCTGATCGCGGCTGCTGGTGGCAGTGTGGGAGGCTGGTGTGGCTTGACGGAAACTGTTCCAACGGCCGTATGGATATACCAAGTACGTATCGGAGCATTACCGCTTGTATTTTTCTATGCTGCAAGAGGTCTGGTCGATGTGAAAGGGCGTTATTTTCACTTCTGATGACCCTCAAGAATGTCGAGTGCGTTGTCTGTGTCTCAGGCTGAGAAGCCTGATCCTGGCGTTTGGGATCGTGGCTTGGTGTTTTGCAGGAGCGGTTCGGAATAGATGCCGAGCTGTCTATGCCGCGTGTTGAATCCCCTTTTACATAGAAGCTAAGCATTCCGAGCCTTATATGGCAGATACATACGCACATGGCCTGTATCGAGCCCGATGATACTCTGCAGCTAGGAAGATGGAGTAGGGGAAAATGAGTTCATGTCATGGAGGGCATTGACTCTTCCATACTCGGCACTATCTTCGAGGAAACAACCCCGGTCAGTGAGACACGTAATTCCACGTCGGTGGCTCACAACGGTCCGATCATAGTAAGTCCCCCCTGCAGGGCCTTGCGCGGGCTTGAGCGCCCGAGTCCAAAGTGGAGTGTGACTACAGTAGGTAAGTACAGCGACTGTCAAAAACGCGCTATTCGTTGCGTTGTGCTCTTCGAGTCTGTGCCCATTTGTCCATGTCATCGAATCGACGTAGGCCCCTGTTGTACCGCGGTGGCTTGACGGCTGATGGGGCGATGCTAGCCCCCTGTCATCTCGGTTTGCGATGCATGCATCTTGTTGGTTGCTGTGTTGGAATGAGGTATTTTGTACTCCTGCTCTCGGCCCCCTCATGAGCCTTCTGGACATTGACAGGGGTGGACCTTGGGGCACGTCGGGGATTTTTGGTGGGGGCGGTCGATTCATTGAATTGTTTGATCAGCATTATGGATTGATTGATGATCTACTTAGTGTCACAGATGTAGTTGTCAATTGATTAAACGAACAACAGATTAATTGCTCGGCTATGGACAGGGTTTACAAGATGGAAAGTCGTTGATGCGTCCAGTTTCATTGGCGGGTTGTCCTGCCTCTCACCTCGCAGTCCACAATTGGTCTTTCCATTAATGAAAGTATCGTGTTTAATTATCAGGTACATCGTATAACATCTTCTGACACACCCACTGGGCCGTCTTTGTGTGGAGAGTCCAATATCGCTCGTCCTCAGGTGCTTGAGCCGCCTCGCTTCCAGAAATACCCACTTTGTCTCCAATTTTCCCAAGAGCCTCAAACACTACGATTTGGTCCCTCATGTGAGAGTCTAGACATGATCTCTTCGCAGCTGAAGATCCAGTTGGTCCACCTTGTCGGTCCGTGGGGGTATCATCTTGCGTCTCGGACAATTCCTCGATGAATCCTTGCACGCAGCTGTCAATCATGTCGGAGACTCTTTGTAGATGTGCTTCCGAGTTACTCTTCTTCGGAGGCGGTCCCTGACCATTTTTGTATTTTTGGTGCTTTCCAGGTTTCTTCTTTGTGGACATGTGCCCCTTGTTATCGCCTAGCAAGGCATCATGACCAATTCGGAATCCCGTGGAAGTATGCGCGACAAGAAGGATATATAGTCGGCTATAATGAGATGTAATTTCTGTTGGAGACAGATCAATGGGCATACGGCTTTCTCCGTCCAATGGCTCGGCAAGAATCGACGAGTCCAATGATTTCAAAGCCTTGCGTAGCCTGCGAAGAGTCTCTCGCTCAACGTAGTTGGCAACGGTCAGAGATTGCCTATGCTCAATGGCTTCCTGGAGAGTATCGTTTGGTGCGAGGATAGTAACGGTAAAGCGACTAATCTTCCCACGCTCATAGTTCATAATGTTGACCCGTGGAAAGCGAGACGCGCGTTCAGCATCTACGCGCTGCGATGGTTCCGTACCTACGGACACATCTTCGGGCTTCGGCAAAGGACGAATAAAGAAGCTCACTTCACCCATTCCCATGATCCCTGTGGTCCAGCCACGCTTCTGCAGCGTCATCGAGAATGGAGGAAGACCCAATCGAGCAAAATTCGGTGCCATGACTTGAGCAGCGTAGTCGTAGGAAGGGGAACTAGTCCCGTTCGTGCCACCGACAATGTTCACTCTGAGGCATTCCGTCGATGCGCGCGATCCAACATGCAACAGGTAAGGGTACAGAGCCTGGAAAATGAGAAAGACAGATCCCGGAGTTGTCAATCGAATGTTGTACTCTGTCTTCACGGAGAGAGTGGCTAGCGATACGAGCGGTACATTTTGAGGTTGTTGGGTCGTGTCTGCTGATTGCTCGTCCTCCTCTGTACTGGCTTGTGGTGGCGTGAATGTCAAACACTTCGATCCCACATTTCCATCCGAGACGTGGCTGCCACTAATTTCAGCCAGCAATTTGACCGCTGCTGCGTGCGATGCTTTGAGGCCAGTCTTTCCTCCGCGATTTCCGCGGACGTGATCTATCGTCACTGCTCGGCCTGTCAATGCCGATAGTCCCAGGGCAATTCGGACGAGTTGCCCGCCTCCTTCCAGCGTTCTTCCATCAAGATGGATGTGGTGAGATTTCTGTATAGTCTCGGCTCCACTTGAGGCTAACCGGATCGGAAGTTTAGAGGGCGCCATTTGGAAATCCCAAATGAGCGATCGTGCTGACTGTGAACTGCCAGGATAGATGGGGAAAGGCGATCTATTCAAGGACGCTGGTTAGCAAAGGCAAAGTTGCAATCACGGGCGACTCTTTTATATCATCAAAAGCTCTTCTCTCCAAAATTTTCTTATAATCATGTCGGCGACCATTTTCGGCCTCGTGTTGTGGTGATTGAGTCAGGCCAAGGCTGCATCCAATGGTATTGGTGACTCACTCTGCATTAGTCGCGTTCACGCGCTTGGAACTATTCAGACTAGCGGCAGCGCCTTGCTCACTAGCCGATGCTTAGTTCGTATCTGGATTTGCGTTGATTTCCAAACGCAGGGTCGTGATCGAGGTATGATCTCAATTCTTGAATTGAAATCCAACCCTGCTTGGTGTCTACGGCAGCAACCTTCCACTGCCTCGAGGTTGACTTGCACCTGCCACGATGGACCACTACGCACTTTCCACCCGCTGGCAATGCCGAAAGATGGAATGCCCATTACTTTCGAAATGCAGCTTTTTGGTCCTTTTGATCATCCCTTTACATCAATTCTCATTCACGTACCACGTACCATACAGAATTTCACATTATGTTTTCCTCAATCAGTACTCGCGATCGTCTACGGAGATCCATGTCCACTCGTTCCATGCGAAGAGCCCGTCCAGTTCGAGAGCCAGAGCCAGTCAACCCGGAAATCGCCAAAGCTCAGGCAAAGGCGGCTGCATCACGGGCAATGCGCTCAAGCGCGTCCTCGGCGGAATCCAAGGCATATGATCGATTAGGAGGGCCAGCACAGGTGGCAGTTCCTAAGAGGCGACCAGGTTCAAGCCTTCGGTATACAGAAGACGATGCTTCCGTCTATTCCGCATCCATTGTACCTCCCGTGACGCCTCGTCAATCTACGGAGAAGAATGGGACGAATCGAGGACATACACTCGAAGACTTGGCCGCATTGCCCCCAATCACCGAGCTCCAGGGACTAGATGGACGAGATAGTTCGGTGCCTTCGTCATACCGCCGACTGCGCAAGGCCAAGTCCATGTTCTCAACCCGAGCTCGATCTTCTCATGTGCCATTTGGGCCACCGCCGATGTCCCCTCGAAATGCCTGTGAACTAGAACGAAGTCCGGAAATCGAGCTACCTCGGACCCTACGGCCTTCTACCTCCTTCATTCGCGGCCGTCGCCATGTCAATCGAGCAATTAGACATGCCAAGAGCCACGATGTAGCCATTCAGCTCGCCCGCAAGCAGTTCATGGAGGAAGCTGAAAGTCCGGCAACTCAGATCAGGCGCTCGTCGTTCTTCAACCGACGCAAACGAGAACACAAGCCGTTTCGCAAGACGTTCCGAGTCACGAGCGATACTGGGCCAATTCCAGGCTCTACACCAGAACACGTTTCTCGACGGGCCTCGCGCAGTAGATCTCGAACCTTCTCTTCATCCATCAAGAGCGGCTTCCGGCGTGTCTTCGGAATTTCGAAGCCTGCTGGGCTTCAGCAATCCGAGTTCAGACTAGAAGCAGAGGACCTGTCCATCGCACGACCAGATTCGACGCTTGAAAATCATCCTACTGGGCCTGCAATCAGTGGCGACATGAGTATGGACCATTATCTGCTGTCCAGTCCTCTTTCGGTCGATTCTCCAGGAGACACCAGCCTCTGCACATCCAAATCCCGCGTGACTAGCTGGGCAGATTCGTCCGTCGCCAACACAGTGATGACACGAAAGACCCGACACCGCCAGTCACTATCTCTGATTGAAGAGCATGGGGATCTGAACAAGCAATTGCCCCAAGTGCCTGGTAATCGCACCGGTCGCCAGCTTCCCCAGTATGAAGAGACCATCATCGGATCGGACATCAATGCCGGTGGACTCAACAATTGGGCCGATAGCAATGACTTATATTCAGCGCTAATGCAGAAGATTAGACGGCAGGCTATGCATACACCCGATGGAGAAATTGTCTTTGGCACGGTCCCAGAACATCGTGCGATTCCAGAGCGCACATCCTCGGTATATTCACATCGCAGCAGACGCACGATTCGGCACATCCCCAGCGAAGAATCATCGATAGCCGGATCATTTGCAACCGCACGTGTTGGTGACTCAAAGTCTCCACAGCGGCGCCAACCAGGGCCTCTTTCACACACTTCGGGCAAGTTTGCGCAGTGCAAATCTGGCCAAGAGACCTATTCGCCTCTCAACAATTTCTCGGGGGCAAAGTCACCACGTTCGCCTTCCATTGTCGGCGAAGAGCCAGACGATGATACTGGGAGTGTTATTATTGCTCGCTTTGGGGCTTTGCAAGCAGGAACTGGGTCTCCCAGTGTCTACTCGCGAACGACTAGTGGCAACACCCCCACAAAGAACTCAAGTGGATGTGTAGCCAGCTTTATCGATGGCGAGACAGGAACTGCAACTATATTTGCTTCTCAGCGAACGGCTTATAGCTCGCCGACTCGAACTGATGGCTCCATCCCATCAAGCACCCCCATGGAACCCAGTGCGGACTGGCAAAAGTGGATGAGCTCCCAAATTGAGAGGATCGAAAAAACAAGCCCGACCAGAGAGCACCTTCGCGAGGATACCCGCTTCGAGGACGATGATGATCAGATATTCATGGGAATGCTGAAGCGGACTCCAGCACCAGCCCCGGAAATTCATGAGCCTTATGTTCCTGAAGACGCAAGCTGTGTTGATTCCTTACCACGGGAAAATCCCAGGCCTCTGGCTCAAAACAATTTCTCTCATCCATTCAGTCGAGCTTCTAGCGTACGAACCATCTTGTCGTCGCAGAAGGTCCAGCCTCTTGAACCAATGCAAAATCGGCCAAATCCCTCGGATGCTGAAGATGTCTCTGAGCCTTCTGTCTTGGATACTTCGTCAATGTCTGCTCGGATTCCCATCGGCCAGAGTCCATCGCCAATTCGCATTAGATCTTCCAACATGCTCGCGCCTCCAGAGTCTCCAACTCCTCGCCGGACTGGTCCCGAGTCACAGAAGCGATTGTGGACTCAGGAACAATACCGACATTACTCTGCTCGACGCCCAATCGCAAAGGGGAAGTCCAACTCATTCCGGTCAATGTGGAGCTACCATGATGCTCACGGTACGAACAATGAAAACACCCGACAGCAGGAAGAGCATGACGAGATGATGGACGATTATCACAAACTCCAAGATGTTCATTCGACTATTTCCAGCAAGCGCATGGTGGACATGTTTCTGGACAGTCGACGTCGGAAGATGGGAAGAGAGGGATCTGGGAGCACCGCTGCAGGCGAGGCGTTTATTTAAATTCATTCAAGGAGCCCTGGGTGGAGGGTTCCACGTCTTCCACCTACCCAGATGATCGTTGAATTACGGGGTGGATTGTGATGGATGTTGACGACGATATATATCCTTCCCTGGTCACTCCTTTCCACGTGGATCATCAATGTTGTCAACAGCGGATAACAACTTGCTATACCGTATATCTGTTATATCAGCAGCTTGTAGGTAGCAATAAAATGCGATTCAATAGTTATCTTTACAATATTGCTTGCCTCCAAAAATAAGAGAATCCGACAGAAGATATCTATAATAACCGCATAATGTTTGATGCAAAAAGAAACTCTCCCTCGGGGAATCGAACCCCGGTCTCCCGCGCTTATCAGAGTTAATGACAAGCGGAAATCATGACCACTAGACCAAGGAAGAAGTGGATGGTCGAGTTACTGCTCGGCCACTTGGTACTGGTTGATATCAAAAAGCGCATATTGTGAATCTATGAGGCAGGAATTTGCGGATAGATACAAGACATCACAACTCTCCATACTTGACATATAGCCATGAGATGATTTTAAAGGTCGAACAACTGCATTGATTAAGATGTGATTAAGCCAATAATACAACAATACCTGTACAGGCCTTATTATATAGTCGATCAAAGCAGACAGTTGGTGACCAGCCGTAGATACTGAATGGATCCATTACTGAGATGATTCCTGGCGCAGCTAGCACGGGCAGGTATAGAGGTCAGCGAAGAACTCTAGAACTCTCATACATTCTGTTGAGCAAGCAGTACTGATTTTGTTCGTGCAAGAAGAATCCTCTTCTCGTGAATTCAGAACTAGATGACATGTAGAAAGACTTTTCAATAGCAGCAAGACAACACAAATCATTAATTGTCGTAACATATATTAGCGCCGAAGAAGTCGTCTCCTCCTTGGATATCACAATTTCCCAGTCCGTATATAGGATACCATCCAGCCGACTACCATTTCCCCAAACCCCGATCCAATATCCACCTCAACAAGCCTCTATTTGTTTGAAGGCCCGACGGGACCTTGTTTTTGATCACTCGACATAATTTGCCGGAAACGCTCCCTGCATACCGCGCAACTCGCCTTCCCACCAGTCATCCGTGCTGTTTGTCTTCTGTATCACGCGAATTCGATCGCCCTCTCGGAAGACCAGATCCCCAGCTCCCTGCCCGTCAAAGTCGTATAGCGCCGTCACATAGTTTATCGGCCGGGGTGGTGGTGGGGGCTTCTTCTTTTTCAGCGCCGCCATGGCGAAGGGCTCTGTCCCTGCGCTGGCTGTGGTGTTTGAGGAGGCCTGGCGGTGCAATTGGAAGTGGTCGATGTTCGGGCCTGCAGGCGAGAATGAAACGCCCGTTGGGGGAGCGGCAGGCTGGATGAATGGACTTGGTGCTGTAGCGACTAAGGGAGGAGGCATGTACGAGTCTCCACCCGATGGGAGCGGCGGGGTACTCGACGAGCTTCCGACTGAGATAGGCGGCGTCATCATCGAGGAGCTCGGGGATGGAGATCGCATATCTGCTGCGCAGGGGGGTACAAGCATTGAGGGTGGCACGTTGTACCGGGGCACGCTGCTGCTGCCGCTGCGGATGGATGAAACCGAGGACATGGTGCTGATGCTTCGGCCGCCGATAGAAGGGCGCTTGTTTTGCGATTCGTGGGCCTGGGACATGCGGAGGGCTTTGCCGTGGGAGAGGCAGCTTAGACTCTCGACGTCGTCTTGGGCGGGTCTGTGGGCGCATTCCCAGTCTTGCACGAGTTGGTCCATTGGGGGTGGGGGGTTGGGGAAGCCTTCATCTTCGCAGTAGCCGGACAACGCAGTGTAGTAGTGCGCTAACATGCGGTTCTGAATCTCAACTTGGGCGCGGAGTATGAATGGGGCCAAGGAGAAGAGGAGTGAGATGAGAGTGGGTAGGCGCTGGAGCAGGTCTTGGTCTGCGTGTTGGTAGACCTGATATAGTAATTAGTGACTGCGTGAGATGGTGGGTAGTGCATGAAGCCGCTTACCTCTTTCGCCGTCGATAGATCTGCTTCTGCCTTGGCGAGAGTGGCATTTTCGCGATCAGAGCGCTTTGGTTTATGGATGAGGCTATCGACTTTGCTTTGAAAACGCTCATAATCCGACTGTCAATGGTGGTAATTAGTATGATGTCATTCCAAGTGTGAGGTTGCTCCAACAGTCTCCTACCTTTTTATCATTTCGCTTCTTGATCGTCTTCTTCATCGGAGCTAGGTAGCTCTTTGCCTGTTCCGCAGGCTGGGACATGCGCTGCTCGACGACATTGAGTTCCTGCACAAGATCGACGCGCAATTCATCATATTCGCGTCGCAGGTTGTTCGTTCGTGAGAGGAGCGCAGGGGGAGTTTCCTCAGGGACATGGCGCGTTTCTGTCTCGGATGAACCGACGATGGGCGCATATAGACCGTCAAATTCATCAGCCATGCGACTCTGGAAGGTCGCAATGGAAACCCACGCATCGCGCCAGGCCTTGGTCGATTCGATAATCTGAAAGGAGGCAGAGAGTCGATTAGTTATTGAGGAACGCGCGTCACTGGCAATGAGGGGAATTCACGAAACGATGCTGCCTACCTTGGTAAATAGGTTATCGGCATCTTCAAAATCTTTTAAAAGGACAGCCACCTGGCTGTTGTCTGCAGACTTGGCTGTGGTCAATCGACCAAAACGTCTCTGCATGCTCTGCATCCTGGATGAAGCTGCCAGGAACGAGTGAAATCTGACACGGGAATAAAGTGAACAGCTTGGGAATGTACCACAACAGAGCCAACCGGGGAAATCAATCAGACCACAAGCTTCTCAGCTTCCCGAGGGGAATGAGCCAATCTCAGCGGTCTGCAACACGGGAAGAAGATACGGAGAAGAGGAAAAAACTAAAACCAGGGCGATGACATTGGCGAGGCCGAATTCCCCCTCCTCGACGGGCTCCAACTTGTTTCAGCCTCCTGCGGCTCTCATAAAATGTCCCCGGGGGGGGCCACGGCCCCCTCCTCCAAGGTTCAACCCCTCCACACTATTTTTGGGAATCCAGCTTGATGCATGCTTGAGTTTCTGCGAGGCTTAACCGTTCAGGATATCCTGCCGATCGATACCTCCATGGCTTTGGGCCGGTCCTGCGTGCTGGTCCACTATAAGAATGGACAAATCAGACTCATGGACCTGACTCGGTACATTATGAACTGACCTCTCAAAAGGGCCGGTGCCGCGTGGGGGCTGGGGGCGATGTAGACAGGATGAAATGAGTCAATTCAATAGTGAACGCACGCATATCGTATGTTGCAAGTCCACACCAGGCAGGCGTTGGAGGGAAATAGAGAGAAATGTGATAGATCCGAAGACTGGAGAGGATGAAGGAAGCGGTTGACCTGTGGGCGTATACTTGGGATGGATGGCCTGAGGCTGCCCGTGTTGATTGTGCTTATCGCGGCTTCTCGTCATTTCGTCTGCGCGACTCTTTACATTGACATTTGCTGTACCTTTGCCTGGCTTCCTCCATACTACTCCATGGCTTCGCCTCTCGACTTTCCCCATGTATGATTTCATGCTTGGCCCCCCCCCGATCTACAATGACCGCGCCAGCATCCTCCACACCGCGAGGCACAGCCCCGACCTCCTCCGCGTCTGTGCCCGCGTCCTCGTCCCCGCTCACCGCGTCCGTGATCAAGTTTCGCTGTCTCTACACCCATGACCTGCGCCGAAAGTCTAAACGCTGGCAGGATGGCTATCTTCGATATCATGCGTTTAACAAACGCGTCATGGTCTACGATGAAACCGGGAACTACATTGGCGATCATCACTGGCGGTGCAACGATGAAGTACAAGACGGTGACGAGATGGAGCTGGATAAGGGGGCGTTGATTCAAGTTGGCGAGCGCATGGGGACGACTCAAACGGATCTTTCCAATCTATTCGAGAAGCGCAAATCTAGTCAGGGTTCCCCGCAGGCGACTGATGGCGCATCTCAGACACCGCGTGCCTCGGCGCCTGTCCGGTCCTCAGGCTCATCGCAGCCATTTCGTTCATTGAACGAGCTGTTGGGGATTAAGAAGACCCCAATCGGTCATTTGGTCTCACCATATGAAGAACTACACCCTCCGACCCCGGCTGCAAAAATCCCCGAATCATCTGAACGAACACCGAAACGGCAAAAGATTTCATCTACCGTTCGCTCGATAGAGAAGGCGCCTGTGAACGAGCGGAACACCCAGTCGCAGGTCGTAGATCTGACTGATCAAGAAGATGAGTCTTCGGTGATAAGAGCGCCGAATTTTGATCATGGCCGAAAACCTCCACGGGAATCACACCGGCAACCAGCATTGCCTAAGAACGACCTGGGACTGAACAGTCAACCTTCATCCATGATTGGATCCCGAAATATACAACAGCCGGCTATTTCAGCGAGATCTGCCACCCAGATATTCGTTAAACCTGTTCTCCCAACATCGGGCTTATCGAAGAGCCATCCTTCCAAGTCCGTGCCGCCTGTCGCTTCCAAAGAAGTGCGAAATGAACAGTTCGAAGCCCGTAGAAGTGCGAACATTGCAGTCAAACCGACACCACGGCCATCCCAACGAGAGGCACCGCGAAAGGCGCCAGAATTGACGAACCCAACGCGACCTGATTCCCCAACATTTGTAAAACCGGCCTTGCCTTCCTCATTGGAACGACGGAAAAGCCGATCGCCACGGCCACCGTCTGCAGCACCCAAAGACGGGCAAGCCGGACTGTCTGAAGCTCGAAAGCCTGCGAGTGGTGCCGTTCCACACGCGGATAGGTCAACGCCGGACAAAGTGCCCAAGGGTCCTGTCAATACTCTGCGTATGGCGACTGAAAAACCACGTCGGAAGTTGATGTACAGCGCCCTTCTACCCGGCGATGCATCGCAGAGATCAGCACCGGCACTATCCTCATCGTCGGGACCTTCGAGCCGGAGTCAACCAATAATCAAATCCGCGGAGTCTCAGTCAGTACGTACCCAAAAGAGGCTGGCGATTAGCTTGCTAATATCCTCATTTAGACCAGATACCGCTCCTCTTCAGGAGATTGAGTCTACGAATGCAGAGTTCATGCCTTCCGACTCAACCCAATTTATCCTGGAAGAGATGATAACCCCAATTCTGGAAACCGGTCTCGCGCAAAAGACAACTGTTCCTCCAAGTGCTCACCAAAATCCTCTATTGTCCCGAAATCTACCAGCGAAGAGAGCTCTTGACGCGCCCTTGCGCAAATCACTCTCAGATCCTACTGCTTTGACAACCGTCCAGACCCGTCCAACGTTGAGCCGGAGCGCATTGAGTGCAGTTCCTGAGCAACACGAGCCTGTCGAAGAAGGGCCCTGGACGTCCGAGGCATTGGACTTGTTTGACTTCTGGCCGCCTGGGCGGCCGAAACCCTGCTCCGCAGAGTAAGGCAGAATTTAGCTCCCAGCCTGATGAGTTATCTTGCATTATTATACCCCATTACTCGCCGAGAGGATGCTCTCCGATGTACACTGTGATGTTACGACTATTTTCTCATAGAAACGATGATACCCATTTAAGCAAGTGTTACGAATCAATATACAATAACTTCAATCAATCAATCAATCAACACTCTATTAACCTGATGCAGCCTAACTAGTGGCGTAATGGCTATGCAGGCGCTTCCTCCGGCGGAAGCAAGAGTATTCCGAACGCCAGACCCGCGCATGAAACAGTAAATACATAGGAAAACGGCGTATTGCCATATAAAATCAGCCCAAAAATCAACCCAAGACAGTATCCAAACGCCCGCAATGCCCTCGATCCTATGTACCATGAATCTTTCAATTAGCCCTCACAATGGCCTGCTGCTTCCTCTGCATCTCCATCCCTGTCCTCTCCAGCATCCTTATCCTCCTGCTCCGTCTCGATTCGTGGCGTTCGTCGTCAACTGACGTGTTGGATGTATGTCTTCAAAGACCTCTCGGTAGGCCTCGGTTGTCATTGTTCCTAATACCCATCGTTTTCACCACCTGCGCCTATACAATAACTTATATGACACACATTCGATTCCTCTCATCTTGACTCTCCTTAACAATTTCGAATGACTATATCTGAAGACACATAAATCAACCACTCCAATCCATCCTCCCAACCAAACCCCCAACTCCCTAGCGACTCTTTTTAACCAAAACCCCCGAAATATGCGGCATAACCGACCACTCAAACGACCGATCAATCTGCACACTCTCCCACCCCCCATCCTCATCAGCAGCCCCCCTCAAAGCCCCCTCAACATCACGATCCAAACAACAATCCCCAATAAAATAGCTCCACCCAAACACCTGATAAATTCCCTGCGCAATCCGCGCCGCAATAGACCCCTTCGCCGTCCGCCACGGATTAACAACATGCTCCATAACAAGAACCCGTCCGCCAGGTTTAAGCAGCGCATACAATTCCCGCGTTGTCCGCTCTAACTGCGGGACAGAGCATAGCACGCGCACGCAGATGATTGCATCGAAGATACCAGTCCCATTCGCCTTGTGGGCATCTGCCACGCCTGTACCGGCAGCTTCGAGTGCGGGGAGGAGTTCGGACGATGCGACGCTACATGGGAGAAGGTGGTATTTTGAGGATAGACCCTCTGCTAGTGCTTTGTTCTGGATTGCTTTGTGGAGGCCGAGACAGGGCTCTGCGCCGTAGATGGCTTTTATGGCTGGGGAGCGGAGGAGGGGCATTTGGGAGCCTGTGCCTGGGCCGATGTCTAGTACGACGCCTGAGGCGGTTTTGAGGAGTGGGGGGATTAGAGCTGAGGAGCCGGCTGGTTCGACTTGTGTTGGTTCTCCGTTGGGCGTTGTTGCGGGGGGTTGCCGGGATGCTAGCAGAGAGTTAGAAAAGGGACATTTCTCGGTGTTGGATAGACAGTTCTTTAGAAAAGGCCGTTGTTGTTTCCTTTTCTCGGGGGGTGGATTGTGCCTTTGGAATATGTGATTGTGGGCTTACTAGTAAATGCAATCCAGAATCGAGCAAAGGCTTCGTCACGAAGTTTCGCGGTCTGCATGATAGGGGCGAGAACCTCGCCACGCTTGATAGCTTCGACGCAGACTCGAATGTAATCTATGCTAGTGATCAGCTGAAGCACTCTGTCTAGTAACTGTGATCGTATATGAATAGGCAGGAAAGGCCAACAAGAGAATAAGCATCAACATACTCCATGCGGGGTACTCTGGGTTACCATTGCCACAACAATATGCGCGGCAGCATACCTCGGAGCCAATTTACATGCATAAGGAACAAGACATGAGAAGTACGAGGCATTACAAGAACAAGGAAGCATGAACAAAAAGATCCATGATACACTCAAAAGAAACGATCAACGAGGGAAAACAATCATCTCAGAAAAATGAAGCAGCACCAAGATCTCCCCGAGATATCCAAAGCCCCAAACAAACGAATATCACTTACGAGAGATAGCCATAACCATTAAAACACATGGTTCAAATAAACCGAGCATACGCTCACGAAATGGCGGTGGAAGCTCAGTCGACATCGTGTAATCTGTAGTTATTGCAACGAAATTGGCGTGGTGATATGGATCGTCCAAAGTTGTGAGAAAGTACAGTAGAAAGGGAAGATGGAGTAATCCACTTCCAATCCACAGTGGGCAGATGTTAGGGCCAGCCGTGCGGATAAGAGTCACATGATATTGGGGGCTGAAGGACAAGACAGATACTTGAGCTACGATGGAATAGGGCTAGTCGATGTGATATCAGGGATGGAAGCACATCATATTGGCCTGTGATGAGCAATAGTGGTTTCAGATGGGTTCTTACAAGATGCAAAGCCGAATCATCAATATTATGATTTCCTCTTCCTCAGATTCCAATCTTCAGATGGTGCAGTAGTACAGCTCGGTCTACGGAGACATTGATTTATTCGAATCAGACGGAATGAAACTACATGATTGACATAGAATGCAGATTTAATTTTAGTACAGCTCACGTTCTGGTACAATCGGCACATACAAAGAAGCAGACAAACAAACTCGACAGCCGAGAATAAAAAGAGCGAGGTAGGAATGATCAGATATACGACGAAACGACATCATGCCAGTAAACAGAGATTATCAACCGATAAGAAAAAGAGATATATTGTTAAATGACTAGTCGGGTCAGACTGGATAGAACGTGGCTGAAACTAAATAAAAACGAAAGATCGAAATGACAGCACTGAGAATTGACAAAGGAAGGACGGTGATAGGAGAGTGTGTGCGTTTAGAATTTATTTGACGCGAGTTGGATTGAAAACGAAAGAGGTGGTCGAGGTTGTAGTAGGCATGTGTGCGTAGGAGGTGGGAGGTAGATAGAGAGAGCTGGCTGGAAAAAAAATTCCCCAAGACCAGCATTCCCAAGTCATCCAAAGTGGTGTGTCAAGAAGAGAAAAGGGCCAGGATCATGGCACCTTTCTATTAGAACGCATGGATAAGAAGCAGGAGCATATGCCGGGCAAGAAGGAAGAAAAAAGAAACTCGTGGGCAATTATACGAGTTAGTGCGAAGCCATCGCCGTTTGAGGGCCCGCCTGCAAACTCGATCAAACCAATTCCAATGCAACATGCAACGCTTTTTAGTGGTGGGAGTGGATGCGATCGACTCTTGGGCTATACCGGCTGTTGCGCGAGAGCGAACCCACGTCGTGCTTGCCGTCACAGCAGGCGCGAACATTCTCGAGGCGATCTTCGTCCTCGGCATCATGTGCAAGGTTCTCAATACTGGGCTGGTCACGGATACTCTCGTCATGAAGACTAGCTGCTTGGCCATGGCGTCCCTTCAGGCTGGCGATCGATCCACGGATCGAGCTATTCAGGATTGTACTGAGACGGGACGAGGACCGCTGTGGAGGATCCTCGGGAACTTGCAACGAGGAATTAGGCCCAGAGGTGCTCAGGGCCGGGGATGCACGCCCAGGAGTGCCTCCAGTCGAGCGCATAGACATGGCCGAGGCCGCACGCTGTGTCTTGGGTGGCTGGCGATGAGTGCGGCTGTTGTATGAAGACAACGACATACGGGCAGTCTGGCGCGAGGAGGATCTGAAGCCAGGATTAAACTCATCAATGTCGTCCAGAGTCACGCCGTTGTCATTGTCCTCGCCATTGTCATTGCTCTCTCGAAGGAGTAGATAAGACAAGGCGTTGAACCAGGTTTCGTGTCGCTGGCTTGTCGTGGCAGTGAAGCGGACCTTGCGACCAGGGCTGATGACCTCCAAGCTTCGGCAGTGAAGACCCGGTGGATACGGGTTGTCATCTGCAACCACTCGCACACTTTCGATAGGAACACTCTTAGTCCGAAGCTGAGACTTGCCCGCAGTCTGCGGATCCTGGTCACTCCAGTATAACGTGCGTGTATATGGATGGACCCAGAAGTAGCGCCGGTGACGCGTCGACGACATGTCTGAAGAACCAGTCTTACGGGTATACTTCCACAAGAATTCGCCAATCATGGTCTGGGTGATGGCTTGGATCATGCGGGGGTCGGTATTAGTGCCATAGCCGTGAGGCATAGGTCCAGCATAGGGGTTCATGTTGAACCGCTCCTCGAGTTCGGAGGCGAATGAAGACACCGATGACCGCCTTGACATCTGGCTCTGACTTCCTCTCCTCATACGAGCCTGGGTGGAAACGGTTCGTGCGGATCCCGGCCCTGTGCTCTGGTCGTTCGGCGTGCGCGGGGCGGTCTGTACGTTCACCCGATAGGCAGAGGCGGGCGCCAGAGGAGGACCCATCGTGCCGGGCGACGGAGCAGGAGGAATATCAATGGACCTCTTCTCAGCGGCCGCAATGGCTTCACGGTGGTCAGCTGGCAATGGAGGGTGGACACTAAGAGAAGACGTTTGGCTACTCGCAGTGTCGGGACGTCTTTGGCTTGATGCTCCAGATCTAGCAGATGATTGTGGTTGGAGGCGAGGTCTCAGCTTAGGAGTGGCGAATGGAGATGCGGCTGCAGCTCCTGCAGCAGCTCCAAGGGCGGCCATCTCCATTGTTTGCCTGCCGTCAGCAGAAGAAACTGGCCGAACAGACTCCCGGTCCACGAGAATCTGATCGATTTGCTTCGAAGAAAGAATCGTCTGAGATCCCTGGTCTGAGCTGACGAAGCTGGGACGTTGTCTATCTGACTGAGGCAGCAACGCGTTGCCAGAAATGTCACTCAAAGCCAGACCGGTGCTTCTTCGTCGGTCACTAGTGCTAGTACCAGAACGGTCACGAGCTGGTTCGATAGACCTATCTTGCTCGTCTTCGTGGATGACCACTGCAGCCGCGACAGCCTTTGGCTCCTCCATAGGATCTGTTTGGATTGCATAGTCACTCATGCGAGGAATGACGCGTACCACAGATTGGACTGGCTGTGTTTCAACGGAACGCAGGGTAGAGATGGAAGGCACCGGCAGAGGAGGAAGCTCGACCACCCTGGGTGTGACAGGCTCCGTGGATGCCGCATCAAGCAGGGTGATTGTCAGATCTGGGATGACCGGCTCTGGCGGAGGAGCAGGGACCGCCTTGACCGGCTCCGTAACTGCGGGGGATAGCAGAGATATTGACAGATCTGGCAGAATCGGCTCCGGTACAGGCGCCGGAATCACAATCGGTTCTGGTGGTGGTGCAGGCACTGCCTTGACTGGCTCTGTGAATGCAGGATCCAGCAGAGAGATAGACAGATCTGGGATGACTGGCTCCGGCACAGGAGCAGGAACTATAATGGGCTCTGGCGCGGGAGCAGGTTCGGCCTCGACTGGCTCCGTATGCTGCGATGAAATAGTCGACACCGCCATGTCGGGAATGTAGATCTCTTCAACGACAGGTTCCGGAAGAGGCTCAGGTTCGGGAAGCCGGGCCTGAACAGGCTCCGTTGCGTGGATGAAGTGAGAGGACAAGGACAGCTCGGGCAGCTCCCGAACAGGCTCGACAGGAACCACAGGCTCTGGCTCGGGAATGATTGCCTGCACGGGCTCAGTCGACTGCGACGCGATTGAAGAGAAGCTCATTTTAGGAATCTCAGGAACGGGCAGCTCTTGTTTCACAGGTTCGGTGGAACCGCCAGGCAGGTACGAAATAGCTAGTTCTGGCCAGCTAGGCGCGGTGGGAAGAGTTTCTTGAGAAGAGATTGTGGCAATGCCCATCTCCGCTGGCTCGGCCTGCGTACTAGCCTCCACCAACTGGGCTTCCACCGCACGCTCATCCCAGGCCATCTTTGGTGGGGTGGGAACGTTGGCCAGGTGATCATTATCTCCAGTCCCAGGCTTGAGTGGTGTCCACTGGGTACCTGAGCTGACCAACTTGGGCGTCTCTTCGCCTTCCGCAGCAATCTCACGGTCCACACTTCTCTGAGGCGTAGTTGGCTCCGAAACGGCAGAGACAGCGGCACCGGCGACACTAGCAACTGCGGCTCCTGCAACAGCAGCTTCTGCCATGGCAGCAACCGGAGTGCTTGGCTCCCAGGGATCCGTCATCATACCAGAATCGACCATGACGGGCTTAGGCAATGAGTCGAGCATGATCTCAGAGGGCCTCCGAGAGTCCAATGAAGGGCCCATGCGCGGCGTTGAGGCTTGGGAAGCATCACCAGCACCATCTTCCTCCTCCTCACCACCCTCTAGTTCGGCGAGTTCCGCAAAGAGGCTCTGGCCCTCCTGGGCTACAGGCCGCTCTTCGAAGCTCGGCGCCGGGGAATTGCGAGCGCTAGATGGACGACTGTTCGATGCCATCGGTGCCTCTCCGGAGGGGCGGATTCGCCGGAGAACGCTTCGCTTTGACCTCACACGACGGCTAGAAATATGAGTTTGGCTGGGGGACGGGAAGCCTCCATCTGTCTCATCCTCATCGGATGTGGCAGACGCCGTGCTGTGGTAGGAGTTACGATCGCGCGCCTTGGCCATCATCAGAGATGGGACTCGGGTGCGAGGAGTAGTCTGGACATTATTCTCGGTCTCGGTCAAATCAGCGGAGTCGTCACTGCTGTCATCGGCCATGCTTTCAACACCGGTCTGGAAAGCTTCGCTCTCCGTTGCCGTGGCCCGCTCGTTTGCTGTCTCAAATCCGTCTTCGGCTTCAGTGGCAGTCTGGTAGATATCACTAGGCTCATCTGGGGGGAGACGGCTCCGGAACGGCTCCTATTAGCTGAACTGGCCATGGCGGACCGGGTGGGACTGCCCTGGCCCGCATTGTCTTCCCAATCAGTATCATGAAGCTCCAGCTCAACCGAAGACTTTTCCTTACGGCCAGCACCCAGAAGATCTGGGCGAGCAGGCTTGCGGAAAGAATTGTCTTTGGTTTTCAAGCGCTTGGTGGACGCGTTGGGAGCATTGGTCTCACGACGACGCTGCTCGACCTCATCCCGGGCTTCTTGCAGCATGCGCTTGAGCTCAATCTTCTCGGTCTTTTCGCGATGGATAGTACTCTTGAGATTTTGGATCATACGATGAGCATGGCCGAGTGAGCTCTTGAGAGTCTCGGATTCCAAGTGGTTGTGCCGAGGGGTGAACTTGTTGGGGGACGGAGGGGGCGAGCTTTCAGGCGTGATTTGCTCGGCCTCTTCATCGTCACGATCGTCGGGCAGATCGCGAGATCCTTGCGATTCATACTGTCGGATCCTCATAGCAACCGCCTTCGCCAGCTCCTGGTTCTGGCCCGTCAATTCTTCCAGCTTTTTGTGAAGCGCAAGTTTCTCTGCATCACCAGCAGTCAAGTTCCGACGTAGCAGATGAATTTCAGAGTCATTCGCCTTCTGTGAAATTGCTTGTTCCTCCACTAGCTTCGCATTAGCTTGCCTCAGCTCCTCCAATTCCCTTTCGACGGCGCTCTTCTCCGAGTTCGAGGTGCTCAGGCTGCTGTTGAGCCTCTTCTCGCGCTCCACTGCGTCTTTGACAGCCGCCATGAGCTCGTGGGTCTGCGTCTCCAGAGCCCAGTTCTCATCCTTGTACCGTTGCTCGCTGTCATCAAGGGCACGGATGCGCTGGGAGTAGCCTTCCGCTTCGATTTCTAACCGCGACTTCTCTAGGTTGACCGACTTGAGAGTCTCCTCCCTCTCGGCTAGTAGTGCCTGTAATTGACGGACCTGGGCTAGTAGAGAGGTGGAAATCTCAGTTGCAAACTCGATATCGTGGACACGGCTGGACGGTTGGTTACGCTGCTTGCGAGAGGGAACGCTGACTTTGCTGGGAGAATTGGTCGCTTGGCTTGCAAAAAGAGCAGAACTGAGGGGAGACTGATGATAAAGTAGTTAGAGAGTTGGCTCAACGGAGCAGCAGTGATCAATCCACTGTACCTTTTGATCGAACCCTGGAGTACCCGGCTGAGGGTCCTCCGAGCCACCTGCCAACCGCTTCGGAGCCAAAAAGGCACGAGCGGCTTCCCGACCAATCTCATTATACTCCTCTTCCAAGTCGGCCAGTCGCTGCCGCAGCTCCGGTCCCATTTCACCTTCATCTTGCTGCTGCTCCACTTCCTTCAGCTGCTCCGTGAGTTCTCGCTGCTGCTCGATCAGAGCCGTTCCCAACTTGGACGCTTCCTCCAATCGACGCTCAGTCTCGGCCAAATGAGCCTCGAGGGCTCGCTTGGCCTGTGCAGGCGAAGAAGCATTGAGACTGAAGAGTTGCGTGTCGAATGAGGAGTACCGGTGGGATTCACGAGGACCCGCGGGTTGGCCCGAGGTCGACACGAACGGATCTTCCATCATGGTAGCGAGAGAGCTGTTGGCGCGAGTATGGGGTGCTGCCATTCTCCGAGGGTGCGGTGCCTCAGTCGGCTTCTGGATCCCCTAAGGTGAGAGGACGCAGTTGCCGATGAGGAGGGGAATGAGACTCGCGCGCGCGTCAATTTTTCCGTTTCAGTATTGACCCGTAATCGGTTCACGCGAGCATCGTTCGAGTCACCGTGCCTGGGAGAAGGAATTCGCGCAAGGTCCGCTCTGGCCTTGGGTGGATAATTGAGCCGGCCAGCGACACACGGATTGACAGTAATACCACGTGCGAAAATTGCGAAAATTGGATGCGACACGGGGGAAGGGCGCGAAGGAGACGGGCGTCGCGAGAAGCGAAGGTGAAATGACGAGGGGAACGGAGAACACAACAAACACGATACACTCGAGGATGGGCGAATCAGTAAGATCCCGAGCCGGCGAGATCCTTGACCAGGGACACGCGCGTTGATGACTTTGTGATGCAGCCAACCATAACACTCGGCGATCGGCAACGAATTATCACCCAACCGAGCGGGAAAGTCTCGACTCGGTTCGGGAGGGCCTAATGAATCAACAAAAGAAAAAAAAGAAAGAAAACAAAATCAACTAGATTAAGGAAAAGAAGGAAATAGGATAAGAGAGAGTAGAGAACGTGGGTGTATTGATGGGAAGGGGAGGGGGGGGAAGGGCAGTGGGCGACTCGGGCGGGGAGAAAAGGGAAGAGAGTCTCGAGAGGGAAGCGGGAGGGACTGCTAACTCTTGTTGCGGACTGCGCACTGGCAATTGGCACCAGCGTTTGAGATCACCGTGGGGAGATCAAGGAGCGGAGGGGGGGTCTACGAGCACGGATTCTCCTTTTTAAGGGTTAGGAGATGGAAGTAGGGTGGAATGATTATTGATTGGCATCTGCATGTTTGAGACCCTTGTTCGCCCTATTGTCCCTGATGTTGCCAGCTACGTTGCGTGGACAATTGCATCTACTATCAATCATCCACTGCATGCGATGATTATCATTCGATAGTCCCAGTCCAGTCCAGTCCAGTCCGGTTCGGTTGTTGACTTGTTGTTTTCTTTTCCCAACGCGTCGGGCACTCTGTTTGCTCTGTTTGCACTGTTTGCATGTCCACATGACTTGGAGAGGCCCCGCTGAGTCACGCATGCTTAGTCAGTCTCCGCGGGTTTCGAGCAGCTTCCGATGGTGACGATGATAAACTGGGACGAAGTCAAAAGTCCTTCAAAGATACCTTCTACCTTTTATCCTCTCTCAAATCAACCTACAAGTGCCCTACAGATCATCCAGCATGCCAGAAGAGACTGAAGTCGCAGAAGCTGTTCCCCAGTTCGGCTTCAAGAAACGCGCCAAGGGCAAAGCCAACTTCCGCAAGAAGCCCGCAACCCCGCCACCGGCCTCAGTCTCAGGGTCTGATTTCACATCATCCGACGATGAAGAAGGCCGGCGCATCAAGAGGCGACGCAAGAATGTGGCAGTGACAGCTTCATCCGCCGCAAATGCCACCAGGAGAAACCCCGCCGCCGATCAACCTGCCAGCACCGGTCCGGTCCCTCTATCAACGAGCAACGATGCCACGAAATCTTCCAACTGGTACGATGAGGATCTGAGTGCCAAGAACCTGCTGGGCTCAACGCGAGCTCAGGCGTCTACAGCTTCCGCTCCAGACGGTACCTACAAGGGCGCGGCCAACTATTCCTCGTTCATTCAGAAGAATCCCGATGCGCCGAGCAAGCAATTCGGTCCGATTAAAGCGCCCACGAACGTCCGAACTGTGACAGTAATGGACTTTGCCCCTGATGTTTGTAAGGACTGGAAACAGACTGGGTGGTGTGGATTCGGTATGTTCCTGGACAAATTGCCCCAAGAAGCTAATTGACCCGAGGCTAACATGACGACGATAGGCGATTCCTGCAAATTCCTACACGCCCGCGAGGACTACAAACAAGGCTGGGAACTAGATCGTGACTGGGAAATCGGCACCAATGGCAAGAAATTGAGCGGACGGGTGGTGTCGCAAAGGAAAGGCGCTGGCAAGACTGCCGAGGATGACGAGGACGAGGATGATGACGAGCTGCTGGACAGCATCCCCTTTGCCTGCATTATCTGTCGGAAACCATACCAGAACCCGATCATCACCAAGTGCGGGCACTACTTTTGCGAATCTTGCGCGCTGCAACGGTATCGCAAGAATCCGTCTTGTGCGGCGTGCGGGGCGGGTACGGGTGGTGTGTTTAATACTGCGAAGAAGCTGAATGCTTTGCTGGAGAAGAAGCGGGAGAAGGCACGGAAGGAGCGCGAGAAGGCGATTGAGGAGGGTGAGGAGGTGAGCGAGGAAGAGGAGAATGAGGGCAGTGAGTAGGATCGTTGGAGGGGGGTCTGGGGCAAGCTACAGCTGGACTGCGCTACATGGCCTAGGAGTGTCTTTGGACAAAAGTGGAACCGACTGAGCGCAATATTTTGGGATCATTATTCAGGTGCCTCTCGAGTGGAGAGTCGTAGATATCATGTCTAGAAGATCATGTATGTACACCTCCGAGGTTCAATTACACGACTTCCTCTAGCTCAACATATATCCGACACGGGTTCTATGCCGTCACCTTCCATCCATAGCTAGAGAGTCCCGTCGTAATCAGGAAATGGAATTTCCCAAAGTAAAAAAGAAAACCTGATTTGGTTCCCATCTGCTTAGCCTGAGTGCATGATAGCTGAAGGTGGTGGTCATCGGGGGTTGCCTGGAGGTGATCAGATTATTGTTATCCCGGGCCTCCTTCGCTGCCACCTACCTCCACCTCCACACCTCATATCAGCTCAGCATCGAACACAACTCGGAATAAACACCGGTTTAGCCTGCAAACCCCGCATTGAGCTTACCTCTCGAGCCCCCCAGTTCCTCGGAGAACCTGCGAATTGTCGTCTTTCCCAGCCAAGAATGACACGCGGCCAGTGCAAATCGAGGGCGCTCGGCCATGGTCGAGGTCCGCCAATGGCATTGATTGCTCTGACCTTGTGCTCTGATGTCAATACTCAACAGAAGACGACAAATTTTCTTGGCCTTGAACATGCCATGCGACGAAGATATTCAAATCGTTTAGGGAGAGAGAGAGGGGTATGTATATTATTTGATATCTCTGTTGCCTGCCGAGAACACCAAAAAGTGCAATATTTGCGATCGACAGTGCAAGCCATGGACCCCATTCTCCATCTTCCATACGGCATACCATGGAGCCGATCTGGAGAGGCGCTCACTTTGACATGATGAAGGGTTTCGGGTCGATAACCCGAATTATTCATCTCCTCTCGTGGCGTTTCCAAATCTCCTCTTGTCGGGGACGCGTTGCAGCTTTGGACGGGCGTTTGCACACGTACGCCATTGCTGTCATTGCGATGCTGATCGACCTTGGTCAGTGGGCCTTATTCTGTCATCATTACCACATTGCCTTCTTCCACCGCCAGCAGCTGGAGGCCGACGAGAGTTCGATTATTGTCTGACGCCCGATAACTGATGCTCAGCTTGTCTCCAAAAAAAAGACGACTCTGATGATCCTCGTTTGCATGAGTCGCTCGTCTGACTCAAGATCGTGTCTGCCTATTTTCGCGACCATTCCACCTTCCTACTCTGTGTGCTAATATTAAACAGGCAGATCCTGCCGACGAGCATTTAACTTTAGGGGTAATCAAGCACGCCCCCACATGAATACGAGACTAGCCAATAACTCGGTGGAGAACGGACGTGCCTGGGCGTCTTCTGCGTCACGTCCTGCGTGTCCTGACTAAACTGTTCCTCCTCCTGCATCCCCCCGGCAGCACCGTTTTCCAGCTCGTTTCCCCTCGATTCTCCCGAAAGATTGTTAAACGCCACGTGCGAGCCATGGTACTCATCACACTCTGATTGCCACATTGCGTCGACTCTTTATTGAGATCACACAGTGAGATGGGTGATCCTCACCAGGGGGGTCTTGCTGTCTGCAAGGCAAGTATTCTTGCGCAGTCTGCAGTGTTGGCCCCCAGAGGTAAAATTTGCGCTCCTGCTCAGCAACGAAAAATATACTTCGACCGAAACGATAGGGGCCTCGGGAGGCGCGAGACTGGCCGCGAGCCAAGCTTTTTTCGTCAAGGGCCCAAGCGACCCTCGGAAGACTTAACGTTCCTTTTGCCCCAAGCTTATGTACCCTGGGCCCCTCTTGTCCCTTGAACCCGCCTCCTGAGTGGCCAATCATGGCCCCGTAGAATGACATTCTAAGTTAAACGCGGCTTAGACTTTGGGTGATACATACTGTAATACCAATGGCGAAGAAACTTGTGGAAAGCATGGCCCCTCTACTATTCCCCTTACTACTCAACAGTCCAAGACAGGTATCCGCTCTGCTGTACTATACTGTAGCCTACATCGGTGGTGTCCCTTATTCCCTGTTTAAGTATCTTTTCTGGTTAACCATTTCGCTGAACTGATTCCCCACAACTGGTAACCTTAAGTACTCTTCTTGCCTTGTTTCACGTGGCTACAAAGCGCCGCAAACTCTCTCCTTTCCCTCAACGTGACTTTTTTCCTTTTTCTCTCCTTTCTCACCCCTCTAAATACGAGTTTGCACCTTCATCGCCCCTTGACTTGTCATTGACCTCACACTCTCTACACGCTGTCCATATCAAATCGTCGATCAATGGCGAGGTCCCTCCTGCGGTGAAATCGGTACGCACGGAGCTCCGCTCAAGGGTCTCCCCTTGAAGATCTCTAAATTACCTCTCGTCTTCACGATGAAGGGTGGATTACGTTTCGCACTCTGTGCTTCATTGCTCCTACTCTTCTCCCTGTATTTGTTGGAGGCACATCTCAAAGATATCTGTAGCCAGTATCGCGCCGGCGCATACTTGGTTGAGTGGTTGAATCGGCATGGAGCCGCTCAGCATCTGACTGTGGGCAATGTGCCCGTACCGGGAGACAAGGTGATTGTCATGGCCAAGTTGCAAGAGGAGCCTACCGATTGGGTCCAGGAGGAGCTTCCAGAGTACGCATCTTTTTTTTCCTATTTCAAAATCCACGAAGCGTTTGGTCACTAATTCAATTCCTCTCAACAAACAGCTGGCAGCGCGCTATCTACATAGTCAATCCCTCCGCAGAAGCCCGATCCAACCCCCAAATTCTCACAACGCCTGTTAACAAAGGCCACGAATCTATGGCCTACTTGTCCTACGTAATTGACCACTACGACACCCTCCCATCAACAATCGCCTTTCTCCACGCCCATCGCGCAGGATTCCTCATGGCATGGCACAACGACGCCCCACTCCACGACAACGTCAACTCCATGCGCATGCTTCAAACCGACTTCGTCCAGGAAAACGGCTACGTCAACCTCCGCTGCAATTGGAACCCCGGCTGCAAGGAAGCCCACCGTTTCAATCAACATGTCACCGAGCAGGTCTGGTGGGATATCTTTGAGGGAACGAGCACGCCGCCATTGAACGCCTCTTCGCCGTATGAGCAGGAATTCCCTACGCAAAAGTACATGCGCAAGCCGGAGCAGATTGGCGCGGCGTGCTGTGCGCAGTTTGTGGTCTCGCGGAGCCAGGTGCTGAAGCGACCGCGTGAGGACTATGTGAAGTTCCGGCAGTGGATTATCGAGACGGAATTGAACGATGCCATGTCCGGGCGGGTGATGGAGTTCTTGTGGCATGTCATTTTTGGCATGGAGGCTGTCTATTGTCCTGATGAGGAGCTTTGCTATTGTCAGGTCTATGGCAAATGCTAAGCCCCGAGAATGCGGTTCGTTTGTCTCGAGAGAGCTTTCACCTTCTTTCACGCCAAATTCTTCCCTGGCTCGCGCCTTGATTCTTCGCCACTGTGCGTATTCGCCGATGTTTTCGATACCCCTTATCCTAGAGCTGAGCTCTTTTCTTGTCATTTGCCTCATGCGCTGTCCCGAGCAGCTGAGAGCCTGGAGTTGGAGATGATTTACTTGGGTGGTTCGACCTGATTGAAATCCGGCGCTGGCGATAGCGGTTCTCCGCGTTTGCACATATTTTCATCGTGACATATTGTTGCAGATTCTTGGACTTTGAAGTCTATTGAATGTTGATAGAACATTACTCATTTGTCAATAACTAATAGAACTTATGTCGATTGCACTTTGCTTCTTTGGCCATGAAACAGATATCTCGTCTTGATAGCTGCATCTGAGGCGTACACATTCAACCCCCGACTTTCAGCCCTCGTTAACCGTTCTGATACATCTCTTGAGATACTCTTCCACCCGCGAAACATGGTCAAGCCGTGCAACAACTCCGACGTATCCATCAGGCCTAATCACAGCCAGAGCACCTTTCGCAGGATCCACGCCGTAAATAGCATAGGCGTCATCCAAAGCCGACCCATCATGGAAGCGCATCTCCGCTCGCTGCTTGACACAAGTGGGAACATCATCCCACTCGAACGGCCGATGAAGCTTCGGATGTAATACGATCAACTCAATAATCGACACGGGGAATGTGGTCATCAGTCCACTGACTGCATCCAGTGCCCGTGCGGAAACGCTTTGCCGATCAAGAAGATCAGTCGAAGCTAGACAAAGAACGCGGAATCGACCCGTTGAAGGAATGTCTAATACTTTGTTAGCCGATATCGTATTGTCGAAATGAGTCTGTTCTTACCGTCATGAATATGCCGCGGTGACCCATCAGCATGTCGCAAGAGTCGAACATCTAATAACCTGCGGCCGGGCCTCAGGATTCCAGATAGGTAATCCGTTCCCTTGACAGGACTAGTTGAGTCCTCCAAATCATCGCGCAGCACCACGGTGCTCTCGGGATATTCCACACCACAACCACTGGTGAACCCATTTCCGAGCTTAAAGGCCTGCTGGAATTCCTCTTGAGTAAGGCCCTCGGTAGCACCCATTTTACCGGAGAACATGGTCGAGAATTTCCGGTCAAAGTCTATCAGTTGCTGCGCGATCTGGTGTCTCTCGGTTTGGTATGAGTCGAGGAGTGGTGTTGGCGTTCCTGTTGCTGTTGGTTCTGGGGCGAGACCGTTGACGTGGTATATGAGCTTCCATGCTAGATTGTAGGAGTCCATCATGGAGACGTTCATTCCCTGACCGGCCTGTGCAATTGGAAGAATCAGTTACCTTGGTTCTAGAATGGATATAGTGAGAGTGCTTACTTTAGGACTGTGGGTATGGCAGGCTAGAATTCAAAATGGTCAGTTTCCCATCGATAACTCGACTTGATAATTCATCAATGCTGGAACTTACCATCACCGACGATGAACACTCTGCCAACGCCTTGCGAGTCATTCACAATAAACTGCGGCGAGACACGCTGACCGATCTGATAAGCAGCCCACCAGTCAACTACCCCATCCTTCGGACGGATATAATACGGCTTCATCGCATCAGCCGCCTGCTGCAAAATACCATCCTGCGTAATCTTGCTTCTCCGTTGCCGCGCATCTTCAGCCTTGACAGCCCCATTAGCATCTAGAACCTGATCCTGGTCGTTGTCCGGAACCACCGTCTCGGGAACATGAACATAGAGTCGAGTGAGATACTCGCCCGTGGAAATCCTCTCTCGTGGAATAACCATCACCGAGCCCGCAGGAGAGTGAATCGCACAGCGCCGACGGATATCCGGAAAATCGGTATCAGCCACCAAGTCGATTACGCCCCAGATATGGTCCAGGGATTCTCCCTCGAGACGCAGGCCCATGCACTGCCGGACGATGGAGTGTGCACCATCAGCACCGACCAGATGCTTTGTACGCACAACTTTCTCCTCGCCGTTTGTGTCCATGGTGACGACCACCGGGAATTCTGCATCAGACTCTTCATCAATCCGGACATCGACTAGCCGCGTATTGCGGAGGACACCTCTCTTCGAGTACCGCAGTAGATCGGTTTCCATGATGCGCTCAATACGACCCTGATGAATGGTAGCCTCATAGCTGAATCGGGAGGGAGCGAGCACTTCCGGTACGACTGCAGTTCGCTCGATGATTTTGTCCTTGTCATTTGAGGGATTCCAGAATGCGAATTGCCACATGTGGCATGCCTCATTTTCAATCTCGTCGGAGATCCCGAGGGTCTTGAATACTTCCAATGTCCTGGGCTGGACGCCATCTGCTTGGCCAGTTTTGAGTGTGCTGGGTTTGGAATCGATGCAAAGGAGGGAGGTGTCGCTGAGGCCGTAGCGAGACAGGAGGAGGTTGAGCATCAAACCGGCTGGTCCGGCCTGTCATTGCAATGAGTTATTTATGAGTTCCGCTTTGGTATAGATTGGAGTGGTTGAACATACGCCCACGATGACTACTTCGTACTTCTCACCATTACTTTGAGGCTCAAATGGGGGTGCTGGGCGAGGCAGTGGTGCAGCAAAAGAGGGCAAGACTCTCAAATTCCGAGATGAAGAAGAATGCTCAGTGAAGACGGGCATTATGCTTCAAGTGCACAACAAGTCGGTAGGTATTTAGAAAGGAATATGATGACTCCGATGGCCACTAGAGCCACGGAGACTACTTATAGATTCTTGACCTGGGGTATCTCTAGAACTTCCTCGGCTAATTGCATCCATAGATAGACGGGGTAGGTCGTCATCCCCACGAATCGGAGTTGCGGGGGGTTTCGCTCAGTTTGCAACTGCCAAACGTGGTTTTCATCGGGGCCAATAATCTTGTCCCAAAATCAGAGGTTCAGGATTACTCGTATAATATAGAAAAAGTTGTAGTGATTTTGTTAGTCCATTTGACTTGATAAGATCATACATAGGGCAGCAATACTACTGTTGCTATAGATCACGGAGTGGAAATTGACCAGATCGGAAGTATGGAATCTAAAGACATGTCTCAAAGATCCGATGGTCAAGTGCAAGATATCATAATTATTACAAATAAAGAGTTGACCCACTTTCACTACCTCAAAACATGGGGAATATGTCTCGCGGCCTCATATCCCACCTTGGTGGAGCTTCACCCCGCCATGCCACCTACGGCTGCGGGGTGAACGGAAAGCAGCACACAATCCCGGCAATGGCTGTAAAATCGAGACCTAAGAACTACTAGATCAGGTTGATTTTGTGATTTCAGGTTCTTTTCCCTGATACCTAGGATAGCTACTGCCCCCGCGCATAATGATTTCATACTTTCGAATCTGCTCAAACCCTGCCAAGATCTTAAATATCCATGTAAACTCCCATATACACAGAGCGTCTCGCGATTATCACACTGTCATCCTCGACCATTTTCGCGTAATTCACGTGGTCCCTAGAATTGAGATGGATAATTAATGCGGCGCTGATGAATGATAGCCTCCTAGCTAAAGTTTCCCGGTTTCATTATATGTCTCCTTTCAAGATATAAGTGGCATAAAGTAACACCAGAGAGTTCACGGACACAATTTAACCTCCCTCCCCTCCTCCAACGCCGTAGAAAGCAAATTCGCAAAAGAATGTGATATCCCCCATCTTCCACCCCGTTGCAACAAGTCAATCAACCGATACAACTGATCCAGATCCGCAACCATCGACTCCCCACCAGCATGCCCAATTTCCGAATAACAAACCCCTCGAGAAAAGTCTTCGCCCAAAATCTTAATCTCCGGGGACGCAAAAGCCTCAAGGCTAACGACATGTTTGGGAGCATATTGCGCAACACATAGATATGCCAAGGCTGCTGAGAATAGTGCGCGTGGGACGTGTATGGCTGCCTCGGCGGAGATACTCATGCTATCGAGGTGTTGGGCAATCAGGGATGCATGGATGAGACAGCGGCTGGCGTTGAGGGAGCAGGCCCACTCGTGGACGGGTATGGAGGCTTCTGAGCTAGGGCCTTGACCGTCTCGGCCGATTGCTTGCTCTAGGAGATCGAGGTCTGCGTAGAGGGAGATGAAGATTGAGTGCCAGAGTACTGGTAGGCAGAATGGGTCCCGATTCGAGGTGTAGTATGTTTGCCACCAGTCCATCAGGAGATTTGAGATTTCATGGCAGATGATATGGTCAAATTCCTGGGATTGTTTGGCGTCCACGAGGCGGGCGTTGATGCTTTCAAGGATACCGTATGCGGTAAAGCGGGATTTGAGAGCTGTGCTTGGAAATGGATCTGAGGTGCGAGACAGTCGCGCATAAACGGGACTTTCTGGTTCTGTTTCCATAGACTGTTGATAGAGCGCTGCCCACTTTGAAGCCGTTGGCGCGGCAAACAAAGCATCAGACGACAAACGAGGATACTGTCGGAATCGATGACTGCGAATTGGCTGATGGTGCAGCAGTGTTGCAAGTTCAGCGTCGTGAATATTCAGCGCTACTTGCACTCTGGCTCGTTGTTCGCTGTCAACCCATAGATGCCACTTTCCCTCAAGATCAGTTTCACTCGACAGGTTCCTAGATTGTGGACAATGAGACCCGAGTCTATTCGCCTCGCGAGCCCATGCTGCAACTGTTCCATGCAGCACATCCGCCAGGATGAGATACTTCGGCTTTCCCGATAGCATAGCATAAGTCTGTCCAAGTATGGCCGCCTGGACCATTGATAATGCATCTGGTTTGCTTTGAGACAAGAATGATTCCCAGGAAGCCAATATCGCCTTGTTGAGTCGTTCAAAGATTCTTGCACCCTGCGACACTGCCCGCGATGATCCCACAAAGAGACTGCCAACGGAACAAATCGATAGGAAGAGCAAGGAATTTTCTGCAGTTGGACGAAAAGAAGGAGCGTGAATCACAGGTAAAAGTGGATGGAATCGATGAAAGTAGAGCTTAGCGAACAGATTGAGCTGCTCGGAAGTTGGAAGTGCCTCATCCTCCATCCGCGGACGGAGTTTCTGAGACAGTCCAACTCGGTATGATTCATTTGTATCCGTCTGATGATCTTGCCAATTTGATCCAGGTACTGGAAACTCCTGAATGGGCTGTTTCTGTATCGATGGCAACATGTGCGTAAACCACTTGCGCTTTACTGTGTCTTCACCAGCATGCGGGGGATCAAATTCTGTCGCAGAGCTTTGCATGGGCGTAAATAAGGCTGGCTCGGTAAATGGCAGACTAGAACCTGAAGGGAAACTTGAAAGCTGTGCCCATTCTGAGATTGTCGATGTGATCGAGAAATCGAGTGCGCTGACATCAAAATCGTCTTCGAGGAACCAGGTCCCGGATTCGGAGAGAGCGGGTGCTTGTGGGGATGTGTCATCACAACCTGGTATGAAGCTTATGGTATTAGGCTGGACAAGAGCTGATGTTCCAGCCCTGGCTGTTAAATGTGCAGTTGGGCTAACTGTGGGAACAGAAGCTCCTCCTGGCACTGGTTGTACGGATTCCGCCGCGGAGACCGGCGTGAGTACAGCTGGCTCGTCGGGAATACTCCCAGATGGCCTCTCTACCATCGAGCTTTGTGAATCAATTTGGTCACTGTGGCTTCTCTCATGTCGTCGAAGCACGTCACTATGGTTGAGTTGTGAGTTTGGTGGCGAGATACGACCTGATCGGTCGGAGGTCATACCTTCGGGAGTATACTTTTCCACAGATAGAGCATTCAAAGGGCCTCTCCTTTGTATGGCCTCGAATATGTCTCGTGAGATGTTCTTTCTTGGAGAAGGTTTTGTTACATGTATAGCATTTGCGATCTTCTCGCGTGCGTATCCCACTCATCCTGTCGATCTGGAAGCTTTCGGAAGCAGGCGGGGTGAGCTGGATAGGGATACGAGTCAAGAAGGCAGGTTCACTATGACCCACGAGCAGGTGAAAACCTGAATTGTAGGTATTGCAAGGCAAAGGTTTCCTTTGTAATATGTTCTCGGGTTGTACCCCAGGAATTTCGACAATTTCCCCGGAGGTAGGCTGCTAGTCAAAGAATCAAGTCTGCAGACTTCCCCACATTCCCCACATTCGCACCGCTTTGGCAGTGACTCTGCGGTCGTGGCTGGCCTCCTATAGCTACACACTACTATAGCTACACACTACTATAGCTACACACTACTATAGCTACACACTATAGCCGTGGACTTGGCGAAATAATGTCGGCATGGATATGGAGTCATAATTCATTATCGAACAGATTACAAGCTACAAAGCTGGAACGATGCACCCTCGAGTGTCTTACTTGTGCTCGAAGAACTGCTCTACCCGATCCACCAGGTCAGCCTTCTTCCCAGCCGCGGACCGGCCATGAGCAGTCAGGAATTCCTTGAGAACGGGAGCAGTAAGTTTCGATACTGTCCCCTTCTCATAGCATCGTTTGACTTCCTCGTCGACTCCTCCAGCACCGGCTTCGGTCTTCACCCGCTTTGCTGGTGGCCCACCGGCGCTGTCTGCATTCTCCTTTGGGCCTCTTTTGACCAAGGTTGATTTTGTGGCGGCGGTGCCTCCGAACATCTTGTCAAAAGCGGCATCAAGTTGATCGGACCATGCAAGAACATAGTCGCCAGCACGCTGGGAATCGATCAGAATCGAACTACAGGAAGCGTCTGTCTCTTCATCGTCATCACTCACCTTGTCAATTTGCCGGTACTTTGGTTTGGTCTTGTCTTCCGGCTCTCCTGGGTGATCTTCGTCGAGAGCCAGCGCCTGCAAGATGCGATAATGCCATTGAAGGGCTGCGACTGTTGTTAGTAAATTACGGGTCATCGGAGGATAGCAAAGACAGTCTCACCAGGATTTGGATACTTCTGAGGCTCGTAGGCACCCTTTGGAAGCTGCAGCTGTCCAATGATTTCCCGCATTGCATCGGTCAGGGGATCTGGAGACACGGCCATAGTGGACTCTGGGTTCTGTCGCACATCATCTGCGAAGGGAAGAGGAATGATCCACATGCCAGGTGGGACCTTCTGTACACCATTCTCATCAATTTTCTCTTCACCAGCAATCATTGCCGCTACCACCGGTGCAGCATTCTTGCGAGGAATGAACCAGACCAGGGCCATCTTTTCATCTTTGAGGAGTTTTTGCTGCAACGCAGAGAATACGCGCGTAGAGCCAATGAAGTCTTCCTCAGAGGGGTAGATGAAGGAAGGGTGCCTGACATTGGCCCAAATTGGCAAGTCAGACAAGGGCTTGAACCCGATAATGCGGATCACGGGGTCCCCGAAGTGTCGCAATGCTTGCAATTCTTCTGGAGTAAACGCAACCTGTTCACCTCCAAATTTGTAGGCTTTGCGGATTTCTGACTTTTCTACCGTCTGAGCTGTATCATCGGCCATCTGAGTGGTGATACCTTTCACAATCTGGGGGGTCTCTCCTCCGAGCCAGACATAGCAACTCCGTGCCGGCTCCTGTCGTTTCAGAAGCAAGTATCCATTAACCGATATCTTGAAGTTGGGTCCAATCTCTAGAGGAACGTTCGAAAAGAGCGACCGTTTGGGTACAGATCTGGAATTGATGCTTGACAACAGAGAGTTGAGCAATGATATGCCGTCACCCTTGGCCGTCGACGTATTTGTGTCTGGTTGCATATATGCAGGAGCTTCACCGTCACTGGGCGAAGTTTTGTAGATGATATCCTGGAACGAGTTAGCTTTGCTTTTGGAAAATTCAGTGGTCCAGTGACGTACATCGTAGAACTTGGAAGTATCGAATTCGTGGTCGGGCCTAGAAATTGGGAATAGTTCAATGTTCACACCCAGATCGTACAAATCCCTCGCACGCACTGTGGCCGCAGATCTTAGAGACTTGCTATCTCCATGTGGATTGTCATCATCGGTGACGATGAAGAGCCGTCTCGAAAGAAAGTTTGGTGCCTTGGAAGTGAAGATCTGATTCGCACAGAACAGAACGTTCGCCATAGAGACCCGTTCCTTCGATGGTTTCAAGACCTCCCTAGCCTCTTCCTCATTCTCTGCAAGAGCTCGCAGTTCCTTGACGTCCTGAGCTGATGGGATGTCGAGATCGGTAAAGAGGTGACAATGTGGGTATGAAATATCGCCCCCGCGTTCTCCAGCTTCTTCGTAGAATTTGGAAGATTCTGTACCGTAGAGCAAGACTCCGATCATATCATGGGGGTTCGATATGATGCGTTGCTGCATCAAATGATACGCGCACTTGAGGGCTGCAGATGTAGGTGATTCTTGGCCGGATTTCTTAGGGTCCTCGGATAGCCGGGGCTCCAGCATTGAGCTGCTCACGTCGATCGCAAAGAGGACGGCATCCTTGACAGCTCGAAAGCTCTGTCATAATTGGGTCAAAACGTGGATCTTTACCTCCGATAATGGTTCATGGTATAGTTGATAGCTACTTACCGTCTCGTCAACCTCCTCATCCTCGATGTTCTCCTCGTCACGCGCGTAATCGTCGTCAGCCATATTGTTCTCTCTCACCCAAGAAGCCTTGAAGACTTGAAGAGTGAAAAAGAGAGAATTGCAGGACCAGCCTTTGCGTCATTGGGGAGCTGCTGCCTGAGACGCGATTTACGCGGGGGCGACGCGAAGGTCATGTGACCCCCTGCCTGGAACTGCTGACTCCCAGCGGGGCGGTGATTGGCTGATTGGCGGGTTGGCTGCGGATCGGTTTAAAGCTTCCCGAGGCCGACTCTCAAGTGGCGCATGAGGACTTGCACCTGGCATTCCGCTCATTATCAACTAATAATACAACCTCCCGATCCTCCATTGACTCTGGGGCTTGACTAAACCCAGCCAATTCGACAGCGTTCAGTGTTCGTGTCGGAATTTCCATCGCAGCCATGTCATTCCGCAGTCCCTTCGCAATTCCCCGTCGGGTATGGAGCAGTGCCGCAACCTCCGCCATGCGGCCAATGCCTCGGAACTGCCTGGCTTTTGGCGGCAACCAGAGATACAGTATGGCGACAGTAGTACCCCCAGTCACGCAGGATGCGACAGGCTCGAAGGGTCCCACCGCAATGGTTTTCCTGAACATGGGTGGCCCATCAACAACGGCCGAGGTGGAGGATTTCCTCGGCAGGCTATTTGTACGTTCAATGGAACATCCGGGCAAACTACGGTGTTGCTGGTGAAGGTGACAATTTGACTAACAAGATATGTTCTATCGCTACAGGCTGATGCCGATTTGATCCCCCTGGGACGATTCCAAACATACCTCGGTCCTCTCATCGCGCGCCGACGGACGCCCAAGATCCAGAAGCAGTATGCAGAGATCGGTGGTGGCTCGCCAATCCGGAAGTGGTCCGAGTACCAATGTGAGGAGACGTGCAAGCTTCTGGACAAGATGTCTCCGGAAACCGCCCCGCACAAGCCCTACGTCGCTTTTCGTTACGCTGCTCCGTTGACGGAGACCATGTATAATCAAATGTTGGCCGATGGCTTCGGAAATGGCAAGGGAGGTCGCGCAGTCGCCTTTACGCAATACCCTCAGTACTCCTGTTCTACAACTGGAAGCTCGTTGAATGAGCTGTGGAAGTGGCGCAACCGCCTGGAAGGAAAGCGTGCTAGCGGCGAGCCCGAGCCTGCCGGTGCCATCGAGTGGAGTGTCATTGACCGGTGGCCTACTCACCCTGGTCTTGTTGAAGCCTTTGCTCAGAACATCGAGGCACAGCTGAAGACCTACCCGGAGGAGAAGCGAAAGGAGGTTGTGTTGCTATTCTCTGCTCACAGCTTGCCCATGGATGTTGTCAACCGCGGTAAGTTGGTGACCATCACTGGACTGAAATCATCGGAATTCTAACTATATTATCTGCCTAGGTGACCCCTACCCGGCCGAAGTCGCTGCGACTGTTCACGCCGTTATGCAGCGTCTGAACTTCAGCAATCCTTACCGCCTCTGTTGGCAGTCTCAGGTTGGCCCGAAGGCATGGCTTGGAGCCCAGACCCAAGATACCGTGATGGAATACGTTAAGCGCGGCCAGTCCGATTTGATCCTGGTGCCGATTGCGTTTACTAGCGATCACATCGAGACCCTGTATGAGTTGGACCTGGAGGTCATGCACGAAGCCAATAGCCCCGGAGTCAAGCGGGCGGAGAGCCTGAACGGCAACCCGGTCTTCATCCAGGCCTTAGCCGATATTGCCTATGCACACTTGAAGAAGGGCGAGCCATGCTCAGCCCAAATGACTCTGCGCTGCCAGGGTTGCAAGAGCGACCGATGCTTGGAGTCGAAGAAGTTCTTCGCCGGCAAGCAGCGTGCTTCGCTGGTTATGTAAAAGCTGAATACTCTCCACTTTTAATCCTGTCTTTCTACAAATTTCGGGTTATGTACATATGTTTGGGGAGTGGTTCCGGGAGTTCCAAGGATATAAATGTGGGGATTTGATATGTGCGAGTTTCTGTACAATACTTTGTGTCTTGTTATTATTGTTCCAGAAAAGCCAGGGTAACAAGGAATTATAAGAAGGTTCAAGCCAGCAAGATCAATGACTGCATCACTCGCGTGGAAAAAGCGGAGTTCGGAGATTCCGGAGGTAAACCGCTTATCTCGAGCCCTGTGGAGTGAGTTGGGCAAGCTCCGCGACCCGAAAGCCTGCTTTTGCTTGATTCATCAATCTCCCCCGCATCCCGACGGTCCCCCATTCCCTGCCGTGGAAATGTGGACGGGTAAGATTGACCCAACAAGTCCGTTCCCAAACACTCTGTTTACAACCATGCGCTGGTAACCTCGTGCGATCCCCCAAGGTGCCACATCACCGCCATGGAGAATGAAGAGCTTTTCGCGGGCGAACCTGCCCTTGATGCACGACAGCAAGCTGCGGATGCCCATCGCGCTGCAGCTGCATCCACACAGACCCCCTTGCAAATACACACAGAGCCTCTTCTGGCAGAAGATGATGAATGGTATCAGCAACACGAGGAACGAGTCCCCAGCATAGATGATCGGCCGCGATGGAGACGACCACATGTGAGTGCCTTTGGCGGTCGATTATGCCTGATTACGCTTATCTGATGGCGATCATCATGGTAGATCTGGTGGTTGCTGCCCTTCGGGCTCCTGTTCACCTTAGGCTTCGGTGGTCTCGCCGTCCCTAGAATTAACCTGATCATGTCTCTGATTTGTCGTGATTATTTTGCCGAAAAGACATCGCAGGATCCCAACTTCACCTACCTCCCCGTCATCGTCGGCGAAGATAACTCCCAGTGTCGACTACCGGAAATCCAGTCTCTGGTTGCCAGATTCCAGCTATATCTCAACCTTATCACCGGTATTATATCGGCTCTGGTGAGCCCCCGCCTAGGCCATTTATCCGATCGCTATGGAAGGACTAGAATGATTGCGCTTGGTGCAATGGGTGCTGTTCTGAATGAAGCCATTACATCCATTGTTGCCTCTTGGCCGGAGAACATGTCGATCAATATACTCTTAGTTGGGGCGGTGATGGACGGCCTGGGAGGGTCGTTCACTACGGCCCTGGCTTTGATTCACTCATACGCCTCAGACTGCACGTCACCTGATCGAAGGAGCGTGGTTTTTGGTATGTTTCACGGCGCTGTGTTCCTCGGAATTGCCGCTGGACCAACTGGTGCTGCATACTTGATCAGTAAGACCGGGGATTCCTTGATTGTCTTCTACATTGGCCTTGCGTTCCACATAGTCTTCTGCCTTTCGGTCTACTTTATTGTTCCCGAGTCTCTCTCTAAGGAACGACAGCTAGAAGCCCGGGAGCGTCATCGTGTGAAGGAGGCTGATGTCACCGATAGCCGGTGGTTGTCCTTGAGGAACCTTAACCCTTTGAATCTTCTCACGCCTCTCAAGATTCTTATGCCCGCTGTCGGACGACCAAGTGTCTTGTTCCCCAATCGTCGGGGAGCAAGCCCAGCCCTGCGCAGGAACATCGTCCTGCTTTCTGCGATGGATACTGCTGTTTTTGGGGTTGCTATGGGCACTGTCCAGGTGATTATCATCTACGCGGAGTACATGTTCAATTGGGGGAATGTCGAGTCGAGCCTTTTCGTTTCTATTATCAATGTCGTTCGTGTGGTGAATCTTTTCGTTGTTCTCCCGATTGTCGCCCGACTCTTCCGTACGCCATCCGAAGATGATGGTGTGATCCGCGGATCGGACAAGCTGGACATTGTTCTTATCCGCCTGTCAGTTGTTTTCGACGTCCTCGGATACATTGGGTACGCGCTTTCGAAACATCCATCTGTCATGATTCTCTCCGGTGCCGTTGCGTCGCTTGGTGGGATGGGCTCGCCTATCTTGCAATCATCTCTCACCAAGCATGTGCCTCACGAACGTGTGGGACAGTTGCTCGGCGCAACAGGCCTTTTGCATGCACTCGCCAGGGTAGTCGCACCCACTATCTTCAATTTGATCTATAGCATGACTGTTGCGACCTACCCGCAGGCTGTCTTTGTTTCTCTTGCAGCTGTATTTGGAGTGGTATTGTTTCTGGGCTTCCTTATACGGCCCCATGGTATGTCCTCCTGGTTTCTGCTTTTATCCTTGGAACGCCCAACTAATGGTTCAATAGTCACTCTCGACGAAGAGCCGATTTCGGATGCCACCGTTGAGGCCAATGAAGTGGGAGAAAGCGAAGAAGACCGGCTCCTCATGTAATGAATCTATCGTAGTTGAGGTCATAGACTTATATCAAACAAACTGTGTTCTTATATGCAATCGAGGATTGTAAAACTAAAGACCCACGTAGCTGATGACAATACCCCTGTGGGCCCATATTAGACAAGGGCGATCAGCTGATCCGGTAAGAGTGAATCCGGCGGGCGGCACGAGCCCAACGCGCAGTTTGGTGAATTTCCGAAAAAGTAATCCGCCCGACTTTCTCCTGCACGCCGAAGCTCCAATTGCCGTCTGCTCTAACCCCCTTCTCCTTACACCAATGGCTCAACAGGGCAACTAGTCGATTCAGTTTTCAACCTTCATTCCCCTTCCTCTGCCTTCAGGTCGCTGATGGACGACTGGTAAACCCAGCGTGATCAGCGACCACGCTTCAACCATGTTCGCCAATGCCGCAAACTCGACACCGGCTGTGCCATCGCGCAATGCTCTCCGGGTCCTTCGCCAATTAGCATTCGCCGGATCAACAGTTGGCAGTGTCTGCGGCGTTGCAGTCATCACCTACGATGTCCATCGCCGGGTCCGCGTGGCCGAGCAGATCATCGAGAACAAACGGACTTTGCATACTTCCGCGCCGAATTACGATGCGACCGCTTCCGCCCAACGGCTGGCAGTGATGATGGAGGCTGCGGAAGCCGGAGAGTTCATGGGCCTGGCATCTTTGAAGAACAGAAAGGGATACCCTGGAGGTAAGGAGGAACCTCTCAGTGAACAGACCCATGCCAAACCATCCCCTCAACATGGAGCTCGCCCTACCCCCAATTGGTTCCAGCCTGGACCGAGTGGTACAATTTCGCCGCCCATCTCGAACAGCTCCTCCGATATGCGGGTTCGAGCTGAAAACCGGGTGGCTTTGGCTCGAGAGGCCCGAGAGGCCGACATTGCACGTGCAGCTGGCAAACTTCCGATGGAGGATCGAGTTCGGGACTTGATTCGAGAGGACCGGGAGATCGAAGCTGCACAACTTTTCATGGATACCGTCCCGGCAATTGGTGGAGTCACGATTTCTATGGACAGGCGGGACCTCCTGCGTCAGCTGTTCGCTGCCAATTGCATGAAGGGAAACATCTTCATCGCAAGATCCCTGTTTACACACATGGAGAAATTGTCGGAGGTGGATTCAAAGATCTGGTCAACCATGATGCATCTGCTGGCCAAAGAAGGACACATTGAATCTGTCGGCGCCATTTATGAGAAACATCTTACCAAACTGACTGTTCCATCTCACTTGTTGGAAGTCATTATTCGAAGTCTTCTTGAGTCACGGAGGTTGACTTTTGCCAAACACCTTTTCTACACACGCATCAAACATGATGACAATGGTGGGCTGTGTGGTGCATACCTCGATGGATTGTGGAGGAAAACTCGGAAAATCGAACTACTCAAGGCCGAGTTCAACAAGATCCTCTTAGCACTTGCTGAGTTGGACCGAGGACCAACTGAGAAGGTCTTCAATCCAATGGTGAAGGCCTATGTCGAAGCAGGCGCCTTCGAAGCAGCCGAAGCACTAGCTACGGCCATGCTTTCCGAGTTCCATGTTCAACCTGGATGCCGTACTCTAGGACTGGTCTTGTATGGTAAAGCCCTTCAGTGTGACTGGGAGGGTGTGATGAGTGGGCTGCGTGAAATGCACGAGCTAGGATTCACCAAGGACAAGAAGAGTTTCGCGCTGGTCTTCGATCGCGTGTTCTTGGAGTACTATCCCACACATACCGGACCTCAAATTTTCGACTTCCTCCTGACTTGCATCAATGAGTTCAAAATTCGGCCAGACAAAATCCTTCATCGGCATATGCTCGAGGCGGTTGTTGAAAGATGTGACACCAGCTGCGTGAAGGCTTTGACTGCGATGGCCGAAGAGCGAAAATGGAACTCGGGAGTGGAACAGTACGAGCTGGTCAGAATCCTGGAAGCCCGCCGTTTGTCAATGCAAGACACACCGGTGGGTATCTGGCGCATGCTGCAGGCCGCCAAACAGCAATACGGATCAGTCGCGAGCAACCGGCGCCTGATGGGTTCAGACGCCGACAATTTTTCTTTGCGGGACAGTGTCTTGCTGCCCATCCATCGCGACGCCGACAAAAATTTCCCGGAAAGCATGAAAAAACTTGTGAGGTCGAGGTCCATGAACACCTACATGGCACTAGCAAAGCGACAAGAGCACCATATTCACGCCGCAAAGTTCACGAAAGCCATGTCGGCCTTCCGGCAGGCGAGCAAATCTGGACATCCCATCAAACCCATCCACCTCCAATTGACAGTCATCGCTATACTCCTGGAAAGTGGCTTGTCGGGCTTGAGAGATGCCCAGAAGCTTATCAATTCAGAGTGGCCATACTGGTCCAGGGTCCCAAAAACTCAATTCACTCCGCGATTCCCGCGTTTCGTGCCGATCTTCTTCCAACAAATCCTGCAAGTTGAATGCCGCCAGACCAGTGAATCCACTCTTCTCCACATCGCCTTGTTTGAGTTCTACAAGATCTGCGAGGATACGCCCACCTTCAATGTCAAGCATCATCTGTCCGTGGCCGTGGCCCGACGTCTAATATTGAAAGGCCAGAGTGATACCGCGATCGGACTACTCACAGCTGTCTATATGTCCAAGTGGCGCAGGTCTCTCGGGTTTGACCAAGTACAACTCAAGATTCTGATGCGTGCTTACGCGAGGACTGGCCATATCAGAGGCGTGTGGTGGTGCATGATGACAGTCCTCTCTCGCCAAGAGCCCGTTCTCGACGACTTTTTAGTTGAGGTCAAGCGTTTGATGCCCCTGCTGGAACAACAATACCCTCAACGAGATGCACAATCTCAAGAAGAAAGCAACGTGAGAACGCTAGGTTTTATTATGAAAATGCTGGAAGAAAAGGCTGCCGGTCGGCCATACTGGAAGGAGATCTATTCCTGTCCCGAGCAGAAGCACAGAAGACGAACTCAACCTCCCATGCAGGATGTGAAATCATACGATCGACTGCCGTCCACTAGCATCCAAAAGCTGGTCCAAACGTTCGATGAGGAAATGGAGATGGATTTCCTGCAAAAGCGCACGCAGTTCGACTTTGATACAGTGCAGAGCTCCTGGGATGAGAATCGGATGGTTACCGGGCTTCTTGTGCAGCCCGAGGAGGCTGAATACCCTGCAAATGTGCCAGAGGGAAAGGCTGCCGTAGCTTGAACGCTCCTTTGTATATAGTAGATAGATATATTATAACATGTATATTACGTCCAAATAGATTGGAATACTCTTGAAGTTTCTTGTGGATCAACGTGTAGAAGTCTCACTTTGTCACAACCCCAATTGTCATCAACCATCAAATCTAGCCCCTTCGAGGGCAATGCACAGCCTGAGGTCTCGCCATTCTTTAAAAATCTCAGGCGCCCCTCTCGAAACTCTATGGACGAAAGGCACGTTCGGATGCACATGTCTAGTTTGAGCTACAATTTCGGGAAGGTTATGTTAATACACTTGCATGAGGAGAACACCCAACTACTCTCGTAATTGATATTGTCTGAAAGTTTCCAGTCTGGCTATAATAAATCTGCACTTTGTTCGGTGTGACGACCCTTACATATGCTAGGGTCTGTAAATATTGGCAATCATGCAAGCACCAGTTAGATGAGAAACTACAAAAAGAACGACACGCCTCGCGATGGAACGCATAAACTACAGCAAGCATGCAATCGCTCTACAGCCTTTACACTCAATGCTTTCCCCCTTCTCCAACATTCGTCGACTCTTACGTCGGCCTTCAACTACGCCGAGTCTTTCTAATCACCGGCGGAAATTCAGGGCTCGGTCTAGAGCTTGTCAAAAGGCTGTACCCAACTGGTGCAACTATTTATCTGGCTTGTCGTTCCCAAGAACGTGCCGAGGCCGCTATACAGGAGGTGATTGATGTCGCTCAGAAGGCTGATATCAGCACACCTGGGAAACTCAAATTTCTGCATCTAGACTTGGCTGATCTTTCTTCGATCCGCAAATCAGCGGCTGCTTTTACTGAGCAGGAGTCTAGGCTGGATATATTGTGGAATAATGCCGGTATTGGGGGGTGTCCTGTTGGAACTACTACCGCGCAAGGGATTGAGGGGCATGTTGGGGTGAACTGTGTTGGAGCTTTGATGCTCACTCAGGCTCTCCTGCCACTGCTGCGGGCCGCGGTTCGTGATAGTCCCCCGGGTAGCGTCAGGGTTGTCTGGACGGCGAGTCTGAGTATCGAAGCGTTTGCTCCTGTCGGCGGGGCGAGGCTGGATCAGCTTAATAGTGGAAGCACACAATACCCCGTTGGCGACTACGCACAATCAAAAGTGGGAAATTGGTGGCTAGCAATTGAAACGGCTCGACGGTACGCGATATATGGCATTGTGAGCGTGGCGCAGAACCCGGGCCAATTGGATACTGATGTGTGGAAGCATCAGGCGTGGTGGCTCATGATCCTAGTAAGACCTACCCTGTACAAGAGAAGCTTTGGTGCATATACCATGCTGTATGCAGGATTCTCAAAGGATCTAGTCGTTGGAGATATGCGGTACGTGATGCCATGGGGACGGTTAAGAATTTGGAATGAGTGTCCGCGAAGGGATATTGTAGAAGCTATAGAGAAAGGGGGGCCGAAATGGTTCTGGGAGTGGTGCGAAGAATCGTTCAGACCATATATGTAATTAGTTTTGATCTCCAGCTCGAGTTAATGTAGTAAATCTTCTTCAATCAATGTGCAGCATCGTCTCGTAGACCAAGTATGGCCGCCTTGTGCTACGTCGGAATAATGTGCCCCAACGAGAAGGCCCGCCACGAGCCCAATCCCGCGAATGTAACATATGAAACTGTTAGGGTCGTGATTCCTTGCAAACAAAGCACACCTACCAATATCTAAACCAGTACGCGAGAACTCGTACATTGTCTGTCGGCCACGAAGTTCTGAGCGGGGGAAGTGCATCAATGAGCTTGGTGCTAGTCATTGCTCCTTCGTCGAGTTGGCTTCCCAGTTACTTCCATGGACCTGCAGCCAATTAGGGACCTTTGTGCCACCTGGCTCTCTGATAATTGGAAGAAACACTTCCTAGGGTGCTTCTCCCGATCGGCATAATGGACATTCTGGTCACCTGCATACTGTCCTAGGGGTGATATTTCAGCAATCCTTTTGTCTTTCAAAGAGGTAATCTACTAGTTATTGAAAGAAGGCATCCACACAGCAATAGTTCGTGGCTGGATATTTACCCATGTAAGGAGTGACGTCCCCCCACCTTAGCTTGGCCCAGAAACTGCATACCCTTCCCACATACCCGACCCGCCTCATTTTCGTCATGCTATAAGGTAAAGGGCCGCAACCCGATCGCCTGACTCCTCGCTCGTTGTAAGGATCTTACCCACTTCTCTTGAACACTTCATATGCCGTCCGTTTCTTTCCGTATATGCCTTTTGTAGGGCTACTGATCTGCGAGAGTTCTGTCCGGGATGCCAGATTTTATGGCTCCATGCACCCAAGCATAATCTTTATTGATTCATGATGATAATACTGGAAATCCATTTGCAGATCTCCGCAGATCGGGTCAAGAGCTTCGATTTAATTGGCCTTAATGGGTTTCTGATCAGTCCAAACAGCGCCAACATCCAAAATGGCGACGGTATATCTTGCCCCCTTAATGCGATGGATTATTATGGGCGTGCCATTCAGTGTCACTGGTTTTGGCCTGCTGTTCTTTGAACAACTTGCAGGCTCCGTTCGCATGAGATATGGGCTGTGTGGGCTTAATATTCTCTACGCCTGGTTCTCATTACGGCACCCAACCGCAAGCCCATTTTTCAACTACATGATCGGGCTGATGTCTATTGTGCATATTGTGCGCTCAGTAGAAATCCTCATTGCCTCCGACCCATCGACCATGAAACGCCTCAGGAAGGTCGGCCTGTCTTTTTACTTCTGGGAGCCACTTCCTCCACCTTACAGCCTTCGCCGCTTGTTGTGGATAATTGATATCGTCTCGAATCTCCGTGCGATTGGGTGGCGGCATGGCTCCGAAAAATATCTTCCTCCCCCATGTCAAATCCTCGAAAAAAACAGTTTTAGTCGTCCATCGACACCGGCTGCCACCTGGGGCCCAAGCCGCCAGTCCTTTCTCTGGACTCAAGCACGACGGCTTGTGGCAGCTTACATGTGGTTCGATTTCTACCATACCATGTTTGTCCACGAGAATGGCCGACATACGGAAAGGCTGATTGACATGACCGCAAAGAAGATGCTTGGAGCATATCTGGCACCGGCGACCTGCCAGAACATTTATAAATGGCTGGGCCGAATCGCCCGGATTATCAGCGCTCAGTTTTTCCTTGATGGGTTTCACGCTCTAACCGCTCTGTTTGCCGTCGGTATCATAACGGATACCTGGCTTGGTACTGCAGGAGAACCGTGGGCGTATCCTACTCTATTTGGGGGGTTTCGGCTGTCAACCCCCAATCTAAAAGGTAGGAACTTCATGGCGCCTCGGGGTTGGTACAGAAACCTTACTAAACACTGGCTAATGGCAGTTCATTGCAGACTTCTGGGCAAACTGGTGGCACGACCTTCTCCGGCGCCCATTCTGGACTGTCGCAAAGTGGTTCGTTCCACCCGCCCATTCCAATGCCCGACATATTTGGACCGTTTTTGCCATGACGGGTGCCGCACATGCTTCAGCATCATATAATGTGTCTCGACGTGCGTGGCCTGCAGTGCGAGTATTTGTAGCCTACTGCCTTCAGCCAGTTCCAACCATTTATCAAAAGCCGACAGTGCAGTGGCTTTCTTCCAAGATATTTGTTGCCCCAGCGGCAAAGCCAGTCATTATATGGGCGGGGGAAGGTTTTTTATCGATCGTCTGGCTGCTTTGCATCCTCCCTTTGCAAATGGACGATCCTGGCCATGAAGCATTCCTTGCATCCGTGCGACTCCCGTGCAGCGTGATGGAACGCGTCTTGCACGCCGTCAGCACTTAAGTTTGTGACACCAAACACCATCTGAATCAGCCAAGGTTGTTCCAGCTGATTGTCTGGTCAATCAGGAATGCCAAACAATGCGTCCCATGGCGTCTGAATAGATGTTGCCATCGCACCTCACCGTCGAAAAGTTGACGATTTCGAGTCTCTTGCCAAGAGCGTAACGATCTCCTGTTCCGGATTAGGGCTAACTCCCTAGACCGCGCGAGTGCAGCCAATAATAGCGACCAAATCCCTGTCAGAATGCCTGAATCCTTGTCTCTAGATATATGATACCGTTCGTCTCTCCAGCTAGCCACTAGCCAAATTCGGTTAGATTCCTGTTGTTACAAACATCTCCATGTGCCTCCTTGTCCTGAAACGAAGGAACGTAGTGAAAGGGTATTATACAGCTTGTCGGGCGTATGATTGGCTGATCCTTACGGACGTGCATCGAACTTTCCAGCGACCCCTTACCAAAACCAAGTGTACAAACTCAACGTTATCACTCTACTCGCCATTACTTTTCGCACTTATTTCGTTTCAGGGCCACGGCGTGCAGCAGCGTGTCACCAGTTACATCCAAGATTGGTTCCGCTGGGTCCTATCCTCGACCTCCTTCGCCTACTACGATTACTAGCCATTACTGTCTCAGCTTGGTTCGACAAAAAGCAATTTGTGCGTACCTAAGTATTAAGACGTTGCAATTAGGCAATTTTCCAATCGAGACTGGCGCTATATTTACCTATGTCCCATTTTGTAAAATACAGGAGTCTAGGATAGCCTTGCTAAAACCACCAACATCGTTCCGTCTTTCTTATCACGCAAATGGTAAACTGCTATATCCTTGATCACCTAACCTCACTGCCAGTTGACCATGAGGACGCTTCATTGCGGATCCGTGCGATTTCATGCCACAATTCCTTATGCAGAGACGCACAGATCAAGAACCCGGTTTTTTGTTTATCCTGCCACGAAAGAACGGCGTCATGCCACGCAAGTCCGACCGAGGTTGAGAGACCTATTGAATCGATGCTTATATCTGTGTATTCTGGAAATGCATCCTGGCCGTCTGCTTTGGGGAGTCCCATTCCATAGCACGGCAACTGAGACGAAGACGACATTATGACTTCAGACACATGCAGATTCTGGCTGCGTGGATACATTGGCCTGTGTTCCATAAGTTTGAAGTGATCCAGCATAGCCTGCAGAAATTCCTGGCTGCGCGCAGTCATTATCACCTGGCGGATATACGCAGCTAGCTCAACGAGTTGCTGCGGCCCTGTTCTATCATGTGCTTGGACTGGTCGAGGTACCGTCACCACCCACCACGGATTGTGCACGGCAGCTTCGCTGTCAAGGTCCCGTTGAATGTTTTGTACAAAGCCGAACATACCCTGAGACTCATCCGGGAAAACATTGAGGGTGGCCTGCCGAAAAGTATGTGAGCATAGGCTAGGCAGGGTCACTCAACGAAGGAGCGGATGACGCGGAAGATACCTGGAATATAATTGCCACAAAGAGATCATGGCGCGTGGCATCAGGTGCTATTTCTCTCCTCCACGGTTCCAATAAATCTAAAACAGAGCCGGGAATGTGCATGGTTCTGCTGGATCGTAGAGAGCTGGAGCGCGAGAACCACTGTTTCGCACATGTGCCCAGTAATCCGACCCATCCATGTCCAAATCGAGCCCGGTTAGCTTCCAGGAGTTGATCCAATAGCTGACGGTCTGAGACAGTCGGGTGATGGCGCAGGTGAAGCTCATGCGTGGATGGGCGTGGTATGAGGGGCTCAATTGGTTCACCCCAGAGCGCTGTCTTTAAGGCCATACCAATATAGGCGAGGCCTTTACTCTGCGGTCAATCAATTGGTTATTATTCACTGGGTGAAAGAATACGAACCGCTGGCATCGCACAGGCCATGCTGGAACCCTAATTCCACCAGGCATGCATCTTGTAGCTGGACGACCTTGATGACCAGTGCGGGCGAGAAAAACAGAGCGGAAAGGGAATTAGGAAACTGCAACAAATCGTGAAGTGCTTTCCAGCGCTGAGATGAAAGTTCTCCGGTCCGTAAATGCTCGGAGGTAATGTAATCAGACAGCTTAGCGTCGATGATTTTGGAGTGAAATGGCAGTGACTCTGCTGGGTCGTGAACTGGGATGAGAGATGTGCGCTATGATGATTCCAATACAGGTAAGAAAGCCATCCAATGTCCTCCAAGCCATCACGAATACTGACCAGGAGATTGACCTTGGTATGAAGAATTGGCCAGGAGGTCAGGAGTAGATGGAAAGCGTGGCGCACCCGGTCAAGGTCGATCTGTTCGCGGTACACTAAAAACAAGCGAGCTAGCAAGAACCGTGCAGCTGCGGTATCTAGACAGTGTAGTTGCATTGTGCCTCTGAGAGTTCAGTAAATGCCAGAATTCTCATGACCCGGGCCTGCTTCTTGTACATCGCGGCAGCCAGTTGCATCCATATTATTAAACAAGGAGGGTCTGCAACCCTAAGCGGGGTGAGAATTTTCGTTGGTAGATGCAAGGAGCTATATGTATCTTTTCGTCCTAGGTAATAACCACGGAATGACCTGCTTCCAATTGATGTAAAGAAAATTGAAATGGAATGAAACTAGATGGGTCCAGAGGCTCCTGACATGGCTGAACAATCTTCAACTTCTATCTCAGCGGATGAAATGAAGAGATAGTCACGAACAGCCCGCGCCATAAGCGGAAACTTAGTTGCTTTAGTTTTCCGCCATTTACCAACGGCTACTTATAAATTCAGTGTCGCGAAATATGCAAGGTACGATGCATCAGAGATCAGCAAGGGCTTCATGGGCCGCAATTGCAACCGAGTACGATACTAAACATGCTAGAGGCAACAAACTGCATCAAATGACAGAAAGGAGGTGGAATAATGCTGAGGCTTTAGGCCATTCATGATATCCCCAGACCCAAAAAGCTTACTCTTGCTGCCAATATTGCAAGTAGGTTCAATATATGATAATAGGTAAGCTACGTTTCGACCATCGGATGTGCGATCCTCTCGAATCTCATCCGACAGCAGGAATGTGGACCACCAGGAGCCGGTCTCCCGCCCCCTTTTTTTATTTTTCTTTTATTTTTCTGTTTAATAGTCATGGGTTTTACTTTGTTTGCCATATAGCAGAACAACATCTTCCGCAGTTTCGATATCTAGGTTGACCTGTCTCTATTATCCAGAGACATGATAGAAAGTTCACCATCCATGGATGACGCCCAGGCCACAACACTAGAACTCAAGCCAGTAAGCCAAGGAGTGGCGAAATTGTGGAAAATAACTTCTTGTAATTCTGCGAGGGCTCTGAACTCATATTCTCCTCGAATGCATTAAATGTGGCTTTCCAGGCTACTGTGTGATCAGCGGTAATCTGATTCATGGCTGTCACATGGTTCGGAGTGACTTGACTTCTCAGCGCAGCCATATAGTCGTCCGCCTCTCGAAACATCGCTTGTAAAACGATTGGAACCATGAAGCCTACGCCAGCCTGGTTCAACATCGGTGCCTGGTGATAAATAGAGGTTAGAAGTGGCTATATTTGAGTTATGATGCCTTGAAGTCCAAGGGGCGTAAAACCTTTGTTCCATATGCCTTGTATAGGCCGATAGCTTCGTCATTGATGAAGGTGAGGTTGCGAACAATCATATCAGACTCCTCGTCATTAAATTTAATATCGGTGGCGAGATCGGTGTTAGCCGCCCGCAGAGCGCTCCATGTATCATAGTTGACCCAGGCGACAGGGACAGCTCCTACCAGACCGCCATTGTAACGGTTGATCGCGTATTGATTTTTATGGAGCGTCTCCGTGATGGCGGAGGTTTGATCAATAAAATCATTTGCCTGGTCGGATAGTGCATGAGAAGATGATATCACTAGGCACACCAAGGTTTGGAACCAACGCAGAAAACGCATGGTGGTGATAGGGATGGTGTGACAAGCTCGACAGTGGATGGGCACTAGCAAGCGTGTGGGTCGCGGTGGCCTGGGTATTTATGACATGTCCTTTAAGCGAGATGTCAAGGAATGTAAGGGGGGCAGCAGGACATCTGCAGATTTTAATAAATATGTGGGATACGACGATCAGAAAAATTGCACATGCCGAAGACAGGCGTTCTTAGGGCGCAAGGCCCTCGAATCTCGTTCAAATTAATGCCCAAAAATAGGGTTGAACCATGTGCTAAGATTCACGCCTTCTCTAGCCGCTTTCACCTTCGTCTGGAAAGACTGGTACCTCTCATTTCTTTCCTCTCCCTTTAGTGTCCATCTCCCGAGCTTTGGGTTAGGACCGAATACTACCGCATTCTTTACTTTCCTTATTTCTAGACTAAGAAAAATTTACAGCGCATGCGAGGATTAGGTCGGGAATGCAAGGTAGAATGCCCCCGTCAAGAGCGATTGACAATCCTTAGTAGAACCGACAGTCCGTGACTCGGGTGGAAGAAAACGGTTTAAGGTATTCACTCAGCTCTCCCCCGAACCATGAAAAGGCTAACAATATATTAAGTCACTTCAATCCCGTGGAGAAAATTACCGTAATTTCTCTATCCGTGCCAGGAGCTTCCTTCCCCCATGTCAACCAAATCGAACCCCAAAATGTCCATGAAATCAACCTGGCGTGCCAAACACCGGGAAGATTGGAACTTGAATCACTGGCAAATTGGGTTGCTCGACTTTTTCTGTACGCCTTCTGACAAGACGGTCCCATTGCACTCCAAAAATGAGAGGATACCATATGTCAACCAGTGGTCTGGGAACATTTGGGTGCTATTTTATGCCTCCATCCCACTTTGTCTTCATCAACTCTACGCTTTGCATATAGGGTCCAACCTGGGCCCATATGCAGTGTTTATCTTCTACTCTCTCTCATATGGCTCCATTTTGCTATATTTATTGTGCTTGACCAGCCGCCTTGGCTGTATATATGGATTCCTGGATGGCGACAAGCATGAGCGCGATGGAGTCCCTGATATTGGGGTAGGGAAGGTGGTTGCTTCATTCTACAAAACATGTGCCTTCCGTTTGTTATTTTCAACCTATCTCTCCTACGACCCCAATAAAACGCCTGTGCAGATGAGCTGGACATGGCTTCTTCTGGAGGTCAGTCTATATGGACTGGTGAGCGACTTCTGGTTCTACTGCTACCATCGCCTCATGCATGAGGTCAGCTTTTTCTGGAAATATCATCGCACTCACCATCTTACCAAGCATCCAAATGGTCTATTGAGCGTCTATGCAGACCATGAGCAAGAGTTCTTAGACCTGGTTGGGGTTGAAATCGCGACCTATCTCACCCTCCAAGTTATGGGCCTGCCAATGGGCTTTTTTGAGTGGTGGATCTGCCTCGTTTATGGACTCGTCACAGAGGTAGGCGGGCATACTGGTCTTCGTATCCACATGATAGCTCCCTCGCCAGTTAGCTGGCTATGGCAGTGGCTGGGTGTTGAGCTTGTCATGGAGGACCACGATCTCCATCATCGTACCGGCTGGAGGAAGAGTCATAACTACGGCAAACAGACTCGCTTCTGGGACCACATTTTCGGTACCTGCGCCGATCGCATAGAATAGGCGCCGGGGAATGTCGACTATTCAACGCCAGTTCATTTCCCTCTATTTGATCTCGATTATGCTTTGGATGTATACCTGTCGATCTGGATGGTCTGTGCTGATTTGTGCTTTATATAATCATGCGGTAGTCTGAACTGTGACAAGAATGAGGACTTTGGAGACCTGTTAGTTAGGTCTCCAAGAATCAATCTTGTGCTTACTCTTCTTGTCTTCCATTCAGACTTGCTCGTTTCCTCCCCACACACATCTTCTTCTTACCTAGTTGACAGGTCCCTGTCCTGACAAACAGCACCCTTACACACGCGATCATGAAAGTCTCGAAGGTCTCTCTTATAAAGTTGTGGGAATACCAACGCGAAGCGGGATGGGGCCACCGAAGGGCAGTAAATAGCACGCAAAAACATCCGTGCTCTTACTTTCGAGTGTGCAACAAATCGGAAAAGGCCACAAGAGGGCCAATTCGAGTAAGAGCCTCCAACGACACCGAAGCACTGCGAACCAATCATCAAGGTTTTGGACAAATTTCGCCTCAATTGTGTAGGGCTTTTGACAGTCTCACAGATCATCACGAAAAAAAGGTGAAAAAGTCTTACCACGTGCAGGACGTTTCAGGGCAGGCCCCTCCCCGGACGGCCCCACCGCTTTCATCGAAAGCTTCAAGTTTGCGGTTTGAATTCACTCTATGATTCATGTCAAAGAGGTTTTTATTCTCATAACCATTCGGCCACGCCCCAAAAGTAATTTCTTTGATTATTGTACCAAGTGTATTCATCCCACTCCACGCGCAGACTTCCGCCCCTTGTTCGCATGGATCAATAATCCAACTTGACATTTATCCCTACAGTATCCCTTGTCAATTCCTGCTGATCACTTATCCCAGTTAGCAAAGGAGGATACAGTGGATTTCGAAAACAGATTACCCCCTAGACACTAGACGCTTTCTCTTCTATTGCCCCACTTTAAATGTGTTAAGCTTAATTTTGGCCAGGAAAAAACCCTATGAGGAGCGTAGCGGTTTGATTGGCTGTAAGGAGAATCTAAAACTAGGCGATCTGAACATGACTCTCTCCAGTGGGTCGCAGAGAAAGAGAGGGTGTGTCTGTGGGGTAATCTGTTTTCGAAATCTACTGTAAGAATGTTCTACTACGATAATTCTCGGAGTCTATTAGAGATACAACGAATCAAAAATGCCTCAATTTTGTTGCAGCACCTTTCGGCTAATCACAGTAAGGGTTGACTTTATTAAAGCAATTGAAGCTCCCCTGGACCAGAGCCAACATTAAGCAGCAACGATATACTTGTTTTTACAGCGAAAGCGATGGGTTTGGATCAAGTTCTCCTAGTTTTCCTTACGATCGCCCAGTACTGTGTGTGGTCTTTTATTGTCGCCTTCACATATCACGGGTCGCTTGTCCGCCTTGTAATGTCTGCATGGCTGATTGCACTCACTAGCTTCGAGACTATTGTCCTGAGCTATATCGATGCGCACCCAATTCTCAACATCATCGTATCACTTTTCATTCTCATCAAGGCGATTCACATTTTCAACCTGATTCATATCCTTGGTGTGGACATATTCGACATTGAAGTCTCTGGGTCCAGAACGCCAGCACCTGACACGTTCCGCCAGTTTTGCCTAGCCTTGAGGCTCGTTACAAGCACATACGGCCTTCCAGCAAATTAGCAGATAAAAAACCTACCATATTCTTCAAATACGTTTATTTCGAATGGTACAAATCACCGCCGCAGATTTCTTGTTTGCCAGGCAGGTATAATCACTTAGGTTTACATTGCGATTGACCTTTTATACTTCGGTTTACTGTTTGATATTCAAAATAACGGTTTACCCCTTTATAATCTTCACACCGACTTCTTGGTATGAGAACGACAGCAGATGCGATGCTTGCACGGGCAGTCCTAGTGTGTATTTTTCTTCCAGCCTGGGCGATGATATTGGATGTGATTTATAAAGTCTCCATCGTCGCAGTCGTGAGAGGAACTAAACAGTGGGAAGACTGGTATCCACTATTTGGCAGTGTTAATGACGCATATACTGTCCGGAACTTCTGGGGGTAAGTTACTCCTACAAAGTTACTGATCCGTATCGTGTTATCCTCAAATCTAATCAGTCTCGTCTCTTTTAGTAAATTCTGGCATCAGTTAATTCGCTGGCCTCTCTGTACACTTTCGAGAAAAACTACATACAAATTCTCCCAGGCTACCATTTATTCATTGCTATGTCAAGATGGCTCTCGTTTTTACCCCCTCGGGATTCTGGCATTGCATCGCTTTCGGGTACAGTGACACACCAGGTATACTTCCTCGCAAAGTTCTCTTTTTCGTATCCTCAATTGTGATCACAATGTTGGAAGGCCATTCCACGGTTGTACTACTGTCCCGCAGGTGGAGTGTTTCGTCGGATCTTGCTGGGCCATCATATAGCTGTATATCGCGTTGCCGTTGTTTGCGCTCCTCATTTTGCGCATTTCCGCAACAACAAGCCGGGCTCTACCATACGTATTTGTGCAAGACTTTGTAAAATCGAATATAGCAGTGGTTCTTGGCCTTTAAGGGTTGATTTTGTATAAATACATTGATGTTAGAATTTGTAGTGTGGGGTAGGCTTAGGCGGTTCTCACACACCACGACGCACTTGTACTCACGGTTGCTATCCTCCCTTCATATTCAGTGCGTCAGCAACTGTCCATACTAGCCAGTCAAGCATTATCCTCATTACTAGCTGTAATAAATATCAAGCCCAGGAAACGAATTTTTGTCTGTTTACAAAGACGGCTGCCCACGTAGTGAAGGGGCATTCCCTGTTCTTAGGAGTTTATGGGAGGCTGAGGTGCAAGGTGTATATGTGTGTTTTGTTTGCTTTGTTAGCAGATATTTTGCTTACACCCTCGGACCATGCGAACATGCGAGCTTGGCCAAACACTCTCATGGCTTTGTCGCTCGGATATCCCGGTCGGGTCATCTTAGCCCGATCCCCACGGGAATCCACCGGTCCATCGGCAACGTTGACCTACCCGAAGAGAAAGATTGCCCGGCAGGGAGAACCTTTTTCTTCTCATGGCGGGGGACATAGAATGTTCAGTCTTTGCTTGATAACTAAAGATCTGACGACCCCAGACTTCCGGTGGCTCCACGATGTCCACTTTGACCGTTCTTGTTGTCCACTTTTGATGTTTACGCGCCTCGCGACATGCCTCGCGCTAAATCAACACTAGACCCAGCCACTCGGTTTCGATGTGCAGTCTGCCCCAAAGAATTCTCCCGACGGGAGAACTTGATAAGACATGCCCGTATTCGTCAGTCTCTCCCAGTGGCTGATCTCACCTACGCCATAGTGCTAAATCTCTTCTCCACTTCTAGATAATCCGAAGAAACTTCACTATTGCTCTGTATGTGGCAAGGAATTCACAAGAAGCGATGTTCGTCAGCGCCATGAGGAGATCCACAAGGCAAGACAAACCTCTCCAGCAGCCTCGTCACCACCAGTGGCGGCAATGCCTTCGGAGGGGTTTAGAATGATGACACCACACATGGGAACTAGCGATGCCCTGGGCGAGTTTGAAGGCAATGAGCGTGTCAGCTCCGTATCACATAGTGTTCACAGACCTGATATCCCTTTCGGAAGTCCAGATGAGGAAAATGTCATTCAGGATCAGTTGTCCAGTTGGATGCATCATTCGGGAAATCCAGAGCATATGTGGTTCGACGATGATCTTGTCTCGGCGCTCATGGACCCGATCATGATGCCGGGCCTCAACAGCCAGCCGCAAGCTCCGACGATCACATCACTTAGTACTACCAGAGCCTATGCTTTGAGCGGAAATATGCAGTCGGAGACCGAGCCCCGGTCACCTCCAAATGAGGCATCCGAAGAGGATCGATGGCCATTCAGGTGGGACCCAGGGTCTCGACCTATCACTGCATGCAAGCCTCTTCAAATGGATAAAACGCATCCATTAAGGCAAAATCACAACTCACACTTCGACATTTCTGCCGAGAGATACAAGATTTTGAAATCATTTCTCCAGCGACCAGCCCGCAAAGGCTTTGACTTTCACTCCCTGCCGTTACCAGACCTGGGAGTAGCAAACATTTTCATTGGGCTTTTCTTTACGCACTTCGAATATCAAGCCGCAGTTATTCATCATCCGTCCTTAAAATCATCTGATGTCTTACCAGATCCTCTCCTAGCCATCATGATTGCCATAGGAGCGACATATAGTCGGGAAAGGCACTCTTGTCGGTTTTCAATCGTGCTGATCGACGTGGCGAGACTGAGCACGCAATTGGCGATTGAATTGGACAACAAAATGATGCGGGATCCGATGGTTTTATATGCTCTGGCTCTCATATGCTACTCCGGTATTTGGTGTGGAAACAAAAGACTCTTCGAGCTCTGTGAGAGTCTTAGGGGAACAGTTATCACTTACTGTCGGCATATGCAACAAATGAGGCTTAATCCAAGTACCGCAGGGCCTGATCCTTCGACCAACAGCCCAGATGAGCAGTGGAACAGATGGATACTTATGGAGACCAAAAAGAGACTCGCATGGGTTATTTACAGTCTCGATTGTGTTTTCCCATGCTTGCTCTATCTTCCAGCCTCGTTTGCCTTGGCAGAGTTTATGAGCATTGAATGTCCATGCGACGAAGAATTTTGGCAAGCCACAACTGCTCAACGCTGGAAAAGTCTGCTTGGGTCTGCCTCCCTACCCCCTGCGAGAACTTTTGCCTCCGCAGTGAGCCCTTTTCTCGGGCCCCTCAATTTAGGACGTCCTTCGACGACCAACGTTCATATGACTCGCTCATCAACCTCGTATTCGGATGATATCGGTCTCAATTCCTGGACTCGCTACCTTGTACTCATTACAATACACGTCCAGGTTTTCGAACTCTCACAGCAGATCACCATGGTTACTGAAGCAACCCTTGACACCGAAATTTGGCAACCGTCAGAGGAGAGCTTGGTCAGCACACAGTCTTCAAGTAACTCTCTCCAGGAAACCACGATGAGTCCAAACGTTCGACATCACTTTATCCAATTGGCCACAAGATGCTCCGGCTCAAATCCTTCGAGTCCAGTACAAGAGGTTTTAAGCTCGCTCGCCAAACGAAAGGCCCATCTAGAGAGTATGTTGAAAGAGGTCCGGATATTTAGGTCAAAACGTACTAATACATTATCAGGTATGCTATTGGCATGGGAACAGGCGTATGCAATGTCCCCGCCAGCCGACGTTTCGGTGTATCCAACCTCGAAACACTTTCAAACGATTGCAGCAACCAACCTTCAGATCAGCCGTTTGATGCTTCATGTTCCCATTTCGGATCTCCAAGACGCATTAGGAAAGTCTGGGCCGGGTAAGGTGATCCCTGCGATGGAGATCATGCGTCGCACTCTCGCAGACCACCCAGACATAGTAGCGTCGTTTGTCAGACAATCTCTTTCAACCGTGAGCGAGCTACAGTCGAAGCTACTAAGTCTCCAGGACAGCTCCACCAGGAATATTATGGAGCCTCCGAGTATCATAAGCTGTTTCCTTAGTGGGGTCTATGTATGGGCCGCCATCCGCTCAGCGGATCGCGAACAAGTGATGTTTCTTCAAGGGCAGGTCTCACGTGTCAAATCCTCGGAGACATTTTCTGCAACTGTCAAAGAAGTTATAGCATGGCAAACTAATGAGGAATTGCCCCCCGATCACCTTGGAGCCCGGGCAAACCTCATATTACATGCTGTGGCAGATGTGCTTGGAAATATGGCTCCATGGAGCGCTTCACTCAATATGGCGCTACTCCTGTGCCATCGTGCAAAGGATGTTATCATTTATTGAAAATAGAATTAGCTTATGTTCATGAGCAAGAGGTCCCTTACTCCTCGATAAGGGAGATAAATGGTCTATATCTGGCTAGAATTATGGCTTCGGTGCCTTATTGATCGACTGATCTTAACATGGTTTCCCTCAGTTGCCCAGTGATCAAGCCTGCATTGCAACCTTGTGGCTCGCAAACTGGCGGACGGGTACCTTGGCCTCGTAGAAGTTGTCAAGGTCTTCAGTCGATAAGCCAGTAGTATCGGGAACGAGCATGTAGACTCCCAGGAGCAGCAAAACTGAGCTGCCGGCAAAGACAAATCCAGTTCGAGCGCCCAAATTTCCTGAATCGACATTATACATATACGGAACGACAAAGGTGATGATCCAGGTCGAGAAGGTTTGGGCCATCATTCCTAGCGACATCGACTTAGCGCGGAGTCGATAGCTGGAAATCTCTGCTGCAATTGACCACCCCGAAGCCTGCATAAAGGCTGCCTGCAAGGAAATCAGAAGATTCCTGGTTCCAAGTCAGTAAATGGCTCTCTAGCATCGGGAAGTTAACTATGCCTCACATGAGTATCGCGATAGCCCACTTGGGTCCATTGCCATGTCCGTAATAAAGAGCTCCAATGATCAGGTTGAACACAAGATTGATAACAGTACCCCAGAATAGAATATGACTGCGTCTGAAGTTCTTGAGAAGAATACCACTAGCAATGATGATAATGATAGCCAGACCGAATCCACCAACGGAAATGTCGAAGACGTGAATAGCAGGCAAGCCGACGGAAATCAGGAAATAGATTGACTGAGACAGGAAAGGCGCCCCGCCAAGATTCACAATCCCGAAGAGGAACATAATGGTCAACGTTCTCTTCAAGTTTATGCCTTGGAAGCATTCTACATATCGGGCTCGGTTGGCGTTTTGTTGAGCGCTCTCGTCTTCAATCGTCTTGGTCAAGTAGTTGTAGCGTTCCTCTCGGTCAGCGTTATCGCTGTAAATCCAGTCAAACAATTTCTTCGCATTCTGCTGCTTGTTATTCACAATAGAGTAAACTGGTGACCTAGTGTAGATTGTCAGTGACTTGAACATAATTCGGGATGCATAGTTCTTACTCAGGAGCTAAAGCAAAAGCAATGGCGACAAGCCCACCAACTCCCCATTGGATTGCGAAGACTGTGCGGAACGAGTGCTCCGAGACATCAGGAACAAAGATTCGGATGACTCCCATAGCCAAGGCCTGCATGATGAGAATAAAGATGACCAGTGCATGTTGGACAGGGGAGACAAGGCGAGGAGACACGATTTCCGATGCATATGTTGTTCCAGAAGCCATAGCCATGCCGATTCCCAGACCTGACACGATCTTTCCACCAAGAAGGAGCTTCTCGTATGAGCAGTGTATTGAACTGTAGCACCTACCAAGGAGATAACTCCTGCAATACAGCCTGACCACTTCCGACCAATACGATCAGCTAGGAATCCAGTGCCAGTAGCTGCAAGAGCCTGCGCCAATGCCGACATGGACGTCCATAGCGAGGTCCAGAGTGACGGAAGATAGAAGCCAGAAGCATTGTGCTCTCCAAAGTATAGAATGAACCCGGGCATCGAAATCGCAGCTCCGTTAACGATCGTGTCGTATCCGAACAAGACAGCTGCTGTGAATGGAATGCAACCTAAGGGAATTATTAGACTTGGGTATACAACCTGGGCTTGACTGTGACTGCTGGAAACTAACAAAGTAGGAGAGCTCTTCCATGATGCTGGAGAATCTCACGGAAGCTCAACTTCTGATCCGACTGGAGGAAGGCTGGTTCCTCCCACTCATGGTGAGAAGACGACGACTTGACGAAATTCTCAGGCATCTTGACCAGCTTCCTGGCGAATGTGTAGATTTGGTCTTGTCAACTAATTGACGGGGAGCCAGTCACCCTTTATGCATTCGTCGTTCAGAAACGAAAGCAGAATCTGGGGAAGTCCGGAGTGTAGCTAGACCGGGGTTAGACGTGGGGAAAGTGGACAGTGGACAGTGGATAGTGGACATCTCGGAAATCCCGAAACTGGACATTGCCCAAAGCGGATGTGGATAGTTTGTGAAAAGTTTGTATAAAAGGATGCGATAAAATATTGTTGAATTCAATGTGAAAGATAGGAAACAATGATGTCCGTGGAGCAGTTGATCCAATCCCTTTCCCTTGAGGAAAAGGTCTCACTCCTAGCGGGCAAATCATACTGGAGAACGGCGGGAGTGGCAAAGTATAACATCAAACCTATCAAGGTACAAGTTCTTCAAGATGGGGAATGATCAGAATGCTAAAACTGCAAGTAGTACAGCGACGGACCTAATGGCGTTCGCGGAGAATCCATTCATGCATCAACCAAAGCTACCTGCTTCCCCTGTGCGGCGTTGGTTGGGTCGACTTTCAACCCTGATCTGGCTCTCAAAATGGGTCAAGCCATAGGCAGGAATGCAACGCCAAGGGCGTTGGTATTCTTCTAGGGCCAACTATAAATCTGCATCGTTCTCCATTAGGTATGCTTTTGCAGCTCGAAGGATAAAGAAAAGTCCGGTAAACGCTAATCATGGCCAGGCGGGAGGAATTTCGAGGCATACTCCGAAGACCCAACCCTGTCCGGATTACTTGGGGCCGCATTTGTTAATGGCGTCCAATCAGAAGGAGTGGCTGCTTGTCCCAAGCATTTTTTAGGGAATGAATGCGAAACTCACCGCAAGACATCGAATACGATTGTCGATGAGAAGACGCTGCGGGAGTTGTAAGCATATGCCTTTCAAGTTCTTCTCAATGAATCTAACCCCTGGGCCATCATGACATCGTACGTCGATCTCAAAGAAACAAAACACGGCACATAATACTAAGACTCACAACAGATACAATCTTGTGAACGGTGTTTTCATGTCGGAGAATGAAGATCTACTTCAAGGCCTCCTCCGCAAAGAGTGGGGATTTCAGGGTGCCATCATTTCCGACTTTGAAGGAGTCTACTCAACGGTTCCTCTGTTATGGCAGGAGTGACACTAGAGCTGCCGGGTCCTGCTCGTTTCAGAGGGGAGCATCTTCTGAAGGCCATTCTAAAGCAGCAAATTCCAGAATCACATATCGATGACCTGGTCAAAGATGTCATCACACTTTCAGCCAAGGTTGGGATGAAAGATGAAACCGCTATAGAGGAAGATATTTTCAAGGATGAGAGTAGAGCAACCCTTGTGAGAGATATTGCTACAGAGGGAATTGTCTTATTGAAAAATGATGGACGCATTCTCCCATTATTCCCTCCGAAGAAACTACGAATTGCTGTATTTGGCTCTCCCGCTGCCAACCCAGTGATTCACGGAGGCGGCAGCGCTTCACTTACTTCGTCGTACGTCGTCTCGCCTCTCGACGCACTCAAGGACAAGTTTGGCGAAGAGAACATTCGATATCACCCAGGGGTTCCAATCTTCAAAAAAATTCCATCCGCTCCTATTTCCATAATAACAGCGCCGAGTACCGGTCAGCCTGGAGTCGACTGTTTCTGGTACAATGGCTGGGTGGTTGGTGAAAACCAAGTGCATCATGAGATTCTAGAGACGACCCGAACGCTTGTCATTGAATCGCGAATCTCGGATCTTCAACCAAAGCACTGTAATCGCATGAAATTTTCCCTTCAGGTCAGTACGACCGGTCTGCATACCTTCGGGGTGACTGCCTGCGGAAGGAGTGTTCTTCGAGTGGATGGCAAATTTCTCTTAGAACATTCGAGATTCAATGATTGCCGAGTGGAGTATGTCATGCAACCTGGAGATTTTGAAGAACGAGCCGATGTCTTCATGGAAGCTGGCTGTTCATATGAAGTAACTGTCGACACCCTGTCAACGACCGCACCCAGTCCATCGCCCATCTTTGACATTACACCACAAGCTACGTCGCTAGGATTTTACGAAAACCTCAACAATCCTATCAGCCAGGAGGTACAGCAGCTGGCATCAGAGAGCGACGTTGCGATTATCTTCGCTGCAAATAACAAGGAGTATGAGTCTGAATCGTTCGATCGCTCATCACTATCCTTGTCTCCGTTGCAGGATGACTTGATCCGTACCGTGGCCAACGCAGTGCCCAAATCTATATTGGTGAACCAGACTGGATCCCCTATTTCAATGCCGTGGATTGATGATGTTGACGCTATCCTCCAATGCTGGTACTCTGGTCAAGAGGTTGGCAATGCTCTGGTGGACATTATCAGCGGCGATATTAACCCCTCTGGCAAGCTTCCCGTCACATTTCCTCAGTGTATAGAAGATACTCCATCCTTTGGAAATTTCCCAACAGACCCCAATATGAGAGTCCGGTACGCGGAAGGATTGGAAATGGGTTATCGTGCACGAAGCAAGCGAGCTCCCCTGTTTCCCTTCGGATACGGCAAATCATATACCGACTTTGAGTTGAAGGGATTCGAAATCAAGAGAACCGCTGACTTCTCTCCACTGAGTGTAACAGTAACAACAACCGTCACAAATGTCGGACCCGTGGCTGGCCGAGAAGTTGTCCAAATTTATGTTGATGGCGTGCTGAAGTGCTTCCAGAAGGTCTTACTCGCCCCGGGAGAAGGCCGCGTTGTGGAAGTCACTTTAGACAAATATGCCTTTAGTGAATGGTCCCCAAAGGAGGGATCGTGGATTATTGAAGCTAGATCATATAGCATTGAGCTTCGACAAGACGCAAACACTGTGCTTGCTTCAACAACATACAGAGTTGAAACAAGGTTGTCCTGGGATGGACTTTGAGTCAAGATTGGTAGATTGCTCTCAGTTAAGAATTTGATACATGCTTTTCTCTCACGTTACGTACCATGATGTTGTCGTTTATCATCTTCCCTATAGATCAGCTGCTTATCTTGCCATTTCCCTTTCCAGGAATAAGGGTAAACCTGCCATTCTGGGAAAGAGTTGCGCCAACCTATCCAAACTCGTCAGCCAACCCCACTAGCTTCCTTCCTTACCCCACCTTCCAATCAACTTCCTTGATTTTATTTAAAGCAGCGTCGGACTACTGGGATATTGAGGTCAACCAACTATAATTCCAACTCAATGACAGATACTTGGGTTATCGTGGGCGCCTCTCGAGGCATTGGCCTCGAGTTCGTGCGTCAACTACTACAGAATGGCCAGCACGTCATCGCAGGAGTGAGGAGCTTGTCGAAGGCCGATCAGCTTCATGAGTTGAAATCCAGTTGCACAGTGCCAGAGCGCTGTATAATTGAAGAGTGCGATATTACCAGTGATGATAGCATTCAGGTGAGTCTTCAAGATCCAATTAGGGTACGAAAAGGTACTGAGGATGATAGAAATTCTCCAACAAAGTTGGGGAAGCTGTCACAAGTGGACTAAGAGTCAAGAATATTGTACTCAACGCTGGCATCCTCCACTATCCCAATCGAGCAACTGAAATGTGAGTTTATGTCCAAAGCCCATTCGACTGGATGAAACTTACTAAATATTTTCGAAGCTCCTTCTCCGATTTTGCTCTCCATTTGCACACCAACACTATCGGACCTATTATCTGTGCACGGAAACTAGTGAATCTTCACCCTGAATCGCCACCTTGCAAGGTCGTATTTATCTCCTCAGACTCTGGCTCAACTACCGTCTTCCGTGACGATGAAGATGGATTCGGGGCATATAGTGCCAGCAAGGCCGCACTTAACCAAATGCTTAGGCATATGGCGGCCGAGTTAACGCGAAGAGGCGGCAAGTGGAAGGATACGTGCGTGCTAGCTATGCACCCAGGTGAAGTGCAAACGTATGTTAAATGTCCCCTAAGCGTTTAATGGCATGTCTATTGACGCTCTCACAGCGACATGGCCAACATCGATCTCGGTTGGGAGGTGAAAGGGTCCATACAGGCAGATGAAAGTGTTGCAGGAATGCTCAAGGTTATCGAGCAGAAGGATGAAACTGGCAGTTTCTGGTGCTGGGATGGAAGAGTAAGTCTCGCTCATTATTTGATCTTCAGGTAGCGACGATTATATCTGACAGTTTCTACCTAGCGACACCCTTGGTGAAAAGAAGACGAAGTCTCTCTTCTGGTATATAACCTTTTCTGGGGAAGGAATTATTTTAAGTGCAAAATACGACCGCGCTCTACATAAGTAGCTTATTCCGTCTCCTTCAACCATGAACCAAGTATATACCAAGCACAGATTAATCTGTGTAGGGTCAAGCGCAGCGGGACATTTCCCCACATTTTTCTTTCCTCGAAGGAATAACTGCCCGCTTAGTCACTGAGATCGGGGACCTAAGTTAACTTAAGTAAGTTAGTTATTCCAAGTCGATGCCGCAACTTTGCTCCTCTCATTTTCTCTTCTGGGTCATAGCACACAGGATTTTCGTTTCTGCTTGTCTCCAAATTCTCATCCTTAGCATCATGTCTGCAGAAAAACCCACAGGCAACAGGCGTAAATGTCTTCTAGAAAACGTCCGTGTGTTTAACGGGACCGCTTTCACCGACTGCCGATCGGTAGTCATAGAAGGGGACATCATCGGCAGCAATTCAGACGGAGCAGACGAGATAATTGACGGACAAGGCCGCTTTCTGATCCCAGGTCTGATTGATGCTCATGTCCATCTCCACCACGAGGGCCATCTGCAAGCGCTAGCAGGCTATGGAATTACGACAGCCTTGGACATGGCGATGTGGCCTGCGGATAAGATGAATGGACTACGAAACAAGCCTGGACTGCCAGATATCAGGAGCGCCGGATTACCCGTGACGGCTTCTGGGAGCATTCATAGCTGTATGCTGCCACTTCCCGAGGAGGCTTTACTATCTGGGCCGGATGAGGCTGCGAGCTTTGTGCAAAAGAGAATTGACGAGGGATCGGATTATATCAAACTCATCGCAGACATCCCAGGGCCCAGACAGGAAACGCTCAATGCCGTGTCTGCAGCTGCTCATGCAAAGGGCAAAATGGTCGTGGCACATGCGTCGTCCTTTACTCCTTTTAACATGGCATTGGAAGCCAAGGCAAATATCATCACTCATGCACCTCGGGACAAGTCTGTTACTGAAGAGACTGCGGCAATTATGTTTCAAAAGAAAGTGATCTCCGTCCCGACCTTGACCATGATGAAAGCAGTGTCTGCAAAGCCACCCCTGAGTGCGGCTCTTGGAATGATGGTCTTCAAGCCATCGCTGTTCATGGCCATCTTGAAAGCCAAAAGAAATGGCCAAGGACAACCGACTTATGAAAATGCAAGAGACTCCGTTACAGCGATGTATCGTGCTGGGGTGCCGATACTAGCAGGCACGGATTGCCATGAGGCGCCGGATTCTTTCTTCGAAGTCAAGCACGGAGAGTCTTTGCATCAGGAACTGGAACTTCTGGTGGAGGCTGGTGTCTCCGTGGTGGATGCTTTACGAGCAGCGACGATCCTTCCAGCAGAACATTTCCGGTTGAATGATCGGGGTGCTATTGCTGAAGGAAAACGAGCTGACCTCGTTCTCCTTCGCGAAGACCCTACCAAGGATATACGCGCCACTCGCAGCATTGATCGAGTGTGGTGCGGTGGGATTGAGTATCAGAGTGTTACATAGTTGATGCCTGGTTGGTATAGTTCTGAGCAGGACGAGATCTACTCTGTAATCCGTATCCTTCTTGTCCATACCAAGTTCTTCTCAGGACTACTGTAGATAGACCAGTATTGAGACCACTCACAATTCAAATAACGATAAATATATGAATATCAAGAAAATTTATCCTTCTGTAAAGTATGTGCATATAATCAAAGAATGTCGACTGGAAGGTCGCCCATTTAGGCTTTGAAGGTTGGAATCCTTTTTCACATGTCACGCCACCGCCCCTTTCCCACGATCGATCGATCAGCCCATACGCTTCCCTTTTTCTCTCCCTCACCCAATCGTTCAACGTCCCAATCCCCTCCCAGGCTTCGACCCGTTATAAAGCTTCAAGCATGCCCCTGCGGCCACGGCCGCCTTGTTAGTCTACCGATCAACCCCCCCTTTTTCCTCCGAAGAAACCTCCCACCATGACCTCCGCGCTCAACGGCCTTGCGCCGAAATCTCCGCTGTCTGTCCAACGCCGCATTGAACACCATGAGGCCGACGTCGTTATCGTCGGTGCCGGAATTCTGGGCTGCGCACTCGCTGTTGCATTGGGACGACAGGGTCGTAGCGTGATCCTGCTGGAACAGTCCATGAAGGAGCCCGATCGCATTGTCGGCGAATTGCTCCAGCCTGGAGGAGTGAATGCGCTGGAGAAGCTGGGCCTGCGGGACTGCCTTGACGATATCGACGCGATCGACGTGGATAGCTACTATATCACATATTTTGGCGAACCGGTCAAGCTGTTCTATCCCAAGGAGACCCCGTCTTCCCCGCGACCGATTGGAAAATCCTTCCACCATGGCCGGTTCGTCATGAAGCTGCGCCAGGCTGCGTTAGCTTGCCCCAATGTGACGGTGGTAGAGACCAAGGCGACGGGCTTGGTGGCTTCGAACCAGTGCCAGGGGCAGGTGCTTGGTGTGGAGTGCGTGACTCAGGATCTGAAGGATTGCTACTTTGCCCAGCTCACTGTCGTCGCCGACGGTTACGCCTCGAAACTCCGCAAAGCACATCACCCACATACACCCAAGGTCCGGTCGAAATTCTGGGGCCTTGAGCTGATTGATACGAAACTTCCCTCCCCGAACTCTGGCCACGTCCTCCTCAGCGATAAGCCCCCGGTCCTCATCTACCAGATCGGTGCCCACGAGACCCGAATCCTCGTCGATGTCCCCGATAACCTTCCTTCGGCGTCGGTCGCGAATGGCGGTGTCAAGAGCCATCTACGGAACGTGGTCTTGCCCTCTCTTCCCGAGGGAGTTAGGCCGTCGTTCGAGGCAGCACTAGATAAGGGACAATTACGCTCTATGCCAAATTCCTTCCTCCCCGCATCCACCAACAAGACCCCCGGGTTATTGATCCTGGGCGATGCGTTGAACATGCGACACCCCTTGACTGGCGGTGGAATGACTGTGGCTCTGAATGACGTCTGCTGCATCCGCGAGTTGCTGAGCCCAGAAACCGTGCCAGATTTGGGAAACACGGCTCTAGTACTCAAGCAACTGTCCCGGTTCCACTGGATGCGCAAGAATTCTTCCTCTGTCATCAACATTCTCGCCCAAGCCCTTTATCAGCTTTTCGCCGCTAATGGTATGTCTTTATACGCTTGACCTGCAATTTACCCTACTAAGTGTCCATCAGATACCAATCTCCTCGCTCTCCAACGAGGTTGCTTCCGCTATTTCCAGATCGGTCCCGTCGATGGACCGGTCGGCCTGCTCGCAGGCCTGATCAAGCAACCCTTCGTCCTCTTCCGCCACTTCTTCACTGTCGCCTTCCTCTCCATATGGGTCCTTTTCCGAGAAACGCCCTTTACGCAATTAATTTTGTTCCCATGGCGATCATTCATGGTGTTCTGGACAGCCTGTGTCGTCATTTTCCCATTCATCTTTGCCGAGATCTGGAGCTGAGATTTCCGTCACCTGATCTCTCGAGTTAGGGAGGAATCTAATGCACAGCCAGAATCCATTCCCATTGTCTTATTACCCCTCATGAACTGAACATATTGCGTTTTGATTATCTGCAGCGGGCTCTATCTTCTTAATATTGCATTGCTGCGCCTGTTATCTTTTCTCTTGATCTGGGTAATGTCTGGACCCGCCTATGTGATATAATCTCGTCCGCCCGCTTTGCCCTGCGCAAAACCAAAAGCGATCATTTGGCCCCTTTGATAGACATCCCTAGGGCTAGGAGGTCTTAGGGCGTCTACTCTGGGGCTGATGATCATGCCTGCCGCCATGTACTATACCAATTAAACTCCCTACACAGCCCACATTATACCGGTGCTTCTAGAATGTGTAGTTGGAGCCTATATTGAGAACTAAAAGACCAACCACGCCAGTAAACCCTCAAGACAAGAGGCCCACCATCAAACTGAACTCAACCAATCAACTACATCTCACCCTCGCACAACTTAATCTCAATGGAACACCTGGAAAGATCGACATACACATACACATACCCCAGAATGATTAACATACCTCGCTTCAATGCAGTAGAGGTCAGCCGCCTATGACGGCAAATGTGATCTGATGGCGCAATGGGCAGCGGGAAGATATAAAGATGGGGGGTATATACCTCTGTACGGTGATTGCGTGTTCAACTGTGCTGCATTCCCTCCCCCGCAGCCGCCTCCCTTGCCCAGGACTGAACAGCATCTCTCAGGACGCTTCTTATATCCATTGCAGCGATTTACTAGCCACTGCTGGTCCACGAGGGTCGTCGGGTCCAAGGAAACCGCTTAGCTACAGAGCTGGCTGGCCATCCTAGTGAATTTTGCGTATTGTATTAGTTGAGTTGATCATTCTTTGTTTGCTCCGGGGGTAAGCCAGTCCCAACTACTACCTAAAGGAGCATGGACATCGGCGGAAGACAGGCTGCTTGCTACCTATTACATTCTACACCGTCTACAAGGAAAGTAAGGCCTTATTGATCTTTTTTTTTTTTTTCATTGAGAAATCCAGGCCGATATCCTCTTTTTGTACAGAACCGAAAACAAAGAGAAGACGATGATGGTATGGTGAACAAACACCATAACAATAATCTCCGCTCATTCCCACCCACAAATTCCAAATCCAATCCCCAATTCCAATCCCAACCTCCATCAATGTCTGGGAAAAGGCGGGGGTGTGAAGAAAAATCTCAAACCGGGTGTCTAGCATTCATCCCGAATGACTCCAAAAAAGAGGAGAAAAACCAGTCCCATCCATCCTCTCAACAAGAAACAGACAAATGCCGGACCCGGACAACTTTGGAAGTTGAAAAAAAAAAAAATCTTCCCAGGACACGCAAATACAATGGGATGGTAAGGTCAACATAAAAAAGCAAGGCATGGCAATGATGGATGATGAATATGAATAGTGGCTGTTGATTGATGATTGAATGGATGAATGATGCTGCGCATATGCCCTGATCGCCCTTTTCCCCTTGACACCGGGTAAGATAAAATTGACAAGACAAGTGGAAATCACAAGAGAAGGGAAAAAAAAGAAGAACAAAGAGACACATTTCAAAATGGCCGTTGAATCTTAGGACAGTCGTTGATAAAGTCGACATTTGCTCGACGGGGTTGAAGTCACAAAGGTGAGGCGGTAGGCTTGAGCGTAAGTAATTCAATGATCCGCTTCACTCTTTCATTTTTTTTTGGACTCGTTTCATGTTGTTTGTTGAGACACCCGGTCTTGAATGTTTTTTAAAAGGAAATTTAGACATGGACATGCTCGTGAGTGCTGATAGCATGACAAGAAATGACTTGATTTTCTTCAGCCGCCTTTCCGAAGTGACTCGTCTGCGGGTAAGGGCTCGGGACCACCATTGACACCGTTGCGGGGCTCAGCAGCGGACGATTTGGCATTCCTGCGATGCTTCTTCTTCCCAGTGGTCTGCCATCCACTTTGATTGACGTCGTTGGTGCCATTGACTTGGCCACCAGGCTTGCGAGGAACGTGTTCATTGTTCCGGTCCTTGGAATCCCCCGTTGGATTGGAGGCGTTATTCGCTGCGTCTTGTCGCCCCTTTGCCTTGGGCTTATGGTTGTGGCCATGGGCGTGACCGTTAACATGACCATGACCATTCCCATTCCCATTTCCGTGGTTGACACCATTGACCTTCTCGGATGAGTCCACTCCATTTGATCGCCCACGCTTCGAATTGGATACCTGTTGACGTGCTTCGTTGCTCTGACTCGTACCGGAAGAAACCTTGTCACCCGAAGATGTCGAGTTCTTCGCCTGTGCGCCATCTTTGCCTGGCCCATGATGCAAAGTGCCATTCTTCTGTCGATCTGGATTCGCCTTGGCCGTTGTATGCGACTGGGCCAATTTTTCAGCATTCGACAGATGAAGGTTTTGCAGACGGCTGGCGAGTAACTCTGGTTGCCCGTTCGTCTTCTCCGAGGAAACATCATGACCATTGACATTACCCGTCTTCGGTGCTTCAAATGGAACCCGTGTAAAGACCGATGGTGGGTCCATCTCGAAGGGACCGGGATCTTGGAAATCCTGCGACAGGGAATCGGAAAAGCTTGCAGGCGTATTGGCGTTGTGGTCATCCGAAGTTGACGTGTAGTGCGTGACGGCAGTATACGGATCGATCAGATCCATCGGATACTGTGGGCGAGGCTCACTCGGCGGCACCGAGCCATCGACGATCAAGGGACCCCGATCCATCGCCGGTGCTGGTCGCGAAGTTGAGCGTTGCTGTCCTGACCCAGAAGCCCTAGGCGCAGGTGTAGGCGTTTGGTCATGTCGCGCACTCAAGCCTTCCGATGAGAACGACCCGGAACGGTAGTCCTGTTGCACAGGGAGGAAAGACGTATAGCCATTTGGCAGAGCGAGACCCATAGGCGTGGATAAAGGAGGCAACATTGCGTTCTGCTGATAGAGTTGCAGTTGCTGCGGGGTTATGTAGTAACCCATCATATCCTGAGCCCGGCTTTCGTCCACGGAATCGGAGCGTGAGCCGTTGCTGGGAAGGCTGTTGGATGGCATTGCATTCTCGTCTCCACTACCCTCGCCGCCATCCGATGGTTCGGGAATCGGTTGCTGTCTCGAGGTAAACGAGGTATCCAGTGGTTGCATGATCGAATAGGGACTGAACGTCGGGAGGGAGGGGGAGTTCAGAGGTCGAGCAGGCTGAGACTGAGCTCGGAGATTTGCCTTTGGTGAGCCGTTTACAACTGAAGAGCGTCGAGGGTTTCGGCGAAGATCAGGGTGAGCATTGGTTGCGGATGGGGATGGCGGATTTGTGGTGCTGCCTTGGGCGCCGGCCGCACTAACGGAAGCATAGGTAGTAGGACTAGGGTAGAAGTTCTGCTGCCGGCCAGAGGGGGGTGAGAGGTGGCTGGTTCACGGTTCCTGACCTTGACCTTGATGGCTCGTCACCCGTGTATTCCTGCTGCTGCGGCATGGGGAACTGGATGAAAGGCTGGCGAAGGAAAACCGGGGGTGGCCGCCCGGTGATCAATGCCTGATTGTGCAGCTGCATGCGCAACTCTTGTTCCTGTGCTTGGAGCAGCTGAATTTGCTGATAAAGCTGATCGTGCAGCAGAAATTGAGCTTGTTGTTGAGCCTGCAGAGAGAGATCGGAGGCGCTTGCCGCATTGCCTTGCCGGAAGGCAGATTTGGTCCCCGTGTTGGATGTTCGACGACCACCATTAGCGAATCCTCCTCTGGAGTACTGGTTGCCATATCGTCCACCCCGACCACCACGGCCCCCTCTGGTTGGAAGCGAAGCCGTGATGACTGGCCTTGGTTGTGGTGGCGGTCGCTCCCATGTCCGTTCCTCTTCCGGCGGGAATTCAAACTCAGCGCAACAGCCTGCCAGATCAGCATCGGAGGCGTACTTAAAGGCTCTCCGCAGCTCCATGTGCAAACCGCGGAATGACGTATCATCGGCCGTGTTGCCCAAATTCCTCGACGTGTTGAATGGCTCCTCAACGCACAGCCGGTTGTTCACCGACAAATGCCATCCCTTGCCCTCTTTGGAGACCAGCTTTCCCTCGCGTACCGAAATAACGTTTTTCTCGTAGTTGATTTCGTGCCCATAATACCGAAAGAACTCGAAGAATAGCTCGCCGACGGTCTGCTTGTTCCTGCGACCAAATTGAGACAACGTTTCAAGATCGTCATCGAACGAATACACCAATCCATCCGGGGTCGCTCTCTTCTTATGCGGACGAGCCTGCAGACTCGGCAAGATCGGCGGATTCCTTGTCTGCAAAAAGTTGATAATGAGGCAAATCCAAGTATAAGAACTTAATGTACCACCGAGCGCCGCGTCGTTGAGGATTCGTCTTTTCGTCCAGTGCTTCACACACATGGCCAATGGCCGTACTCGTTCATCCACTTCGACATAGGTCCGGATCATGCGGGTATTCTCTAATGCGAGGGTGTTGTTGACATTCATATCACAAGCCAGCTTCAGTTCCGGGTCCCAGATTTTCACAATTGGGACCTTTGCGTGGGAGACACAGACAACTCGTTCCATCCCGTCTGTTTTGTTCAAAGGTTAAGGTCAGCCAAAGACAAGTTCTCTCCGAGCCCACGACTATCCAAAAGACTTACGCTTTGCGAGAACTTCCGCCAGTAGACACACGTGTTCCAAATCTTTGAAATCCGTCGTAATACAAATGTCCACTGCATCCCAGTCAGCCCCGAACGTGTCACTATATTTCCATCCTGGGTCGCACCACCCAGGTCTTGCATTTCTTTGTTCACGTACCATCTGAATCACTCGAACAGAGCTTGTTCCCCGACGAGCCAAAGACATTCGCCTTGATCTCGTGCCCAGGCCATTGCTCATTAAACAGTTTCTCCAATTTCCGAATCAGTTGCCGTCGTCGATCATCGCTTTCGGCAGAAGGTAATAACCGATCGTAGAGGTCCATAATATCCGCAGTGAGCCTTCGCTCCTCTTCGGGATCGAGGCTCGCTTTCAGTCCGTCCTTCTCTTCTGGCAGTATATCCGCCCCTAGACTGTAGGGTATTCGTCTTCGAAAATATGCCATGGCGGTCTCGTATTTACAGCCCCCGAGGGGTTTCCGCGCCGAGGGGGGCAAATGTGTGGACTCGGAATGCGTAGAACGGGGAGAGGTGCTTCCGCGGGCGGGGGGACGGCGACCGGGAGTGAAAGGAGAGGTTGCGCGCATGTTGGTAAGGGGTCGAGGGGAGGGAGTTGGACTGTTGAACACTTAATGGAGGCCGAGGAGGGACCTCGGACGCGTCGGGCTGTGGCATCCATGCCATGGTGCTGGAAAGCTGGACCGACGCTATTGGTGAGGGTTCACCAGGGTGGCGGGAACAGGTCGCATTCCCATCGATGTTTGGGACCATATAGCAATGTTCCAACAACGCCAGTGGTCTCGTGTGGCCTCGGACTCGGCGACTCGGTAGAGAGGACTCGGTTCTGCACACACCCACACCAGCGATTCAGGATCGCCCCTCCGGGTTCCACTTCCAACCGTAGAAAAGACCAAACGAAAACCTCGACCACACGGTAACCGGACGAATCGAGGGATTATGGAAAGGGAGGCAAGACGAATTTTGTTGGAGCGGAGTATTCCGTGAGATATACAGGTGGGGGGGGGGAAGAGAGAGAGGAAGGTCGGAGGTGTGGAGGAATCGCCCTCACACGGGAGCGCAAAATTGGGTCCACGAGACGGGGCAAGCAAATACCCTCAGGGACACGGAAGTGAAAGAGAGGATCAAAGAAGGAAGGATGCGTAAATCGTAGAAACCACAGAAAATTGCCTCAGCCAGGACGCAAGAAAGAAACACGGGGCGAGTTTGAGATCACGACCTCAGCGGGGAGGCGACGAGAGGTGTGTAGTGGGAGAGCACTTTTCGCACGGGCTGATCTGTAGGAAGCCGTTGCCGAAAAGGGGAGAACGTGCAAGTGGGAGAGTCGAAAGTAGAGGAACCGACCGGCGTTCCAAAGAGAGGAGAGAAAGGAGTTGAGTTGAGTTGAGAGTTCAGAGTTGAGGGTTAAGGGTTGAAGGTTGAAGGTCGAGGGAGGAGAGTCGAGGGTGCCGGTTAGTTGGAGGTTGCTTGGAAGGGCTCCCTCCAGGAGTGCTGGTCGTGGACTCGCCAGTCAGCCCACGCCCCTGTTTGGCTCTGCTTGTTGGCGGTAAACCCACTGCCGACCGCACTTCTTCCACTTTCTGACTCTTGAATGAGGATGATATTTTTGGTTCACGAAGACGACGAGTCCAGAAGGACAGGGGTCAATGTGAACACATAATCATCAGCCGATTGTTCCTACGTCCAAGGTCTCATACGAAAGGGCGCCTAAATGGGTGTGCCGAGCTGTCTACCTGCGACACTCACGGTCAGACTGCGGACTCCTCCAGTATGCGACGAGACCAGTCCAAGACCAGCAGAACTGGAGAAAATCAGGATGAAGAGACTAAGAAAATAATATGAGACTATAAAGCTATGGGACTATCTCTTTAGAGTCCAATGTGGCCATGAACATTTTTCTATCGAAGTTCTATTACTCCTTTTCCGCCGGTGATAACTCGATCATCTAGTCTGGGTCTCCTCCCCCCCCCCCCAAAACTGAGACCTGACTATCGATCAATCGACCCCCCTAAATGGCTGAATGACTTCTCCTGAAAAAAAGAAACCCCCCCTCCGGCCTTCTTTGTTACTTCACCCTGGATCCTATCCTATCATACTTTCTTCCTCTTTCCTCTTTTGTCTCCCCTTTTGATACCCGGGAACCTCCCCCTTTCACCAATCCCAGAGTGGCCGATAGTGCAGAACCAGTCCAACCGAGCGATCCATGCAGGTACCATTGATTGACTGATTGATTGATCAAGAACTAGACCCTCCTCGGAGAAAATCCTTTGTGGGGGGGTTATCTACCAATAATTCGAATAGAGGGTTCCGAGAATTGATCTCTCATGAATATATTGGACTATTTCGCCTGTCCTCCAATTTCCCCACGAGTCATTGACAGGACCAAGTCTCGAATACCTAACCATATGAAATACCCCCCTCCCCTTTTGGATCGTCGCTCTGCAAAAACCCCCCGCGATCCTGCACGTTCCGCACGTGCTGAATGCGATAACCTACTTCACTTATCGCCCTGCCTATCACGAGTTGCCACAGGGCTGGATAATAATACTGTCAGACTAGGAGTCAGCCTCTCTCATCCTTTCTTAGATATCCATTTGGATCTGGATCTGTATGATAGCAACTGTAATTATTATGACCCTTCGACTTCTCCTTTGTTCGATGCAACCCCGGGCCCGCTCCGATAATTTGGACCCGCCATGCATATCTCCTCGCCCGTCGGAATCCCTATGCGCCTCCGAAAAAGCTTCCATGAAAGAACACCCCCAGCCATTGAAAAGCCCCCTCTCCCACCATGATCCTCGGAAGGAATACGCTCTTTGTCGCGCTGCCAAACCTAGTGGTTAGTGATTGGTCTCATCGAGCGTCGAGTGTGCTTTGCCGACGAGCCTCCTGCCATCTCGGGGGGCTTTCACAAGCCATGGATAGAGGACGTACGAGGTACTCCAGGTTTCAGCTCATGATGGGAATGTTTTCAAAGAAGTGTCACTGTCAAAGAATCTATATAACCTATCACTGGCCTATCAAGGGCGATCTATACGCGAAGCGAGTCTTGATCCTCGTCCCAGCCAATAGGGGCTGTGGAATGGACAAACGATCTAGCCCCTTCGTCCTCTCTGCGCTGATGAACGGTATGATGGGGCTAGACTGTGAATCCGGGCGATCGTTCAATTCGAGGTCTTGCTATGCAGGTCAGGCTTACTTGTTGGTGATACACACCGGATGGATTGGAAGGAACTACCTACAAGGTACTCCAGTTCACTGTAACTGTAGAATGGAGGCGTGCTGGGGGAGATGACGAGGCGGCGATTAGAGTTTCTGGGGAAAGCTGGGCCTTGGGTTTTCCATGGGAGGAGGCTGTAAAAGTAAATCCATCTCTGGGGATCTGGGGATTGGAGGAACTTATTTGATCATAAAGCCCTCGTCATGTTATTATGCTGCATCATTCAGCCTGGTTGTGCTCTGTCTTAGTACTGGGCCGGTGGTAAGACAGTTCCCAAGGGCCAAATCGCAGTCCCGCTAGCAGCTAGGGTATATCAATTCTTCAGTCTGGAAGAACACTAGAAGATTGATTAGCACAGTGTGAACTGTAGTACGAAAGTATAATCAGTGTGTTTGTCGATCGGCGCAACCGGTTCCTCATCCGTTCAATATGCTTCGTTCAATATGCTTCATGGTGGAAAGTTGTCGACCTTGAATCCATCAAGTCCTGGAAGACCCTTACAATCCCCTTTTTAAAGTCCCCAATCGAGGGGTTTCCTCAGTCTCACTCTATCCACAGTACAACTTATGAACTACAATCCCAACCGCCATCATGAAGGACTGCGGACCTTCCGGAAGAATAATATCTACAGTAGAAATGCTGACTCCGTCGGAAGAACCCCACTTCCAAAAAGAAAACTCCTGAATTGACCAAGTAAATGCATTGGTCTCAGCACGGGCCAGGGTGATGGGGACGAGTCTTGCAGTGACTTGCTTCATACGGAGTGTGTGGGAGTGGTCAACGGCCGTGGGGTGCTGCTGCTGTTCCGAAGTCCGTTTGGATGTGATGCACCTGGCATCTGCTGGAGGACAGTCCTGTACTGTTGTACTGTCTGAATAGCCCCTCATGAGGAGGGGTAAAGATCTTTTTTTTTTGCTCTCCTCCTGGTCTTACCATAATTATCTGTATTCAAGACTGCGTCAAAGCCGACAAATACAACTGTTACAGCCCCTGCTATAGACTATTGCCCTCTTTTGAGCCTTGATCCTGTACTCTCTAATGCTACAGTCGAGCGGAAGATTCCCCTACCTCCAATACTGCACCTCATACGAAGCATTACGATTACAAACATCGTGAAAAGATTCTTGGCAGGTCTATGCGAGTACAGAATACCCGACTTGTACATCGCAGCCCATCATCGTCATCGTACAGGACAAGACGAGATGCAATTGGCAGTGCCGACCGTATGGAGGGGGAGGAGAAAAACCAGGCGGTAATAGTTGCCCTGCTTATGGAGTATTCCGTATTCCGTAATTCCAGGTTCCAGGTAGCTTGGCTCTTAGTCCCAACCCTGTTGATGTACATAACTGGCGCCAATGCGTGAAATGCGGCTTGGGCGGTTCTTGTTGATGCCACCCATGTACATCACAAAGTCAGATTCGAGCGATGACTGTATATGCGATAAGTAAGACATGTATTAGTGAAATATAGCTAACTACAGGAATTAATTAGGTTAGTTAGTTAGTTAGTTAGCTGGGGATTCAATGTCGGCAAGGTGATCAGTAAGTATTCAGTATTATATTGTCGGTTGTCTAGGGCCGAACCGTAGACAATGACAATGTTCGCATCTACCGTAGCGGCACAGTGGGGAAACTCAGCCGAAAAAAAAAAAAAATTTATCCACGACGCCCACGACCTCGTATAGCGCAACCAAGTAAGTACTCTGTACTTCGTTCATAATGTATGTACTGCATGCTAAGGAGGCTACTATCTCATTGTATGATTGCGCACGAGCAGAAAAGGCCAGGGGCGAAAGGGATGTAAACCAGAAACCAGGCTGGGACTAAGACCGGAGCACGAGCTGGATGCATTCCTCGAACGAATCAGACCCGTGCTGAGGGTCGGACACCAGAAGGAGGAAAAGACGCTTGGGCACACGCCCCGTGCCCACAGAATCATCCCCCCGGTGTGGCATCTCCAATCTCCGGTGACCGGCCCCGGTCGAGGGCGAATGAGGACTGCTGGGTTGCCGGAAATTGCCGTGGAGGGCGACCTGGAAGGGTACGGGGCAGGAGGGGAGGGTACAGCAAGTGTACTCCAGACTTGTTTGGAGTAACTTGGAAGGTGTAAGTATGGGATGAACTGTAAGTCCTAGGTTGAACAGATTAGATGAAATAGCTGGCTTGAATGTGGGACGGGACAGTACTGAGACCCTATCTACATGCTGTCTCTGTGCTACTACATCACAATAAACCCATAACATACTTTAGTTCCTCCGAAGAATTCTGTATCTCCAGAGAACATCTGCCCTTTCGAAGCCCTTCTAAAATAGGAGTATTTCTCCCTCGTCGTAATCACATTTCCATGATCTCACGTTGGATGATTAATAAAAGTTATAGTTCTCATTCCTCGTGGTATTATTTCGAGGGCTACACTCTCAAGTCCACAGGTACCAGCGTAGGTTCTCCTCGAGGAGGAGTATTATACATCCGATGACTACCACCTTCTTCTTCTTTCCTCCTCTTCCCCTCCTCGTCCTCCTTCTCATCCCGCTGCTGCCTCGTTGACTCGTGGTAGTTCTTTCCTCGAGGCTCTATTTCTGTAAGTACATTCTGATCGCACTCCTTTTTTCCCTTTTCTCCTCTACCCTATTCCTGTATCTTCCTTGGGTACTGTATGTACTGGTGGAAACCCGCCCGGAACCGCCGAGACGAAAAAAGAGCAGTGCGGCACACCAACGCCCCGAACGAGAGGACCCACGGCTATTTTCCCATTTCCCCCCCAATTTACTAATTTAACTCCATCTTTCACAAGCCCTCCCTCCTCCTCTGATCTTGTTCTTGTCGCCCTGGGCTCTATCAATCCATAGCCTCCTTGGTTGTTGTTCACTTGGGTAAAAGCATCACCGAGTCTGACCAATTTTTCCTTTTCTCTGCCTACTACCAGGTCGCCTCTACCCGGACGGATCAACTTCTTCGCCGCCCCCTGAACGTTCCGGCCCTCCGCGAAGACCTTCCACTCCTCCCACGACTCTTCCTTCACGGCCATGTCTTCGTCCTATTATGAGCCACAGGGCTGGCAAGCTCCCGCTGCGCGCCAGGTCTCATGGGAACAGCCCGTGCCGCCCTCCCGGTCAGGTATGCACCACACACACTCCCATCGCCAATTCGGCCCGCACTGCGAAAGGCGCCAAAAAAAAAACCTCGCTGACCATCCGACTTGACAGGCTCGAGCTCCGTTTCCCAGCGCGATGATAGCCCGGCTTTTTCCTCCCAATTTGACGGTATGCTCGGTCAACTTTTCTCTTCTCCTATGCTCTCTTCCTGCGACTTTTCCGTTGGTTCCTCGGCCGAGAAAAAAAAAGCGGTTGTGTTGGGATACGTCGGGTGGCTGCCGAGGATGATGAATGTGGCCTGACTTGCGACGAAATCAACCCAGTTGGGATCAATTGATGGATTGATAAGAATCAATTCACAATGATCGGAACTGGGGATTTTGTTCAATTTCTGGCACTTGCTGGGAATGTTGAGAAACAAGGAAACTCCGCGAGAGTCATGTGTGAACAAGATGCTGACGGGGTGTTTATCTTTTATAGAGGTCGACCGTGCGATCGACAATCTCGTCAAGAGCGGCAAGTTGTGGAATGCTCCTCGCCGGGACTCAATGCCCATGATGATGGGCCGTCCCTATCCTGAGTACGGTAGGTGGCCGACTGCCCCCAACCGTCGAAGGTATTAAAAGCAATAAAAAACCTCATGTGCTCATTACGTCGCCCGACAGACCCGCGCATGGGTGGTGGCCCCCAGCGACACCATTCAATTAGCGAGTTCGACAATTCCCGGACGCACCCATCGGGCAACGCACAGGGCTTCTATGCCTCACAGCGGTACCAGGGCCGCCCCAATGAGGTTGAGCAAATGATGCAGGCAAAGCGTCGGATGGCGGCACAGCGTGAACGGGAGCTCCGCAACTATCACCAGGAGCAGCAGTACAACCGAAGTACGTGGTAGCCGTGTCAATTCTTTTTCCCTTCATGATTCCCCCCCTCATCATCATCATCATCATCATCATTTCCTTTCTCTCTGCATCTATTATCATGTATTGGTCGGCCCTGTATAATATGACTTGTGTGGTTCTTTTTTTCATTATACATGCCTCGGTCTTCACCAGTGAAATGTGTGGCTTTCTTTTTAATACGTTATTTTGCTGTCTCTATAGGCCTCCTCGCCGAAATGTCAGCAACCAAATCCGATCGTTCCACCAGCCCCGCGGCCAGCATGAGTGAAGACAGTCGCCGTGACCTCCTGGCTCGCCAGCACCGCGCCTTGTACGGCAACGAGAGTCCCGCCTTCTTTCCCCCAGGCCCCCTATCTGATGACCACAACAGGGCCGACAGCCAAGCCACCGGTACCCCTTCCTCTGCCGCTCGAGGCTCGTCTCCCCGTGGAGTTGACCCATTCGGTCTGACCCAGGCCGGAGGTGCTCCTGCCGAGGGGGCATCCGGTCTTCAGTCCCCATCCCGTGCCAATAGTACCTCTTCGCCGAGCTCCGCCATCAATGCCGGCTTCACTGAACAGCCTGGTACTTCGGCATCCTCCCCTGGAGCTGCTGACTCGCCTTCTTCTTCTCGCCAGGGTTCCTCCAAGCCATCCGCTGGCCCTATCGGATCTGTCGGCCCCATCGGCTCGCGTCCCGTGCCCGGCCAGGCCCCGGCCGCCCCGGCCGCTAACCCAGCCCTGAACAAGCAGCGCGCGACCACACCTCTGCCCTCCCCATTGGGCTTTGGTTTCACCCCCAGTGAAGCCGCCGCCGCGGGCGAGCGTTCCACGTCTGCCACCTCCAACCCAGCCGTGATCGCGACCACCAACGCCCCAAGTGCCAAGGACTCGTCGGCCGGCGTCGGCCTCGGCTGGAGCAACAACGGTGGTGTCTGGGGTTCCAAGAGCGGACTCGGCGTGCAGGCCTCGGTCTGGGGCTAATCCAGCACCGTCGCCCTCGCTTTCCCTCTCCCTCCCCCTTGTCACGACATCCTGTCTGCTCTTGCCTTCTTGCGTCTACTTTGAACATTCACCTTTCTTTGGGCTTGGCGTGTTTCTTGTGGCATGCATTTGCGACTTGTGGTTGTTTCCTGCTTCTTTTTTATGGTCTTTCGGACTCTCTTGATGTTCCCTGCTGCGGCGTTGTGCGAGAAAAACTGGCTTTGTCCATTTTGCGTCGGGGGTGCAATACAGGGGCTTGTTTATGCTGTTTCTGTTCTGGGCTCCTTGGTACATATATCTTCTTTGCTTGGAGCGAGTCAATGGTTCTGCGTTGGGGTTTCTTGGGGGACTTCGGTTGGTGGGCGCAATATCCTGACTGGACTTGGACTTGGACTTGGGAGTTGGGACTAAAAACTGGTCTGGCTCTCGGGGCTCTGTGCTGGCTTTCTGGCTTTTAATGTCCTCTGTCTCTCTCTCTCTCTCCGACTCTTTGCTTCTTCGGATTTGTTTGACTTTTGTGTGCTTTTCGGTTTGGATTTTCGGACCGAGCTGGCTTGGGCGGTAGTGGATCGGTGCTGGGCTGTTACTTCCTGCGTGTGTCTGTCTGGGTGACGAGGGGCGTGTTTTATCTTTATTTTCTCCTTTTCTGCCATGTCTTTACTGGAGTCTCTTCGGTTCTTGTTCTTTTGATGGCTGGCTCTTCGGTGTCTTGTGGTGGGATCTGGATGCGAAAAAAAAATTATCAACAGCAACAAAACCGGCCGGCGAATAGTTCCATATCCCCCCCTTGTTTTTCTTGTTATGCATCACCTTTCGTGTGTCTTTTCTTTCTCGTTACGTTACTTGTCTTGATCTCTTCTCTGTTGTTTTTTGTGGCTGATCTACCTTCCCATCTGGTGCCCGTGTTGAAATGGTCGGATAATGGCGCTTCCCCTGAATCTTGAACTCCCTTCGTCTCATTTCTCGGTGTTTGTTTTCAGATTCTTTTTTCTATGTGAATGGACTGGATATGGATTTTCCTTTCTTTTTAATTGTGAATCTTCCCTATAATCTCTTCTCCTATTTAATGCTTGGTGTGTAGGTTATTCGAAATCTGCTGATTTTGAGGAGACTAGGTAATGAACAATATGATTCGTTCTTGGTCGACTCTACTCTTTTACCCTTTTATTGGATGACATCTAAGAGTCCATTGCCTTCTTAACTGTTGTTCAAGGCCGTTGACTTGTTCATTTGCCGGGCTGCCACCTATCGATCAAGGGATCTAGGGCTGGGCTCTGTCATTGTGGATGGTGATATCAATACCTTGATGGAATGCGATGGTGGATCTTTGTCTTTATTTTCCCTTCTAGAAGAGCTAGGTTTCAAACAAATTATTAAAATATCCCATATATTCGCATCGAAATCGCAGATAGTGAAGTTTCTTCCTCATTGTGAGGGCTAGGTACTGGGCTTAGGTACAAATCGACCCATCCACGTCCCAGGCCCCAGGCAGAATGCATCTCAGGGCTGGTGCAGCCCTGGTCCAGTAGAGCAATGCCGGACTGCTATTCCCGTCCCGTCGTGACCTACTTGAGCACTAGAGGATGTTGGCAAATCCATCTGAGAATGACTGCGAATGAATATTACCAGGTAGCTACGCATAGATACTAGCGACTGAAGAGGCAAGATAACGTTTACGTGGGAGGGGTGTGGTGGATATAGAGAATCGCGTATAGGTAGATCAATTCATTCTCATGACTGTTCGTATATTTCAGATCAATCGTCGAGGAAATTAAGCAATTAAGGATTAAACACGCGCATGCCACTATTAGGTAGCAATCAACTTCGGGGGTCAAACCGGTCAAAATACCTGTACAAATCCAATGCGAGCCGCAACGGCCTTGTAAGGGTATAGAATCCCGGGTTGACCCTGACCCTGCCCATCTGAAAGGTATGTACCTCTATCCGCGACTCATCGCAGGCAGAAAGCCAAAGCAAGCTGTGAACAAAGAATACCACGATCTGCCAATCTCATTTCTCTGAGAAGCTCAGACAGAGCTGGTGTTCTGCGCGGGAGGGTGCTCGGGATCATGGTCCTGAGGGTCTGCACCAGCTGCCACGGTGTGCTGGATGCGCTGCTTGGCAGTGAACAATCCCGCAACGCCATTCTCCTGGTTCCGGCCCAGCCAGGGTTTCCGGGCCTCGGCCAGAGCCCTGCGGCCCAGGTAGTAAATCAACTGGCCGATGATGATCAGGACAAAGGCGATGGGGTACATCCAGTGGATGTGGTAGTGGAAGACCTTGATGCCGATGCAGACACCCCAGAAGTTCATGGTGAGCAGGGAGATGTTGAAAAAGGCCGCGGAGGACAGGCGGAACATCAGCGGGGCCAGGCAGTAGAACAGCGTGAGACACAGGGTGAACCCGGTCAGGTAGCCGCCCACCTTGCCGTCCCAGACGGAAGAGTGATAGTTGTGGCGCTCGAAGATGGCGCTCTGCACGCCGTCGATGATGCAGCCGTAGAGCGACAGCTGGCCCAGCACCTCGTATACGGGCTTCTTGCTGACAAAGTACTCCTCCGCAGTGTTGGTCAGACCGTAAAACGAGGCACCCAGCAGTGCGAACAGGTCACCCTTCAGCTGGTGGCCGCTCGAGACATCACCACCGTTGGTACCGGTGATGTGATCCGAGGCAATGAGAACACCCATACCACCGATGCAGATAACGATACCCAGGATCTGAGTGATGTGATAGCGAACCTTGAGGAACAAGAACGAGATGATGACGACCACCACGATGGCCCAGAAGTTGATCAGCTGGGCGCTGAGCATGGTGGTGTACTGGTAGGCCAGCACGACGAAGTAGTTGCCTTGGACGTCGCAGAATGCGAGGATGATATATTTCCAGCCGTCGGTGTAGATTACACGGAGCCAGCCCTTGAATCCGTAACGGTATATCGTGTAAGGAGTAAAAATGCATGTCAGCACGATGTAGTTCAGCAGCGTCTGGAACGTGGGGATGGCCCAGCCCTCCTCGCCCAGAAGCGTGGTGAAGGTACTAGTGGAGGTGTTGGCGATGGCGAGCAGTTGTCTGATCAAGAGCAAATTAGCAATCTTCGGGTGCTTCTGCCGCATCCGCCTCTTTGGCGGCTGCTGCTGCCGCTGGTGGTGGTTGTAGTACTCACCCAAGGAACAAGGTAATGTAGAACTCCTTGGTCTTGAAGTACGCCAAGAACCCCTTCTCCTCCTCGTCAACCTTATCCGCCAGCACGATGGGTGACTCTTCCCCCGCGGCGTGGTTCACCACCGCGACCGAGGCATCCTTTGGCTGCGACGACGATGACACACGGTCAATCGAGTCCGCCGTCTGAACAGTGACCGGATCCTTGAGGCCGGACATGGTCAAAGTCACTGAGAGTGCAATACGAAGCAAAGCAGACGAAAAGCGGGGGACTCGCAGAAGGCCTAAGAGCTCACGACGCCAATCACCGAATGCGGTAGGGGGAAGAAAGAATCCAAAGGGGAGCTTTATAGCCAACAACGAGCGCAAAACTCCCAGAAGTCGCTCGTTTCAGGCAAACACCGGACAGAAGGTGGGTGTGGGATAGAAGGAGGAAAAAGAAGAGCGAAGACCAGGCGCAAAACTCGTAAAAAAAAGAAGCGAACATTGGCGCTGGTCTGGAACCTTTCCCGATTGGGTAATCGTCGATAAAGCACCTGCCACGCCGGCTGAGAAGTGGTGGGAACCAATCAGAGTGCAGGATTTGGAAGGATGGGGTGGGGCGGGCCACAGGGTCACGGAGCAGGCTCTGACTCTGACGGGGGCCGTGCTGAGCAGAGCGGAAAGGCGTGGCTTTGGAAACTAAGGTTAGTAGCATGAGAAGATTAATGGATGGAGACTTGGTTGGAAGATGAGTTCGTTCTCCTGACTCGTAGTTTTGGGTTTCCGGGTCCAACGAACCCCACTAGGACGTGGGTTTGCGGTAGTACGGAAGATGCAGAAGAGGAATGGAAGCCCTGTCGAAGGTTAATTGCCCGGCTTCTCCGATATGAGAGATTCTAGAAGGCTAGAAGATTAGTATATTTAGCACGTCCTGTAGTTAGGGAGTGTATAAATCATTCCAGAGTACATGATGATTGGCTGGGGCAATTGTGGTCTAAATGTATCTTTCCATTTCTCTAGCACGATCGTTATGACAGCATCCCTACCTTACGGTATAAAAGAACACTGCAGAACCATGTCACCTTGACCTAAGTATAAAACTTTGTATCTGGTCCCTCGCAGTCCACCCGGTCGATCATCGAAAAGAAGGTTCTTTGCAGATGTCAGCTCATAGCGGTATCCCTCGAGCTAAGAATAGGAATAGCTTGGTGGGTGTCCCAGTGACGATTGAAAAGATCCATTCTTACATCCATCATTGACGGCACTGGTTATCAGTATACACAAACGACCCTGTGGTGGCCCCTGCCGAGATTCTGGAAGTTCTAAGGGTTGATGTTGACTCTTTTGTATACCTAAAAAAGTTAATCCCCTCTGATGGTCTATGCAACATGTCAATTCTTCCTAGCTATTATCTTGGGAGACTATGTTCTTCTTGTGCTCCCACCGGTCGCGTGTGGTTGCTGCCACTTTTGTCGGGCATCAGCCAACCCCCCCCCCTTGGATCCTCCCGAACAAGCTCTCCATTTAGAATCAACAAACTAACCAGCGAGAAACCCCAAGAAGAGCTACTCAATTCTTGGAAATCTTTTCTTTCCGTACTACAGTACCAACCCGACAATCTCGTCTTCTCGGAGAACCTACCCGTAATCAACATATCCCGAACTGCCCTGGCCGAGGCCCCCCCGTCGCCAAAAGTGGGCCCTCCCTTCCAGATCATCCCATGCTCGCTGCCTTTTCCCTTCGATCGTCATCCCCTCCGCAGACTCTTTCATCATCTCCACCCTTCCCCTTCACAACCACCTCACCCTCCACATCCCCATCCACCACCACCACCACCACCTACCCACCGACTCAGTCCATCTTCCATCTCTCTCACCATTCATTCCCGGCGCACGCTCATTCTGGAGACGCCTGGAGTGACGTGTCGTCCCCCTTTCCCTGCCCGATCATGGCGCTGGAGCTACAGCCGCCCGATGGTCGCAAACGGGTCAAAGTCTACGAGCTGAGGGAAAATGACTGGTTCGATCGTGGCACCGGCTTCTGTACCGGTCATATCTCTGGGGTAAGTCTGAAAGGTTCCCCCATCTCATCCTCTTCGCGACAGGCGCACTCGCCCGTTGCGCCCGCCGTTTCGCTCGCGCGACTCGTTTCCACCCGGGCGCGCATGAGTCGAAGCAGCCGCAAATCCGCGAAATCCGCAACCCCGACACCTCCCAACTCTCTTCGGCAAGCTGGCTAACCACATCTCTGTGCTCTTCTTTCGTTCAAACAGGAGGTACCGCGAATATATGTCGAATCCGAAGATGAACCGAATCGCGTTCTGCTCGAGACCAAAATCACCAAGGACGATGGCTATCAAAAACAGCAAGGTTTCTGTCCCACCGTATCCCGCCGGGGTTGTATCACCGACATAGAGAAAAAAGGATTTGGGCTAACTGTATCACGCGATCAGAGACGTTGATCGTCTGGACTGAAGCCAACGGCACGGACATGGCGCTGAGTTTTCAAGAGGCAGAGGGTTGCGCCGTGATCTGGTGAGAACGAGAGACATGTTGGAGACTCTGCGCATGGGAGCTGAAAGCTGACTGCGAGGCGATCGTTACCAAACATATAGGGACTTTGTCAATTCCGTACAGCAGCATTTGCTCAGCCTAGCTGCCGCAGACGATGCACTCTCCGATGATCTCGAAAGCTACCAATCCATCGTGCTGCCCGCCCCGGAATTGGGTAACCTCTCCGATATCGAGCAAATTGTCCGAGCCGCCAGTATGACGCAAGCTGGTCGCGACGCGCTATCGAAGTTTATCATCCGCGATGAGTACATTGGCAAACTAGTACCCTTGGTCACGATGGCCGAAGACCTGGAGAGTTTGGTGGATCTGCATCGCCTCTGCAACATCATGAAGTCGCTGATCCTGCTGAACGACAACACCATCATCGAGACTGTCGTCGCCGATCAGATTATCTTGGGCGTGGTCGGGGCTCTGGAATGTAAAGCACACCTCTTCTTCCACGGATCTTAAAAAGATCTGATCGAGGACCCAAGCTAAAGCCGGACTTTTTCTTTTCACACAGATGACCCCGAATTCCCCACACACAAAGCGAACCACCGGCAATACCTCGCAGATCAATCCCGCTACAAAGAAGTCGTGCCAATCAAGGACCCTCTGATTCGTAGGAAGATTCGGAGTACCTGGCGATTACAGTACCTGAAAGATGTGGTCCTAGCTCGAATTCTCGACGACCCGACCTTCTCCGTGCTAAATTCCCTAATCTTCTTTAACCAGATGGAAATCGTTAACCACATTCAATCTAACGCCCCCTTCCTCCGAGAGCTATTTTCTGTCTTCGATCCGAGATACACCGACACTAAGCGTAAGGACGACGCTGTCCAATTCCTACACCAATGCGCTGCGATTGCAAAGAACTTGCAGGCTCCATCGCGGGCCCAGCTCTTTGCAAACTTTATCAGCCACGGCCTGTTCGCAGTAATTGCCTTTGCAGTGAAACACCCGAACCCCGCGATGCGAACGACAGGCATTGATATCTTGGTGGTATTGCTTGACCATGACCCAGTGATGATGCGCGGATACATGCTCAAGGCTGTCAACGAGAAGAAGACGCCCCTCACCGACACTCTGATTGATCTGCTCCACGCAGAGACCGACCTGGGTGTCAAAAACCAACTTGCTGATGCAATCAAGATTCTGCTCGATCCTCAGATACCCCTGCAGGAACCGCTTGCTCGGGCTGGCCCCGATTATTTCAAAGTTCGCTCCTCCAATCTCCTCTCCGACGCATTTGTCCAGCAACATTTCGACGAATCTTCTAAGCGGCTATTTCAGCCGCTCAAGCAGATTGCCAATCGCGCTCACCGTGAGATCCCCCCTCTTCGATACTTGTTTGGAAAACATTGAACTAACCCCTTGCCAGTTAATGACTTGACGTTCCAAGAAGTCACGCTCTACTCGCATCTTGTTGATATCCTCACCTTTTTCGTCCGTCAGCACCTCTTCCGCACACGCAATGCGATTCACAGCGAATCGCTCGCTCCTCGAGTGGCCCAGCTCCTCACAGCCCCTCAAAAACACTTGAAGCTAGGTGAGTACTACCTAGAGCGGTCCAATCTTCCGAGACTAAACATTCGCTGATACTCATGCTTTATTCAGTTGCTCTCAAGTTCTTCCGTACATTGATCAGCCTTCAAGACACCTTCTACCAAGCCTTAATGACGCATAACAATACCTTCGGCCTCATCCTGGACATCGTTTACGAAACCATGCCCCGCGACAACCTCCTCAACTCTGCCTGTCTCGAACTTTTCGAGTTTATTAAGCGGGAAAATATCAAGCCCTTTATTTTACACGTGGTGGAGAAGTACCGTGAGAAACTCGAAAATATCACCTACGTCGACACCTTCCAGAATTTGATTCTGCGCTATGATCAGATGCAGGGTTACGGTGCAGAGGCCGACTCGACGCTATTCAGCCAGGATGATGGTACGCCGCGACGGATGCCCTTGAATGGTCAGCGCTGGCAGGGGGTGAAGGAATTGGACGCTGCTGAAGAAGAATACTTCAACACGTCCGATGACGAGGATGAGGTAAGCTTTGTCAAAATCACTCAAACATGGCGGCTTGCTGACGTCCATCATAGTGGACCCAAGAGAATCGTGGTACTCTGGCTGTTGGCGTGGCCAACGGATCTGCTTCTCCAGTGGTCAAGCCGCTGGTTGATTATCCTGACGATGACGACGAAGATGCCATGGACACTAAGCCCGAGCAGCTTGCAGATCAGTCTGCAGAAACTCAGACGGTGACTGTCGGCGACATTCAGGTTGAGCCTTCACCAGAACCAACAACCTCTGAGCCTTCTTCACCTACAGCTCAGACACCACCCATTCCCGAGCGACTCTCGGAGAAGCGCCGACGTGAGGAAGAGGACGAGGATGAATTGGTCAAGCTTGCTGCAGGGCCGAAGCGTAGAAGCTCAACGAGCAGCAATTCCGGTGCTGGCATCCTAAACCGGAAAAAGACGCTCTCCATTGGATCAATAGGCTCCGTTGAAAAGGGTGGTACCCAAGGTGTGCTAGGCACTGTTACCAGCAGCGCACCGCCTAAGCGAATTGCCATCAACATTGGTCCGGTGAAGTCCTCCGTCTCAGACAATGCCACCTGCGGGGAAACTGTCTCCAGCGAAAGCAACGAGAAGGAGAACCGAGACGACAGTCAAGCTGACGAGAGTAGTTGATCCCTATTCCTCACTCTCACTTTGTCTGTGCAGTCAGGGGCGATGCGTTGCGACGATACGATATGATTACTAGGACTCAACAGTCCCCTTTGATCTGTCTCGACCTCCTCCCTCCGTTCCCACGCCTCTACCTACCCCACCTGCATTTGTTTTTTTTTACGAGCTAGATACCAGATACAGCGCGGGATATTCACATCCCAGTGTCCTTTCTTGAGCCTTCTACTCCCTTTTTGCCGTGCCTGCTGCTTTTTGGCGACGCACCCTCCTCACCACCACCTCCTACTTCCCCTCTCTCTTCGCGCCTTTATCTTTATATCTCCAGCCGTGCTGCGTGATGGCTCTCATACCTATGGTGTTGTATTCTTTTTTTGGACGGTGTGATCATGGGATGATTGAGTGATGTACATTGTGTTTCGCTCTGCGGGCGTCTTCTGGGCAAATGGATGCATTGGATCCGGCTGAGGCCGCGATACCAATTTGTTTTCTTGTTACTTGCTTGTTATTTGTCTTTTTTTCCCCGTTTTCAGCGACACTTCGCGTGCTGTTCTGTCGGGTTAGATCCTGGGGCCTGGGAAGGCTGGGAAGAACGGGTTGGCGATCGGATAGGATAGGATGGGGTGGAGCTAGGCTGTGTCCTCTGGGTGGAGGCTGGAGTCGAGGATTGGTGCAATTAATGTGCATTCTTCAGGGTGCCACTTGTTCTCTTGTAGGAGGTGTAGGTCCTTTGATTTATCCGTGGTAAGGCTGGTTGTGGATTGTTCAGGGCAGGGTAGCTCCTGGATGGTGGCTTGTAGCTTACTTATACCTGATTAGCTTATTTGAAAGCTTAGCTTAGCTTACCTTACAGCTTGCAGTGAGCTTATCTGCCTCGGAGCTTAGTTCTTCAGCATAGGCCTGGGTCTTCTTGGCTCTTGACGCTCTGCTCGTCCAAGGACCGAGTCATCATGTGATTCTGCCAGACCTGTCCAGTACCGACTAGTGTGGTTTAGACTCGCATCTTCAATGGTCCGTCTTCACATGCGCCGTATACTCAATTGCCGGAGTCTGAAGACAATTGCACCTACACAATTCCTAAAAGGCAGCTTCTCTCCCATGGAGCCCCAAATAACATCAAATACGTTCTGCTCGTATACCGCGTCCCACGCGGACGCATCCACAACGGTCTTCTTCATATCCGGGAACCCCGGCTTAATTGGGTACTACCACCCATTCCTGTCTTTGCTGGGAGAATATCTAGCGAATGGATCCTCACAAGATCAGTCAAGCAAGAAAGACTCGTCTATTCAGATCTATGGATGCAGTCTTGGTGGATTTGAGGTTGCTTGTGACGCGACGCCGTCAACCAAGGACTCTCGAGGTGGGAGGGCCAGGTTATATGATCTGGAAGATCAAATTGTATTTGTTCATGATAAGCTGAATGCTCTCATGAGTCGGAATGTCGCTACCATGGATGATGCATCAGAGTCTTCAGCGAAGCGGAAGGTCATTCTTATGGGCCATTCCGTGGGCGCGTACATCGCGATGGAAGTTCTGCGGCGACACAGAGAAGCAATTCCCGAGTCTAGACCTGAAAACAAATATACCGTGGACTTTGACATTATCGGTGGCGTGATGCTGTTCCCAACGGTGAAAGATATTGCGCATTCGCCGTCGGGACAGAAATTGACGGTTTGTGGATTCTTTGATTTGATACTCTATTCATATGGACATATGGACTGCCCGGGTCAATGGTTAATGGTGATTGATACTGACCGTAATTCCAGACTATGTTATCATTTTTGCCACATCTCGCGTTGGTCGTGGGCTTCCTCGCTCGCATACTCACCACCATCCTCCCAGCCACAGCATTAAGATCTCTGGTCAAACTAGTTATGCATAACCCGCCAACGCACGCCCTCGATACTACGACTGCGTTCTTGAAGAGTCGCGGTGGTCTACAGCAAGCCTTGTTAGTTACTCTCCCTCTTTCTGTTTCCCGATTTCGTATAGTATCTCATTCATGTGATATAGACACATGGCCGCGGATGAAATGCGAACAATCACATCCGACAAATGGACGGATGATGTCTGGGGTGTTGCGCATGCAAGGGAACCGCTTACGAGGTTGTTTTTCTACTTTGGTCGGAACGATCATTGGGTTGCGGAGAAGACGAGGGATGAGATTGTTGCGGTGAGGGGGTGTAAGGATCGAGATCAAGATCAGGATCGGGATGGGGATGGAGAGGGTAATAGCGGGTTGGGGCCGAAGATGTTTGTTTGTGAAGAGGGATTGCCGCACGCATTTTGTTTGAGTAAGTCATTTCTCGAGCCTTTTTGTATTCTCTTCGGTGCTAATTGGGGGTTTAGAGCACAGTGATGTTATGGCGAGGAAGGTTGCGGATATGATTCGGGATATTGAAAAGGTTTGAGGGGGTGGTACAGTATACCTTGGACTTGTTGATTTTGGAAGGATTGGGCATGTCTCAAGCAGCTTCTTTGCTGCAATGTGGATTTGTTGAAATAGGCCCAGGGCTAAAAATAGGAGTAAACCTGGAGTACTCCGGACAAAATTCCAAGTCATACAACGGGTATCTCAAGTGACTCTGCATTTCCCAATTCTTCCCCTCCCTCCACACACCAGACAGAAGACAAGAAAAAGCAATTGATATGCCGCAGAAAACCAAAGACCAAGTCATGCGCCATGTCGTGCTGGATTATGTGCTGGATGGCCCCCAAGGCCAAAATCAAACCGTGAACCAATGCCAAAATACTCAATGGCTCCTACTGCCCTTGTCCATTCCCCTGATATGCAAATCCTGCTCGGCGGAAGAGGTCACCGAGGACATCTCCTTGGGGTTGTGGCGGGGGTGGTGGTTGCTGGTGTTGTTGAGGTATCATCGAGTACCCTTGCGGTTGTTGATAATGCTGTGGCGGGTACTGCTGCGGCGGCGGCTGTTGGTAATGCTGTTGGTACGGCTGCGGAGGGGATTGCTGATATTGATCTTGCTGAGCTTGCTCCTGCTGCTGCTGCTGCTGCTGCTGCTCCGCTGGCCCCATGTGATGCGCGCGTACACTCCACCCATCATCTTGGGCACGTTGCTGCCCAAATAAATCCTTCAACGATATTTGACGCCCCATCGGCACGCTCGCCTCGACTTCTTGCAACGGAGCCACTTGATTCTCAGCTGCAGCTGCGGCCGCATGTAGACCATTCTGGCGAATAGCTTCCAAACGCTTCCGCGCCATCTTCAAGCTTTCTCCTGCGTGGGCAGCGCACTCGCGAATCTTCTCCGCATTGATGGTCCGAGCCTGTGCAGTCGAGTTCGGCGCCGGCTCCGAGTAAATCCAGATACCGTAGATGCGTAGCCCGGGCGTGCTGGCGCCGTTTGACTGACCACCCTGTGGGTTTGAGGGGTCTGCGGCGCCCTCAGCGCCCTCGTCCGCCTTAAGAATCACATATTCCTCCGTTAGTTCCACGTTTTCGCCGTCTGTCAGCTGCAGGTCGAAATTGTTGAGACCGCGCCGGTTCAGTACGAATGCACTGTACCGCTCCTCGCCGAGACGACCCCGAGTCAACTGGCAGACGAATAACGTGCCTTCGACGCCATTCTTTTCCCATTGCTGCGTCGTGGGGCTGAATATGTACACGACGGCGTATTGGGCGAGCGAAAGGATGGAGGTGATGTCGGGGTTGTGGCGATGCAGGACAGAGAGGTTTATCTCCTCGTTGGTACGGGTGGGTGGTGCTGGCTGTTGCTGATGTTGTTGCATGTCGGAGAAGTAGGCGGCGTCGGATTCATAGTCGGTGAACTGGGTCTGATGTGGGTAGTTATTATTGCCGGGATGATTGTGATTGTGATTGTGATTTCGCCGGGGTTTGCGGGAGTTCATGGTAGATATGAGGGAGATGGAGAGAGTGGGAGAGTGGGAGAGTGGTGGTAAAGTCTTTGCTTTGAAGGAGCAAAAGTGGTTGAAGCGGGCTGGGAGTCGATTGCGGGCATATCGTCATCGGGTCCAGCCCAGCCGATCGAGAGAGAGCTCACTCCGCCTCCCACTCCTGTTCTTCCCCGGAACCTTCGTCAACTGTCGCTACCTCAATCGCAATAGTGCTTGGATCCATTTGATCCATTTGATTCACACCCCCCACCTGGATTCTGATCCCTCCAAGTCTTCTCGTTTCATTTGCACAGGAACCTATATGATGGCACTACTGACGCTCCGGACCCTGCCGCACTAAGCTCCGTCACGAGATGACCCCTCGAACACGAACACCTCCGACGATACACCTTGCCCTTCCGATTATCCCACTGTGGCCTCGGTGTGAACAGTTCTCCGATTGCAACGGATCTTCACAATAGTACTTTACATCGTCCCGGAATTGAGAACCGCCGGCGATTTACGCTCTCTCGCTCGCTTCTCGATATTATACCTCGAGCATATAGACATTATCGCTGTCATTGTCCGAGCGTGCCCAAATTATGCGGCGTGCCCAAGCTGCTAACTGACGCGCGAAAAAACTATCACCTCATCAGAAAATGTCGGCTCACGAGCAGCAGACGGGCCCTCCACCCGGGACCGATCCGCGGGAACATGCGTCCGAGGAGGTCGAGGACAGCGAGAATCCAGGACTCGATTTACAGTCCTTGTCGCGTGCTGTCAAAGCCAGAAAGGCAGATTATACCCGTCGACAATCTATTCGAGTCAAGATCGGTACATGGAATGTAGCCGCTATCACCGGCACCGAGAAAGACATCGGACAGTGGTTCGTGCAGGGACAAGGCGTTTGCAAAGAGTTCTCTGGCCTGAAGGGCTCGCAGTTCCGCCGGAATGTCACTACGGGTGGGTCTTCTTCTCCAAGCGACGGGGATGATCAGAAGACGGACGGCAGCACGGCAGCGCCCTTCCAGTGCAGCCCGGAAGAAGTCGATCTTTATGTTTTGGGCCTACAGGAGATCGTTGATGTTTCCTCTCCAGCCGAAACTCTTCGACCCTATACGGATCCTGGACCTGCAAATCGATGGAAAGAGGCCGTTCATCAAGCTCTTCCTCCGGGGTACCAGCTCGTCTCCGAGATCCAGCTTTTGGGTCTATTTCTTACCATCTATGCCTCCCCCGCAATCCGCGACAGTATCTCTTCGATCAGTAGCACATCTGTGGGCACGGGGCTCATGGGATACATGGGCAACAAGGGCGCTGTTGCGACCCGCATGGTCCTCGGTGAGACCACACGTCTGGTCTTCGTGAATTGCCATCTAGCTGCAGGATCAGATAAAGGGAGCCTGGAACGGCGCAATTGGGATGCAATGCAAATCAGCCAGCGTGCCAAATTCGAGCCTGTGGAATCGGACGACAAGTCTCAGGAAGACCAAGGCGATAGTATTGGCGACGAGGACTTTACTTTCTGGTTTGGTGATCTCAACTATCGGCTGGATGATATCCCTGGCGATGATGTGCGACAAGTACTTGCTCGGCACACCGCGAACTCGTACGATACCGCGTTGCAGGGGAAGCGATCCAAGTCTGGTAGCCGTCGGAATTCCCATGTGTCCAATTCTTCATCCGAAAATGACTCGGCATCGCCTTCTCTACCCCAAGGGGAAGAGCCGCCAGAACCAGTAACCGATGAGGACATTGATCCCCACAACGATCCCGCGTCTCTACAAACTACCATCTCGTCTCTCATCACCCATGACCAACTGCGGATCCAACAGAAGAAGGGCACTGCTTTCCATAGAGGATGGCGAGAGGGCCAGATCTCCTTTTTGCCAACGTACAAGTACGACCTCGGAAGTGTGGCGCTGTTCGATACCAGCGAGAAACACCGTGGTCCGAGCTGGTGTGATCGAATTCTCTATCGCACGCGACGGGACAAGCTCAAGCATGAACAGTTGGATCGGGAAGCAGAGGAGGCACGGAAACGAGACAAGGAGATGCAAGCCCGTGGATTGGACAAAGCAGTTGCCGATGATAATGTGCTGTTTGATTACGATCCCGAGGTTGATGGTCAAGATGGCTCCGTCGACGGCGCGGGATACGCCTCGGATGCAGATGGAGAAGACGATTCTCCCCCGGCATCTGAAGATATATCACCAGACTCTATTCATCAGCATCATTATGTTTCTCACCAGGGTATCCTTTCTTCGGACCATAAGCCACTGGACGCTATCTTTACCCTGACATTTGACGCTGTCAACCCTAGCCCTAAAGCAAAGGTACACCAAGAGGTGGCTCGTGAATTGGACAAGGCGGAGAATGAGGCTCGACCTGGTCTCACGGTCGTCGTGGATACCCATGCCGATGAGGATCGGTCACAGCGAGATCCCAATACTATCGACTTTGGCGAGGTTAGATACGATGTTCCGATTCAACGGAGTCTAACCGTTGCAAATACAAGCGGTTCTCCTGCCACGTTCTCGTTTGCTGAGAGGTCTAGCTTGGGAGATGATACGAAGGATATACCACCGTGGCTGGATGTCCACGTTCATCATTCCTCGGATCACGAGGCGGCTGCCGGAGAATCATCTAAACCCGGGGGCACTCATACTTTGCATCCAGGGGAAGTAGCTAATATTGATGTCACGGCGCATATTCGGAGCATTGAGCATGTCCGTCTGCTCAATCTGAAGAAAGCCAAGCTCGAGGAAATTCTGGTCCTTCACGTGGACAGCGGCCGTGATCATTTCATCTCTGCCTGTGCAAAATGGCTGCCAACTTGCTTCGGCTGCAGCGTCGATGAATTAACTCGTATGCCCGAGGAGGGTGCTCGCTACCTCAACGGTGAAGGTGTATCACACCGGGAAAAGAGTGCCAATGAAGTACGACTGTCAGCACCTCGCGAGCTCTTCCGGCTGACTGAAGCTATCTCCGAGCTGACAGAACGCGCCGTGGCGGAATGGAGTATGACCAAAGGAGAATCTGAGAAAGAACAAGCGCCGTGGGTTAAAGGGCCAGGAGGTTCTGCATGGCCTTTCCAGCCGGACACTTGGACTCTCACGGATGCACACGAGCGTGCCAGCCTGTCATCCTCGGTCCGTGAATCTCTCGACACCAACGGTTCCCTGTCGAGCATCTTTGCACCAGAAGTCACTTCCCTGCACCGGCTGGAGATCTTATCTGAGACTCTCCTCACCTTCCTCAACTCACTCAGCGACGGCATCGTCACTGCAAATGTCTGGCAGGAGATAGAGCAACATATGATCACCCGTGAGAAAGCCAAAGCCCTTCAACTTTCATGGGAAGAGACCCAAGCGTGGGTCCTCGAGAGCCTCTCCTACTCGCCAGCACACAGCGTCTCCTTCACTTTCGTCACCTTTATGCTCGCCCGTATTGCGAACGAAGTAGCCCCAGTGCCATCCTCCACACAATCCAATTCGACCACATCAAACAACAAGAACCAAAATGGCTCCCCCGACAATCCTACCAATTCTACAAACAATCAAGACCAGAACCCACCCTCAGATTCTATATTCCCAACACCGCCAACACCTGCCTCAGCCGCAGCATTTATATCCGGAGGGAGTTTCCGCCGCAAACCCCGATCAACGGATTCGGACCTCGCGTCGAATAGTTCTTCCAATGCGGCAGCATGTCGACGAGCTGTCGAGGCGGCGCTGGCTAATATCTTCTCACGGGTCTTGATCTCAGCGGCCGTTCCTGTCCCGGCGAAGGATAAGGAACGACGCGCGTCTGATGAGCGGAAGAAGAGTATCATCGAGCCGTTTTTGAAGATGATTAGTGTTGATGAGCGAGGTCCGTCTGGGGGTCGTTGATCTTTCATGTAGCCTTCTCTGTTTTTGTTCAATTGTTCAATTGTATATGGTTTGTAAGCTGGTTTGGCGGCACTGGTCACTGGACGGGGAGGGTTGGTGTCGGCGGATTGATACTGGTAATTGGGTGGCGGTTTTGATGATATGCCCGCTGCCAAGGCTACGCTTGGCGGGAGTTATGTTATTATAGAATTGATGTTTCTGTAATGCCTTTCATGAGAATATTGGTTGAATGTTCGCATATTATGTACAATCCCGGTATGCCATGTCCTATCCTATACCTGTACTATCCTTCCAGCCATACCGTTCCATCCTGACCAGGGCCATAGCCCAATAATGATGACTCGCCAATAAGAGATGCCAAGGAGCCCGAAAAATAGTCAATGGAGAAAAAAAGAATAATGATAAGAGGGGAAAGACTCGAAAAGAATGTTCATACCACCACGGAAGACTTCTAAACCTGTCAAACTTGATGGCCATGACCTAACGTACAGCACCCCAAACGGACTCGAAAGATTGTTGCTGCTGCGAATTTCTCCCCGGAGAAACAGCCTGCGATTTAGCCGGTGCACCTTGCGACGTATACTTTGATCCAGTCACCGCTCTGGACTTTCCCTTCCCGCCTTTGGACCGTGGCTGGGTATTAGGTCGTGGACGACCAAACATCCGCTGCGCAGCTCGTAGACAGCGACTGGCAATACGGCCGGGGAAATTGAGGATAGACAGGGCAACCTGGACGGGGACAACGATACAAGCGCACGCCCAGTCAACAAGCGTAAAAGCGTAACTCTGTCGACGATTCTGACTCGCGCGCTGCGCAGCTGCAGCAAGTGCGATTGCGTCCCGGGTTTGCGCCTCGAGTTGTTGGAAGCGGGTATCCGTCTGGAGGGTTGAGAGGGCTGTACGTTTCTCGTACCGACGTACAGCGCGGTTGAGAGCTTCGATGTCTGGTCCCAGAGCTCGGCGGGATTCTACCACTGCCTGCGTGATCACGCCAGGGGAATCTTTGGGATCCTGGGAGGATGATGAGCCGAGACGGGCAGCGGCAGCTTCGGCGACATGTGCTTCTAGCTCTTCCAGGCGCTTGCTGAGATCGTGGAGTTTCTCGGGGTTGATTTCTTCGTCGTGGGTTGATGCTACGACGCGTTGGAGATGGAGGGTTCGTGCTTGGCCGAGTTTGAGGAGGTGGGCGATTGGGCGTATCTCGGAAGCGAGGAGGAAGATGGTGAGGTTGTAATTTGAGACTAAGCCTTCTGAGGGGCGGGATAGACTGGATCGAATAGCGTGTAAGAGCCAGGTGCCGATGACTGGGAAGACGAAACATGAGCTGAGGGCCATCAGCTCGTGAAACTGGAGTTCTTTGATAGCCTTTGCTTGTGCTGCAGCACGCAGGTGCTTCTCGTGTTGTTTGTTATCTGTATGCGAGCCTATGGCTTCTTCATTCTCGTCGACTTCGGCGAGTTCTTCGGCAACGGGATTGAAGCTATCCCCTTCTCGTTGAATCGCTTGGGCTGAGCGATACCAGTCCCTGCATGTCATTAGCATCTATGGGTGATGAAGGGTTGAGTGTTTGGACGTACCATGGTAATCGGACAGACCAATTAAGAAAGATAGCAGCCAGCACTAGTAATGTCACATCCGTCACGAAGGAGCTTCCATCTCGAAAAAAGACTCCCGCGATAGCAGGTAAAAGCGCTAACAGTAGTGGTGCAGAGTGCCAATGCGACTCCGAGGCACTGGGGTCATCCTGATCACTAGTGACTCGTGGGAGAAACAAGTCATCAGTGGATGATCGAATGGAATATCGCGCTTCAGAAAGCGAGTCGGACAGGGTTGAATTGCGGCGCTGCGCCCATTCGTTCGAGGTTCCTTCTATAAAAGTGGCGGCGCGCGCAGAGAGGCGCCGGCGCGGGAGCGAGCTTGCGGCTGGGGTATTGCGGGGCGTTGGTGCAGAGGGTGGAGGTGGTGATGATGATGATGATGAAGGCGGATCGGCCATGGTCAGTGCAGGAGAGATGATAGCATTCAGAGACAGCCAGGGGAATGAATTAAGGGGTATGTACAGTGCACAATGACAGGGGGAGCAGTAGTTCCCCCGAGAAGGTGGAGGAGTTCGCGAGTTTGGGGGAGAATGCAAGTGACGTCGCCAGAAGTACCAAAAGTACGGTATCGGCACGCCAGCTGGGACGAGCCAGCAGTGTTGTGGGATTGAACACGGCTTTTGTGGCTGATACCTATCGTTCTAGAGATTCAGTCTGTTACTGAGTGACCAGAGTGAGTGCTATATCAAAACTTGTTGGAAGTCTCAGACAGCCAATGTAGCATTGTAGAGTTGTGCATTTGTACCGCGGCACAATAGAAGACCCGTAAACATACCGTATCCTCAGGCCATCAGGCCATAAGGCCACAAGGCCACCAGGCCACCAGGCCACCACACCCAACTATGACCTGTTTCTCTATCTCGGACCCCCTGTCAATAACAAGTCTAGACCGCACGACCGAGATCGACCATGTCTTGCCAACTAACTGTGGAACCCAGGCAGATGAGCCATGATCAATTCCACCTGACGACTAAGTGGACGATCCATGGGGATCTGAACGAATCCGTGGCCGTGACTGGCCGGTTTGTGGGCCCCCGGCGGCTCTATTCAACACCCAAAAGGGTAACGCTTCGTCTGACGGTCCCCCAAAGCAGCCAAAGTAGACTCGTTTCCCTACCACCAGATTTCTTTGATCTCAAGCTGCCTGCTAATTGAGCTACTCAGCCATGCCTACTTCAATGGCCAGGTTCCGCTGCTGTCGCGGATTCGCATCGCAGCGACTACCACTGGACCTAGCACTACTGCCATCTTACTCTCCATCCAAGCCGTGGCATCGCATATACTCCCCTTTTGTGCGAAAATGTCTTGATCCAGGCTACTATTTGGCTCTATTCAACCCCCCCAACTGGACTCTCCCTGTCTCTCAGAGGTCGTGTTTGGCACAGGCTACTCATCCTGAGTAACCTTAGGCCCCTGGGGTTGCCTGCACCCTGATACACTCTTAAGCAGCAGATCGTCTTCCCCCCGAACGACTATTTAGTTCTCAACTTTCTCCCGAAACCTCTGCTGGAGATTAAAAGGACCACTGCTTCGTTGCTTCAACAACTGGTGCGCTCTTCCATCATATTACCAACCTGAAACTCAAATTTCAAATTTCAAATCGACCCAAATTCACATCCTTGCCGTCATGGACGACATCGACAAGCGCTACCCAATGGCTACGGTCGTTCCTGTACTGTCGTTCCTCTCCATTGCCGTCTGCATCACGCCGCTCATCCTGCATGCAAAGAACCGCAATCTACCTGCCACGAGTCTCATCTGCTGGACGATTCTACTGAATCTGTTCAACATCATCAATGCCTTTATCTGGCCCACAGACAATGTGGACTCGTGGTGGGATGGGACTGGCCTTTGCGATGTCGAGGTTAAGCTCATGGTTGGTAGCTATGTTGCATTCCCCGGTGCCTTGGTAGGCATCTTTCGTGGTCTGGCAATCGTCCTTGATACTGCGAGTGCCACCCTAGTACCCAGCAAGGGCCAACGATGGCGTAAACGGGCCGTGGAGCTGCTATTCTGCGTGGTGGTCCCCATCATTGCGATGATCACGCATATTGTGTGGCAGAACAGTCGGTACTTGCTCTTTGCCATCTCGGGTTGTGTGAACGATTTCGACTATAGCTGGGTTACCCTCGTGCTGGCGTACATGTGGCCGCCGATTATCTGCTTGATTGCTGCATACTACTGCTGTGAGTGGTCCTCTCCCTTAGCCATTGCTCAACTTGAATCCTGACTCTCACTCTACTATAGGCTTGGTACTCATCCGCATGCGCAAATACCGCAGTGATTTCAGTCTCATCCTTCGTTCTGCCAACAGCCGAATGAGCAAGTCCGGCTTCCTGCGACTGTTCTTCCTCGCTTTCACCATGCTCGTGGCTATCTTGCCCACTGAGGGCTATGTAGTCTACTACGACTTGATTATCTCTTTCCCCTGGCACCCATACTCATGGAGTCGAATGCATGGACCACAATGGAATCAAATCACCAAGTATCCAACCCAAGGGCAGGTCTTCTTTGACCGCTGGACTCCAATTGCGGCTGGGTACATGCTGTTCATCTTCTTCGGTTTTGGCCGTGATGCCACGCGGATCTACCGGACGTTCTTCTGGCGTATTGGCTTGGGATACTGCTTCCCTGTGTTTGCACGTCCTACCGACTCGGAGGCTACCAATCGTTCACATCCAACCACTCTGGTTGGATCTACTATCAGTCGAGCCAAGCTACTGTTCAGCTGGCGCAAGGGTTCCGCTCCACGGTATGATCTCTCTCAACCCTCGTTTCTTTAATGCCTTGACTAACTTGCTAGTAGAAGCGGACATGATAATAGTCTATCCTCCCATCCCGATATCTACAGCCAACTCGAGAAGGGCTCCCGCTCCCGCTCTCGCTCCCAACAAAACCAGGGCCGAAACGTTCCTAAACGCCAGTGGTTCCTCATGCCATGGTCTCACCCCAATAATGGAGGCCGCCACAATGAGGACACCCTGCTGGATGACTTGTCTGGCCCATCACAGACGGTCTGCACTAGCGCCTGGGCAGGAACTAGTCGAAGTCGTGCTAGCAGTGAGATTGATGTTCCTGTGTCCTCTGGAAGTAAAGAGGGCATCAAGGTCAAGCAGGTCATTAGCCAGCAGAGCCAGGTGGAGATTTAGACGGCTCATCATGAAGATCAATGAGTTGACCTCTTTTGATATTGGACATTTTCGGGCCCAGCGCCATTTTCGTTATGTATTTTATTTTTTTAACCCTTTGCGTTTAGAGACTTGTTTAGAGGATCACTTCTTTGTGCAGAGAATTACTTGTGCCACGGGCTTAATGCACACATCCTTCTTTCCATCATATCTGTCGGAAGTCCTTAGCAAAATAGTAGCATCTTCTGCACTCTATTTTGCTCCGTTGCCAGACCACCACCATTTAGTGGAAGACAATTTACATAGGAACGGAGTGTATTCAGGGTATACTAGTACAGTAAAATCACAGAGCGAGATAGACAAGAGATCTGACCTTCTCAGGAACGATCTGTATCGGGCACGCATACACATGCTCCAGTCAGATCAAACGCCCGACATCCAGTCACATAGATCCGCGCGCTCCCTGTCAAAAGAACGCCAAAAATTATAGTCGTATCGATGTACGCCGGTATAAGGCGAGCTAAAGGCCCCATAGGTGGCGTATCTAGTGCTCCTCGGAGTGGTTCGTGGGACGGCTGAGGACCTCGAGGGAGCCTGTAGGAAGATGTGAGTTAGTTGTTAGATTTCTTTTGGTCTATGACAATTGACAATTCTGGCTGCGGTTGCCGTGATGAGGGGTTATGGGCCATACGCTGGACAATGTTCAGGGCGGAGTGCCTCTTGCCATCGGCATCCTCGTAGCTGCGCATGCTGGCATCACCCTCAAGGTAAACGAGGGTACTATAAATCAAGTAAAACATGTTAGCATTCCAGATGACGATATTTCCCTCCATCAAGCTCCCCAATACCCAAACCCCTCAAATTAAGGAATCCAATACATACCCCTTGGGCAACCCCAGAATGAAATCCCGCTGCGAACCTTCGGGCAAGAAGCTAGCAACCCGGAACCAGCTAGTCTGGCGGTTCTCCTTAGAACCGAAAGAAGTGCCGATAGCGTACTTGATGACGTCCTGTCCGGAAGAAGTGGCCTGCAACTCGGGTTCAGCGGCCAGACGGCCGGTGATGATCATGCGGGCAACGGAGCGCGAAGCGGAGGAGCTGAAGCCGCGCGAGGCCTGGGTGGCGGTGCGGGCGAGGCCCAGGGAGGGACGGAGAGAAGTGAAGGCGGACATTGTGGTTTTGAAGAAGGATTGCGGAGGGATGGAGTGTGAATGAGTGATGATGTAGCTATTGGCGTGAGTGGATTCGTGGAGTTTGGGTTGGTTGATGGCTTGACGCGGACGCGCGCGCGGAGAGTCATGTGATCGTGCCTGCATTGGGAGTTATTGTTCCTTTTCAGGCGGTATATTAATCCTTGTATTAGATTTTTCAGTATAAACCTTGTAGTCGAATATATGGTTTTATTTTCCTTCTGCAGGTTGTGTTTGACAAATTAGCTTCATCGGTTCTGCGATTTCTTAACTAAACTATTCAAGTGTCAAGCGAGTTGCATACAGTGAGCCGCTTGGATCCCATTAATCACCCTGTTCTCACGAGCTCACATCAAGAGGGAAGCTATGGCATTCGTTTCGCCATAAGCCACGACGTTCTCCTTCCGCTTCCTCTTTCTGCCCCCTGGAGAGCAACTTCTTTGCTACGCCGCGTTTCTGCTTCTGCTTCGGCTCCTGCTGTCCATCGTCTGGCCAGATACGTTGGAATATCTCATCCAGCTCCGAACCTAGGTAGGCCCTACGCGCATGGAGAAGGTGGTCTGGTATCCAACGTATCGGCTCCTCCACTTTGAGTTCTCCGTGATGACCATCACGGGTATCTCGGCGAATAACCCACGACGAAGAAACGAGATCTACCAATTCGTGCAAACGGGATCCCGCGCCGCCATTTCCTTTGACAGAGACCTTGATCGCTTCTAGTTCTTGAAGACGATCAATCTCAACAGAGGAGATGAGGCGAAAAATAGCGCAGGCGAGATCTTGGTCCACCACAGAATTGATCATGACATCGCGGATGTGGCCCTTGCGGAGTTTGTAAAAACCTCCCGAGTATAGCTCCGTGTACTCATTGTCGAACTCGTCGAATGATAGATCGGTAGGTGATTCTATCACTGTGAACGACTGTTCTTGGGGAGGAACTGCTAGGCATTCTTCCTTTCGATAAAATGCCGCGGGCGATACATCTAACCCCAAATCAAGGTACTGCAGGCTTCGTAGTGTGCCCAGAGCTCTATACAATGCCACTTCCTTGGTGTCGCCCTTTGAGCGTTGGACTACGAGTGAAAGCTCTTTCAAAAGTGGGCAATGTTCTCCGAGTTGAAGGATGTCCTTTTGGTTCAAATGTTGCCAGAATCGAGGGAGGCGTGCTAGATGCAGCCTGCGCAGTCGAGGACCATGACTCATAGCAATGCTTTCGATAGATATATTCGTTTGCCATCCACTTAGGTCAAGCACTGACAATGGCGGAAGCTTAGTAAGAAATAGCTTGATTGACTCGTAGAACGCGGCCGTATTCCTGCTGGGACTTTGAGGACTGATATCCATTTTCAATGACCTGAGACTCCTAAATCCCAGATCTGACATCGCGAACTCAATTAACGTCTCAACTGCCGGTTCATGTAATGCGGGAAAAAGTTCAAGATGTTCCAATTTGGCAAAGTCGATGTAATGGTGGCATTCTCTTAAGGTCGTGCTTTTCATGAGTCCCGACGGGCCTGTATCATGCAACGATAGGCTTTTCAGCGAAGCGAGGGGCAAGACGACCGGGTGAGCGTCCTCCAGGGTGGACCTCATGATTCCAAGTGGTGACAAGGGTTCTCTGTGAAGAGTTCTTGAAATCTTGACTTCTTTCAGATTCGGGGCAAGTGTAAGTATTCGCAACAGGCCCTCCTCTTGTAGCCGCCCAATTTTAGCATCACTGTAATCGAGAGATCCACAATCTATCATGACACTGTAGAGAAATGGCGACGTAATTAAAGCATAATCTCGAGGAAGCAAAATGGAGGCCTCTAGGCTATGTATCCAGAGATTTTGCATATGAAGCCTACATCCAGGCCGGAGTACTTCAAGTAGGCTGAGAGGAAATTTATCGGGATATCGGTAAATCACATCTTTTAGTGCAGGTAGGCGTAGAATCAAATCGGCTACAGGTTTCCACACCGGGTCAGGAATCATACCCAGGGAAAACATATTAGCCCGATTGAAGGCCATTTCCCTCAGATGGGAATACTGGGTCGTATACGTATTGACAAGTCCAACACGCCGAAGCGCAAAGAACGTTGGTGGTTCCCACTCTGCATTAGAAACGGTCCACTCTCGCTCCGTGGTGAGGATAAGTTGCCGGACGTGTCCAAAGCTATTTGCGTTCTCGAGTTTCTTTTGGATAGAATCGACGACTCTGGCAACATCTTTTTGAAGTCCAATGGAGATTTTGATGTCATGAAAAAAGACCAAATTGATGGCCGAGCGACACCACACGTGAAATGACTTGTTCAACCGGGCAAGGTTCAGTAGCGATGGAGGGTGCTCATAAGCGAGACACTCGGCAATTAGCTCAAAGACTTCTATCGGGAGAGCTTCAAGAGACATGGCGCGGCTTTTTGGCGAAGTTGGTTATGGTTGGGCTGACAATCTTCAGAGGGGTAAGTTTGGGCCTCGATGTAAGCATGAAAGGGGAAATGTGTACCAAGAAGGAATGACACACGACATAAAAAGCCAACTCTGGGATCTATGTTATCTCGTCTCCCAATCACAGAGCAGAGCCTCGTGTTCTCGTTTGGAGACTGTCGTCAGCTGGCTCGTCCTGTTCCTTCGCTGACTGGCGCGGATACATACATAAGCGATATGTTACCTTCTTGGCACTGTCAGCTCTTTCTTCCTGAATCACCCTCTCCATGCAATCGAGAACAACAATACGGGAAAAAAAATATCACAGAATATAGACAAATAGAAGTGCGAAATGACTGTCGAAATACCTGAACTGGAGAAGTTAACTGTTGGGAAATCTACTGGAGAGCTCGATAAACAACACTTACAAGATCATGATGGTGATACTTCGTGCGCCAAGAGCATCCTCACACTCCCGGATGAGCTCCTGAATAATATTTTAGAGCATGCTATCACGCTTCGACCGACTAACAGCTGGGGCGGGGGAACACTACGATCCGGCTACGATCCATCCTTGATCATGACCGTCGCTCTAACATGCCGGCGTTTCAGTCAGATTATCGTGCCTTTCTACTACCGCCAGACACTATCCGACTATAACATGAGACTCGTTCCTCCCGATTCGCGATTCAAACTGTTAGTCCGTACATTACAGGCTAATCCTGTGCTTGGCCTGCATTGTCGAAGATTGAATTCAAACATACCCGACAATGGAAACATGGAAGGGGCAGGCCAAGGCTGCGGGCTAGCTGAGCAATTCCCAGCCTTTTTGCCCAGTATCAAAAAGCTTTACATTCGTGGAGGCTTTGGTAAGGACGGTAACAAACCAGCTTGGACGTTTCTGAGGGCGTGTGTACGCCATATGCGTCAGCTTGAAGATGTGAATTTACAACGTATAGCCATTGAAGGCCTTGAAGTGGCCGATTTTCTTGAAGTGTTTCAAGCCTCCTCGCTGAAAAGATTGCGGGTTGGTGGGTTTGCCAGGTCAAATTGCCAGTTTGAAACTTTGAAGGTAGGTCGTGACGATGGCCTTGCCCAATTAGTGTCATCTAATAAGCCCAATAAATAGATCCAGAAAATCTCAAGTCTTAAGATCATGGAAATTGAAGACTACTCTGATGGTGCTGAGACATTGAGAATACTGCTCAGCTGGCCAGAGGCTCTTTCCTCGTTCCGGCTACTTGGAAGCTACTACGGAAATGGCCTATACATAGATCTCCCAATGTTGAAAAGCATGCTTCTTCCGCATAAAGAGAGTCTAGTGAGCCTCGACATTGCGCATCTTCCTCGCGAGAGCCAGGCGAAGCTTTGCAACTTCTCCGAATTCTCCGCTTTGGAAAAGTTATCTCTATCACGATGGCAACTTGGGGACTCCAAGCAGAAATTACCAGATTCTCCGGAGATATTCAAGAACTGTCTTTCGCCACCACGCTTGAGAAAATTTACATGGACTTTTGCTGTCGTCAGCCAGGCATGGCTACAATGGGATGACTTTGGACATGAAGAGGAATCGTGGCTTCGAAAACTTGCACAAGAAGCGATTGCAAGGAAATCTTTGCTCCGAAAAATTCGAATATTTTTTAACCCGCTGAGTCCTGGCCCTCTGGAGCAGTATCGTGAATATCCGTGGGACCGAATGGATGTCTTGAATAAGGAGTTTCAGCCTCAAGGTATAGTGGTCACCTATATCACACCGACAACCAAAAGGGACAATTGGGAATGGGCTTGTAATATGGATGCTATGCGCAGGTACGAACGGATAAGGTCAATGGAGTAGCATTCAACGAAGCAGCCAAGCATCAGGGAGAATAACGAAGAAAAAGAAGTAAACCTATATCAGCGGAAAATATACAACTGAGAGAATTGCTACAACACCCCAAAATTGCTATTTAGACACCCTTACCACAAAATTCAGCTAATGTAGTAACTGTTTTACAATCTTCTAAGCCCCCCCCCTCTCCCTTCTAGCAGCGAAAGTACAGTAGTAGCAAAATTCGTGGCGAGAACATAGGAGTAAACGTGATCGGCGTAGGCTTAACTAGCCGGTAGGCTTATTAAGTTAGTGTAGGCAGGCGTAAGCTTCGGCATAGCGTATATGGTAGGTAGCTACAGTCGTTAAAGAGCGGTTAGGAGTATTAGAAGATAATAAAACAATCACAGCGCTTAGTTAGGTTTGGAAATAGGGGTGTCAAGATAGCAATTCTGGGGTGCTGAAATAGCAATTCTCACAAATGAGATGACGTGATTAATTCGTTCGAGGCTTGGATTCGAGTGAACTCGAAGGTGCCTATATTGCCATGATCTTAATTGAGATACTTGAATCCATTCTTGTGTGGTACTAGTTACTATGTGTCAATTAAGTTTCTCCTTACCCCTGATATCAAGCTTTTTAAGTCCAACCTTAGGGTTCTTTTGTTAAAGGTGGAATTCTCATATGGCATGTGGTCACCTATCAATAGGTTATCATTCTCGTATTCGAGGTCGAATAAGCCGAAGGGCTTCATCACGATCGCATACAGCAGCCTATCCCGTTATCCCTTAGCCTTTCTATCCAGCAATTGAGCCAAACCAGTAATTCGTGGCGTAGAGTATACGGAGCTGTACACTGCCCCAGAATATGGGGTATAGAGATCTGATCCCGACAGGCATCTACTAGAGATACTCTCTCTAGTCTAGCGCGCGTACCAGACACAAGTTCAAGATGGCCAATAGGCCAATATGCAGAATAGCGCAAATCTTCCTCGCCGGTAACCATGGTACACAGCATCGATCGGGGCGGCAAGCGCAACACTTGGCAATGTCTTTAAACAATTGTCGCCAAAGCTTACCAGTAAGCGGTCGTTAAGGACGCCAGTTAGGGCAACCAGTGTGCCGCTCGCGAAAATTCCGAGGGAATAAGGTTGGTAATAAGCCGCTTCTCGGCACCCCTAGACTCCCATAGGATGATGTTAGTGGTTCCAACAACTCACGAGGCGAGGAGGATTAACGATGGGCGAGATCCCATCGAGAATACGAGGGCCGGACACAAATAGTATGGATGCTTTCCATGGAAGAATGATCATTGAGTGGAGTTGCCGTGGCGGTTGTCCCCGTCGCGATGTTTGGGTCCAACGAACCGTGCGGTCTCGCCGGCAAATAGGAACAGAGTGCATTGCCCGCAGTGACTTTGGACCTCGTAAACAAACATTCCAAATCCTTCATTTGGTTTGCTCCATTGATTTTCGCGTCATAATCATATGCAGTAGCCCAGATGCTCTTAATCTGACGTAGTATGTACCATAAAGATAGCAGGCCGAGACGTTAGCTGATGGGTCTGTGGCTGGCAAAAGTGCAGCCACGAGCCGTGGTGTCCAGGACAATAGGTTTGACGGTGAGAGAGCTGTCACTACACTCTGCCGCGTTGATTCCTCTTGGGATATCCGAATTGGTTAATTAGTTGGCATTGGGAGGAAGCCAATCTGACCCTCACTACACAAGCCTGTCTTGTCCCAACGGTTCTCAATTTGGGACATCAGGTATAGAATCATCATATGAAGACTTTCCTGCTCTGACAAGGCATCTTCAAGTCATATTTGAATACCGTGCTCTATCAACTCAATACTGAAAATGCTGACCATTTCAAGCACAATAGAGGATAATGCTTGCATGGCTGTGAAGCGGGACGAAAGAGAAAAAAAAAAAAAACCTAGTTCTCCGCTTTGGAAGACGATAGCGGATTGTTCGGGGAGAGGAGCCGCGCGGTAACGAATGGGAAAACTGATTTTTACCTGGTGGACCACTCGAACTTGTGGCGCTGCCGACATTGTTACCCCTGGCTAAGTAGCGAGGGACGGACCCTCTTCTTGCGCGAGCTTGGGCCGGGATAATTATTAGACTCCATACTAGCCAACAGTCAAAAAAAAACAAGTCATATTCTCGAAGGGAACGGGCGTGTCTAAACACTGTCAATTCCAGCCAAGACTCGAAACTAAACATCTAACACTCTTAGCCGCACCCCCGGGACTTCCTAGGTGGAAATGACAGGTTCAACATCCCTGAAGGTTAACGGGGGTTAACGTGAAACGTGAAACCTCCGACCCAACAGCGTGGCCAGGCCCGTGCTTCCCGCCTTAGTTGCATTGCTCGCGATGTTCCTGCAGTGCGAATGGACGGGGAGAGTGCGATGTGGGCGTGTGTCCGCAACGGCGGAGATTAGACTGACCCTCCTTATGTCGGGTATGCTATCATGGAATTTTTCAGTGGACCTTTCCTTTTCTCGAATAGTCGTGCCTTGGATTATTCTGTTGTTCAGGAACAATGTGCATGCTGATCGCTGGCAGAGACAAGCGACAGCTCGATTGATTTCGGCCAATTTTCTCGCACTGTCCACTATTCTAACGAGCCTTGTCGGAAGCCGAACGCGCGATCTAGACCCAGTTAATTTATTGCATAACAAGCCAGCTCAGGACTGGAAGACCCTCCGGTAAATCTACGCGCGATATGATCGCGATAGCTCACGTAGCGCTCTAGTTGCAGCGGTACTTTACTTTGCTACGGTATGAAACATCCAGGGCGTCGCCAGGTCGATAGTGGGCTAGGAATGAATTGCTCACGAATAACACAATAGTTCACGCACAGAATAGGAAGTTCGCAGGACGCGCGAATTGACGCCCGTTCCTTGCAGTAGTGTTGCATCACCGATGCTAGTGCTGACTCCGGGATACCTCCGCCACAACAGGGTGAGCACGGTGCACATCAGATCGGACAATTGCCCTGTTTTCTAACCGTACTCTACGTCAAATCCCGGCATATGCTGATAAATGTTGGTATCTTGGTGTTCTAGATCATAAGAACATCCAACATAGCTGAAGTTGATTGTCTTGCACATTACTATACCCCGGCCTCCATATTGGCATACATACTCCTGACAAAGTTTTCCGCTAGTTGAACTACACGTGGTAGTCTGTATTCCACTACAGGCAGCAGGAGGCGTTGGGAACTTGGGGGAGATAATCCGCTTAGGCTTGGTCTTAATACACTACGGAGAAGGACGTGCGTACATTGTAGATGGTAGCTTTAAGCATGTAGCCAGTCAACGGAGGACGAATCCCCCGTCTTGCATGCAGATGCATGTGAATCTGGTGAAATCCCACAAGTCAGAAGGATTCTATTGTTTTGCCGGCGTGAACATGGACTTAGCCCTCCCGCGTGAACCATAATCAGAAACCTGACCGTCCGATTTCCCTGGTTCGGCGCGGGGCGCGTGTCGCCACGATCTAGATCCATTGGAGCCGACGAACGTGGGCTGATGCGAATCGATATTCATCATTACAGATTAAATAATGCTAATAGGACAGTATTGTCAGTTATCTCTAAGCGCCTTGCAGTCGGCTTCTAGACAATCCAGAGGTACCAGTCCTAGGATGCCCTTTGTTCTATCATCTAGCTAAGAATACTAATAATCCTTAAAAACGCTGGTTATAGACAGAAACTTATCGAGGATCGCGGGGTGTCGGATCGTGCATCGAGGCTTCCCCCGGCATCTAGTTCTCCGTAATAGTGTAGTATTCTACTAGGGACTAGAGTACGTCCCGGAAAGAGGTCGTGGTCCTGGCTATCGGCGAAGAAGGGGGGGAGGAGGGGGACGAGGAGGGGGAGGAGGAGGAGGGGGAGACCCCTTTTCGGGGAAGGCCTGATCGATATCTGCGCGATCTGACTGTATACACGTACTCTGCTTCCGTTCTATCCCCTTCCTTTTCGTTTCTACTCTAGCGGGACTAGTCGGTTAGCAAGTTCTGGTTTAGACCTCGTCTCCCTCTGTGATTATTGATTCAGTGTTGAAAGCTTTTGCGTATGCCCTACACCTTTCGTCATAGCTAGTTCCTGAACAATTAAGCTCTTCGAATAACGGAATTGGAAGAAACTTCAGGACTGAACCTCTATAGCCCCCCAAAAAATAAATAAAAATCCAAAAGGTAAATCACAGAAAAAGCAGACTTCTTGGTGCCTTCCGCGGAAGTCTTTCCAGGGTTTTGTAAACCGTAAATCCACCTTCTAAAGCAGCCAGGAGGTAACCTACTCCAGTTAACTCCAGGGTCAGTACCCGGTACTTTCGGCCCTGGTAGATTTATCGATGATGCTCCTTAGCTGTATGTACCAGGTACTTTGGGACTTTAGCTTGATGTTCCCCCCTCCGTACTCGCTGTTCCCCCCACTTCCGAGGGTCGCAATTCTGTGCCTCGCTGCTAACCTTTTTTTTGACTTGTTGAACTTTTCTTCCAGGGGTATTGAACTCGTGTCCATTCATCCATTCATTATAGTTGCCCCTTATACCCGACTATTCTGCTTTATTCATCAGTCAATGCGTAGCACTGCTCTTAAAATCATGATCCTCCGCTATATTGACCATAGCTCAACGGCTCCGCCTTGGTCATACTAAAATTATTCATTCTCGCCCTCGTTCTCCCCCCCCCCAACTTAATGAAGGCTGGACGGGGCGAACGAGCTAAGAGACTAGAGGATCCCTAAACCGTGGAGATTGTCAAGAAAAAGTCCGGCCACCGACCGCCCCGCCCGAGTATTTCGGAGCTTGGGAGAAAAAAATTACTGCACTATTTATTTGATTATTTTATCCCAGATTTATTATTGTTTGATTATTTTGATTATTATTTTTATTCGTATGATCTCAATCCCATTATACCCAGGCACCATCTCCAGAGCTCGAAAAACAAGACAACATTTCCAACTCCCAACACACTTCTAGTTCAACCAACGGCGACAAAACCCCCGCCAACGATACCGAATGCTGCCAGTCGATCCAACTACTCCTCGTCTCCTTGTCATCATTACCGTGTCTCCACTTTGAAATCCCGGGTCGTAGGGGGGTAAAGAATCCAAACGCAAGATAATCGAAGGCTCAAGACAAACGGACAGCGCATTACGGACTACAAACGACGAGTACCAAATTCTCTGTCGCCATGGGCATCTTCAAGCGCAATTCCAAAAACTCGGTCCAGAGCGACAGGGACGAGCAGGAGTCATTCGTCTCTGCTAACAGCGCCCGAACCTCCAACACTTCTCTCCGATCTCCTGGTTACAAGGGCAGTGGCCCGCCGGTCTCCATTCCAGAAATGCCCACTGCGAAACCGCCCGACCCAGCATTGGACCCCGCCGCCTATCTCCGCAGCATTCACGCCGTGCGCCAGCGCGCTCAGATTGTCCTCAAGGCAGCCAAACGCAACAAGTTGAACCATTTCGATGTCGATATGAGCAAATTCAAGGCGACGGCTCAATATGTTGTGTCTATTATCAAGGTAAAAAATTGACTCGCCAAGATATCGCAGTATCCGTTCGCGCACGTGACTAATTCGGGCCCTCACAGCGAGACTATGCTCCGGACTATCAGAATATCCCTCCACACGGCCGCTGGCAACACTTTGACGTCGGTGGTAGACCACGCATTAACCAACTGCTCCAGTCTTGGCCTAGTAGCATTGACCCGCAGGAACGAACTCGCCGTCTGATCGACCTGTTCGTGGTCTCGGTGCTACTCGATGCCGGCGCCGGCGCCAAATGGTCGTATAAGTCCAAGGAGTCTGGCAGGGTGTATTCGCGTAGCGAGGGTCTGGCAGTCTGCAGTCTGGAGATGTTCAAGTCTGGTCTTTTCAGCAGCGACCCTACGGAACCTTGCCAAGTCGATGGAGCCGGCCTCAAGAAGGTTACCGTCGAGAAGCTGGCAAAGGGGATGCAGCACTCAGACCAGAACCCGCTGGCCGGTATTGAGGGGCGGGCTGGGCTATTAGTGCGCTTGTCGGAGGCGCTGAACAATCAGGACTTTTTCGGCGTGGATGCACGACCTGGAAACATGCTAGGTAGGAGGAAATTGGTCCCCTTATATTCCATTTTACGTTCTAATTTCGTTTTTGAACAGATTACTTGCTAGGACACCCATCGACACTCGCTTCTTCTGTGCCTATTGTCCCTATCACGACGCTGTGGACCGTACTAATGGATGGCTTTTCCTCTATCTGGCCCCCCTCGCGCACACAGATTGACGGCGTGGCCATTGGCGATGCTTGGCAGTGCTCAATCCTTCCGATATCCCCACCTGCACCGGCATGGGAGAGCATCATCCCATTCCACAAGCTCACGCAATGGCTTTGCTACTCGATTATGGTACCTATGTCGAAGTTGATGGCAATCCACTTCGCCGGCACTGACCTCTTGACCGGTCTGCCAGAGTATCGTAATGGTGGTCTTCTGATCGACATGGGCCTTTTGAGTCTCAAGGAAGCTGATATGGAGCGTGGCCTCCAATCATTCAGGGAGAATGCGCAAATCAAAGGCCAGCCCAATATGGAGGTTGTGCCTTTGTTCTCGACAGATGACGATGTCATTGTGGAGTGGAGGTCTGCCACTGTCGGCTTTTTGGATGAGTTGCTGGACGAGGTTAACACTCAGCTGGGACTCACGGGAGCAGAGGAACAACTCACTCTGGCGCAGATGCTAGAGGCCGGAACGTGGAAGGTTTGTCATACAGATGCACTAACTAATATCTTTGGAATATTGCTAATATATTTTCATAGGGTGGTCGTGAAATCGCCGAAGTCTCCAGGCCAAACACCAAAGAGCCGCCAATTATGATCCGCTCCGATGGCACAGTCTTCTAATGCCCTACACCTATGAGTTAATGGATGATTGGATACCTCGCAGAGCACCAATCCTAACTTTTGCTTCTCTTCTTGCTGGATATGGGTGCTCTGTCTTGAACTTTATGAACTGTTGATGACCTTTCCTTTCCTTTCTTTTTTTTTTTCGCTTTATTTCATTCTTCTTGATAACTCTTCTTTTACGAATGGCCTCCTCGTTGCTTGCGTGTGTTTCTAACCTCTCAGCTTTTGGGAGGGTTTCTCTATCATTATATTTCTTTTTCCGATCGAGGCCTTTCATGCATATTGCTGTTGTTCAGCAGACCGTGGTTGTGTTTCTTTTTCGGATACCACCCTTTGTTTCTTTTTTACTCCTTCTTCACTTCTTGCACTTGCTTTCAACAGCTATGTTTATTTCTCTTGCATATATTCCCTAGCTGGCCTTTCCCCTGAGAATCCTGTTTTAGGATTATTGGCAACATTGGAAATGCATCCTCCTTCGTAACCTGTCACACTGTCTTACCAATGTCGTCATTCCGGTACCTCGGTTATGTGACCTATCCGCTATTGTCGCGGGAGTAAAGGTACATGAATAATCCGAGTCCTCGAGGGAAAACTGGATCAATACGTTTTTAGTAATTTCCGGTGCATTTGAAACCAAAAATTTAAGGTTCCCCGACCCCCTCGAAGCTCCCCTTTCCCCATCACGTCAGGTCATGTGACCATTCACCGGGGCGAGGTTGATCCGCTCACTCCGCATTCGAAGGCTGGAGCTACAACTACCTTCCTCTCGCCAGTCACCCCCAATTCCTCGGAAAAGACCCGGCCATGCGCTATTCTTACTGAGAACACCATACAGGCTGACCCAGACCTCCCTCAGCTTTATCGCCCGCTTGAGTCGTCTCTCATAAGCACCCGGGCCCACCCCCGCTCTTGCGGGGCAATCATCCGAGCTCAGCGCCAAACCAGCAGATCGCCAGCATGGATGCTCGCAAGAAGAAGAGAAAGGTGTTGCTCATGGGCAAGAGTGGCTCGGGAAAGTCGTCCATGCGCTCGATTATTTTCAGCAACTACGTCGCCAAAGATGTGCGCCGACTCGGTGCGACGATTGATGTCGAGCATAGCCATGTCAAGTTCATGGGCAACCTAACGCTGAACTTGTGGGACTGCGGAGGGTGAGTTGTCGTGTCGCATACCGAGGATAGCATCAGAAAACATCTCAGCTAACCGAGGATAATCTCTTATCGCGCTCCAGACAAGATGCCTTCATGGAAACCTATTTAGCCTCCCAACGCGGCAACATCTTCTCCGACGTTGCCGTCCTTATCTACGTCTTCGATATTGAATCGCGCGAAGTGGACCGTGACCTGGACACCTATAACGCAATCATCGAAGCACTACGCGAGTTCAGCCCAAATGCCTACGTCTTCTGCCTCGTCCACAAGATGGACCTGATCCAGGCCGAGCATCGCCAGCGCATCTACGAAGAACGCTCAGCATTGATCCGTTCCCGATCCGAACACTTCCGCGTCGATACCTTTGGCAGCAGTATTTGGGACCAGTCGCTTTACAAGGCCTGGGCGGGCATCGTACATAAGCTCATCCCCAATCTGACCGTGATTGAACGGTTCCTCAGCGCCTTTGCAAAGAAGATCGATGCTGAGGAGGTGATCCTCTTCGAGCGCTCAACTTTCCTCACTGTAACCTCCGTTTCCTCCGAAATAGGCGACCTCAACCCTATCTACGATCGCCATGAGCGCCTCTCCAATATCATGAAGGCATTCAAGCACTGTGCCGCTCGGAATACTCTCACCACACCCGCCTCAGCCGGCTTCGTCGTCATGCACACCAAAACTCCCCAATTCAACATCTTCCTCGGTCGCTTCACCGACAACACCTACATCTTCCTGGTCGTTCCGCCCGGAGAGGCAGCGTACAACTGTGCCGTGTTGAATACCATGCTCGCCCGTGAGGGCTTTTCAAAAGCAGCCGCCTCCGGTCGATCAGATGGTTTCCCTCTACCACCACCAGAAACACCCGAGGATCCGGTAACGAATGGGGTGGCTGTTCACGGTTGAGCCATGGTGGTGGCTACTTGAGCTTGTTGGTTTGTAGCGTTCTGTTGTGTCATGTATAGCCGGCATATTCTGAGGCCCTTTTTGTGATACTCTTTTTTTGGTTGGCAGAAAAGTCGAGGTTTATTTTTACGGGCGCTGATACCTGTGATACGGCGTTGCGGTATGAACAATGCATGATTTGCTATTTTGTCGTTTTTGCTTGGTTAGATCGTGGCAGCTTTGATTTTTGCATTGTGTGCCAGTCTCGTTTTTTGTCTCTTCTTAGATCGAGGTGGGAATAAATCATCTTCCAGCCGAGGTTGACAATGATATACTTGCCGAGACTGTGTTACCTATGCAGGTGGAACATTGTTCTCGCAACATACATGTAAGCTGGCTAGCTCCCTTCATACAGGTCAGAAACAGCGAGGACTCCCGTAATCATTGGATCAGTTTCATTGAAACGTTGTAGACACATTATTCCAGGTTATAGATACCTGCTTATGTACTCGCTTTGTTTCTCTACAAGCCATACTGAGGTGTGTGCTGTGTTTGCCTTTTGACAATCTAGGCCATCTATAAAACAGCCCCCATCCTTGCAAAACATCAGCTTTCTTTCTAGTTTCTGTCTGCTCCGACTGTATACGATTACCAGAACGGCCCTCTGCAGGCCCCAACTTCACATAATCCATTTCCACTCCTATATATCCTATGCCGTTATCTAGTCGACGTGAAGAAGACTTGCCATGTCTGCCCTTGGCTCATCCACAGACTCTGTCCACCACAATCAGTGGATTTCTCGGTCCGTCGATCGACCCGAAGGGCGGACTCGAAACTGATACAAAATTAGACTTGTTGGCTAAGTAGGGAGAACAGCTTGAGGGTATTCTAGGGCCAAGTTCTCCTTTCACGCCCGGCCGTATGATGGCAACCATTGTCATGAGTGATCTGTCTTTGAACAGCTAGTTATATACTGCCTTGATGGCACTTCCTTTAAGCCTCGGTGGGGTCCCGGGACAGAGGTTGCTTCTCATTGCCATGTCTCTTCATTCTATCCCGAGAGAAAATTCACACTGATGAACACTACGAGTGTTACACATGTGCCTGAGGCAAAAATACCAATATGTGTCTGCAGAAGGCGTATTCTGGTTGATTTGCCTAGTGGTGCAGGATAAGATTCTTCGCCAAATCTATCGATGAGCTGAAGAGAACACAGTTTCCGTGGTACACGGCATTTGATATTATATAGCAAACATGGGCATCAAATCATGCCCACGCAGCTAAGCAGGAAACAGGCATCTTCATTGCTTCTTCATGGCTGATCAATTCCATCGAAGTTCCCAACAAAAAGGGAGTATATAGATGAACGAAGAGGGGAACGCTAGCTCTTAAAAATATCTCTTCGGCACTCTCGCTTGGTCATGCATGGTTTATGTCAGAACGCTTCAGAGCGAGCTACGTACCTGAATGAAGAGCTTCCCTGGACTTTTACGAAGAGCTCAACAAATACTTCGCGCAGTACGACGACACCAAAAATGTGGCTCCATATGCCTCTGTAGTCAACCAAAGCGGCATCGGAAAATCACAGACGGTTCAATCCCTCGCTATACGGCACGGGCTATACGTCTCTCACACGAGTTTCGCTTCCGCCTGGGCCTTTCCTTCACCGAAGGTCGGCACAGATTGTGCTCAGGTCTAGGCGTCTGTAACCTAGCAGACGACCTTCCACATCCTTGTGGCTATCGCGTCTATGAAGGGTTGGCATTTTCACCATGTGGATATTGCGACTGCTTTCTTACCTGTAGATATCAATGACTTGATCTACGTGGATTTGCCAGAACCGTATGGCCTCTTCTGGCGGAGATTCCCTTGGCTTGGGAATTGAAATGCATTCTAGACTCGGCATAAGTTATGGGCGTCTTGAAGAGCCAATTTATTGGTATTTCGGGGAATTATTGGACATTACAACTCCATCCCCCGGCAGTTTCATGCCAAATACTGCCTTTTTGTGAAGCAAGAGTTATACATGCTTGTTGATGTGGATTACTTGCTCATTCTCTCGCCCTCTCTGAATCGATTGACGGCTCCAAGACTCTTCTTAAGAAGCACTTCGACATCATGGACAAATATGAAGCCACCATTTTTCTTGACATTCTGATCATTAGCTGGGGTTGCGATATTACCTTCCAGGTTTCTCAGCAGTGTTACATCAGAAGTTAACTCGATCGACGCTACCAGGTAACATCACGAAAGGAACGAGCATTATAAAACAACAGAGAGAAAACGCGGCGGCCCACGAGTTCGTTAGTCTGCTCGCCTTTGAAGCAAGCCACGGCCATATCAGGTCGTCGGATGTCGCGTTTTACCTGACGATCTGCTTGCCTGTATCACCCCCCGTTCATCCTCATCATGTGGAATATTTTTCTCCTTGTACTCTTCATGACATGCGATGGAGATTTCCAGGGCAGCGCCCGCCGTCTGCTGATTACTTCGAGGCCTATTTAGTCCTCGCTCTTCTTCCCTCTTCTTTCTTAGAGAGTTCTCACGATAGTTCGCAGTCGATCGATTGTCCCTTTTCCAGCTTCCTTGTGTAGTGGGACCGATTGCCCCATCAACTTGGCCACTCTTCGTTATTTGCCGCATTTCGCTCACGAGGGTGGCCGAACCGAAACGGGCCTTTTCTCGGGCCAGAATCCGGGAGATGACCCTATCACCCTTTATATTACCCGGGACAGGTCCTAGAAGCCATTGGACAAATCTTTGCTGAAGAAAACATCTGCGACTTTATTTCAGATCCTTCTCTTGTGAACTGCCTGCCAGCATTAGAGGGAGGTAAATATCACTATTTCATCGCCTCGTTATGTCTTCAAGCCGGAGACGGCTTCGTCTCCTGGATTGCAGCAAGGATGGCCTGAGGGAATTCCCAATCTACTTAACCGGGGCACAGTATTAATATTACATGTCTTAACAGCTTTCTACACTGCGCATTTTGCTATGGTCGTGGGTTTATACGTGGATCTTCCCAGAAAGGGTTGGACCTTCAATAATGTTCGCAGCGAAGGCTGGCCGCAGTGGAGTTATATGGTCACTTCTTGGGCCATGTGTTATTATATTGTACAGACTTGCGGTTGCAATTGGTAACGAGAATCGTCACCACCTGGATTTAAACCATGAAATCCTTTTACACTGGCAGTATTCCAATGATGATCTTCTAGGCATGATCTATTCAAGAAACCGCATCGAATTCTTATCCAACGTATTGAAAATTGTGCTAAGTACGTCTGCATCATCAACACGACACACCATCAACCCCAATACTTGCGGTTCTTCTCAAAAAACTCCCTCACACTCACGGGCTTCTCGGACAATAACTCGAGACTTTGGGACAAATCAGCCCCAGCATAGTAACCAGGATCCTCAAGCATAACTAGATTCTCATAAATCTCGTCAACCATGTCTGGTGGCAGCGATGCGGCGAGGAAACCCTTGAACATGTCCCCGGGAACAGGGACTACCTTGAGGGGTGTACCGATTACAGCCTCAAAGTCAGCTGCAATTTGTTCGAAGCTGTAATAGTCACTAGCAGCATAAATGACATTCGCCTTCTCCGTTGGAGGGTGTCGAAGAGCAGCCCGAACGAAGTTTCCTTTCATACGTCAGTCATTTAGCAATCAACACACAGATCCCAGAGATTGCTCACCTGTATCAACGCTAGCATCAATAAATGGGGCAATAGTCCCTGGAGAAACAGGTATCGCCATCATGAACGATCCATCCTCTTGCTTTCGAATGAACGAGAACAATTCGCTCATGAAAATACCCGGCATGACAAAACTAGCTGGTATACCGCGCTCGCGAATATACTCCTCAACCTCAGCTTTGCCGTCGAAATGAGTAATGTTGACCAGTCGTCCTTGAGTTGCATTGGCCGCATTAATCAGAGAGGAAAATATCAAGTGCTTCACGCCTGCTGCTTTACAAGCATCTGTGACTACCTTTCCTTGCAGGATTTCAGGCTTGGCGGACATTGATTCCCAGAAATTGGTGACAAGATACACCGCGTGAGCTCCGTCAACTGCTTTGGTGACATCTTCTTGCGATGACATATCTCCCTGTAGAAACAAAGTCAGAAAGTGGCACTCCAAAATAGTATTGAGCAATGCTTGTGCCATACTTTTATTAGCTCAACTCCCTTCTCTGCCAGGGCTTTTGCTTTTGGCTTGCTCAGATCGCGAGTGACGGCTCTGACGCGAAACTCTTTGGATAGCTCTGGATCGGCGAGAATGGTGCGGATAACAGAACCACCTTGGTTACCGGTGGCTCCGAAGACGGTGATCAATTTCGACATGCCGGTTGAGAACAAGAAGCCCGGGTAGAGAATTGTTGTTTTGTATTGGATCGATCATAGTTGCTTGCTGAAGCTGGACAATTTATACTTCTATGTATAGTTGAATTCCTTAGTATACTTGATATGGCTTCCAATCGGGAGAATTCCAACTATTAGACCGAGACGGGGAGTTAATTGTCCCGAGATCGAGGCTAGTGCCACAAGCCTCAAACTTCCCATCGTCTGGGAACGTTTGATTTGATCCATTTTCAAGGTGGTTCAAGCACACGAGGAGCCCGCATTAGAGAACAAGCTAACTAGCCAAGATTGCTTGACTCATAGTGTCCGTAGTCTTGAGCACTTACACGCAGAAAGAAATCCTTCAGGATCAGTTGTGACACGAACCTTTAATCAACGCGTACCACAATAAGCACATTAGTTGGTCGAAGCTTGGCCCCAAGCCTTGACCTATGCGGCTATTCATCGTTATGACGTACCGACTTTACTGTCTAAGCATAATTTTGTGCAATATCGACACAAAGTACAGATGATAAATCGAGAATTCATAATCTACACAAGATTCGAGCAGAGCTCTATGATTGGGGTAGGGATCTAGCTCGCCTATCTCTTATGACGCCAAATCAGGCGTCCAAAGTCGGGAGTTCGGCACACATTTCTAATCACTGGCCTTGCAATCAATACCTTTCCTTAATTTCTTACTTCTGGCTAGATATGAACGTGCAATGAATCCCAGCCAAAGGACAAGATAATTAGACAGAACCCAGCTCGCCTATTAACACGGAGTCGGAGGAGTTAGAAGACAACGGAAAGTAAATGTCGCTGATTTTGGCATATCCAAGCTTATCTGGGGATTTCTAATCGCATCTATGCAAATACAGTCAAGACAACTGAACAGGAAGAACGTCGGGATTGAATTATCTATCGGACCGGCCGGCCTCAACGGAGTACAAAATATAGCCTTGATGTTGTAGAAATGTGTGGAAAAGGTCGAAGTGGGAGACAAGAAAGGGCTGTACAGATTACTCATGCAGAAATCAGTAGACGAATTGCTTTATTGAACGTCCGGCATGCGGACCGCAATGTCGCCTGATTGTGTAATGTAGCGGACCCAGGGGAGGGAGGGGTATTGAAGCTATAAAGAGAGGAGTTAGCCATGAAGTCTCTGTAGGACCAGTAAATAGCGACAGTGAACATACCTTTGGCTCCGTGATCTTCAAGTATCGCACTTGGATACCGGAGGTGGTGAAGTAGGGGATCTCGAACTTGACGTTAATAGGTCGCTTCGCCTTGCCCATTGCGCCAGCTCCGCCCATACTTCCACCAAAGCCGCCAGTCATACCACCGCCATGCTCGTCATCTCCCTTCACGGAGGGAAGACCCAGCTCCGCCCGCATGAGGAACTCCTTGCCACCACCGAACTGCTTGATCTTCCAGATAATCGCCGACTTCTCGGGAGCATAGTGCACAGTTCCGATGTTGGTGCGGAATCGAGGTGAGTCTGCATCTTCGGGGACGGGGACAAGAATTTCAACGTTGTTTGCAGTACTGCGGCGTTTGAATTGAGCTTTGGCCTATATCAAACAACGTGATTAGTCTTGAACTTGCGGAAAGACAGCTTTGAGGGCCAGCCATACCTTCAGCATATACTCAATGCGCGATCCCGAGTGCGACTCCACCAAACACTCCACCCAGATCAGCGGCTTGACCTGTGTATTCAACCGGTAGCTCATAAGTTCGAATTCACCGTCCGGGGGAATAAAGCTGATCGTCCGGTCATTTTCAAACCGTGACAACCGCACACACTGGTGGAATTTGACGTCCTCCATCTCAACAGCCTTGCCCCGCGTGGCCCGGCCTGTCGTCTCGAACATGGCCTTGTCATTCAGACCCAATCGCAACTCGGGCATACCGCTCAGATAACACTTCATTTTAATGGCGCCCAGAATCTCGGATCGCAGGACGTTTCCGTTAGCCGAGACCAGCAGGTTGAGAGACTCGACCACATCCAGGAAGACCTCGTTTTTGCGGTAGCGGATACCTTCGCTTCGCCAGGATACGGCATTCGTGACTGCAATGGGTGGCCGTGCTTGGACCTCGAGCTTGTGTGATTCTTGGGTGATGTATCTGTATGGGTCAAGTTCACGCATGTTAGCCTATCAAGCCCACACCACCTCCACACGTGCCACTTGACAATGACAGCTAGATTTCCACTTACTCTTGCAGGATCTTGCTCTCTGTTGTCTGTGGGTATCCAAAGTCCATCATCTCGTCCAACAGTTCGTAAATGATGACAAAGTTATCCCGAATACTCTCCTCCTCGAGGACCTTGAAGTATTCGGTGAAGACCTCCACAAGCTTGTGGAGGAAGAGGAGGATCTCGGTGGCATTTGTGTTTCGTTTAGTCAAAGCGAGAATGTACAGGTTGCTGTGGCGAATATAAAGGTACTATGATTCGGAAGATCGGTCCGTGTCAGTTCCATGCAGATGCGCACACAAATAAGGAGACAATAAGGAGGGCGGGATGGATCGACAAGCGCGCAGAGAATAGAGTGGGTGGTGGAACATACATTGACACCCTCGTGGGAGAAGCAGGGAGGCACGGCCGGGGATTCTTCTTCGGCTTCGCTGAGGAGGATGGGGAACTTCTCTACCGCGGACATGGGAATATCCCCGCGATAGTTACGGGCCAGAAGGGTCTGGTCGAGGTGTTAGCGCCGTACCCCACGGGAATTGACCAGCAACTGCAGAAACTATAGCTTCCAAAGCGAAACAAGCTGCACAACACACATACCTTGCCCTTCAGGTCCAGGAAGAAGAGGGCCGATGCCATGACGTGTCAATGGGGGGGTGGGAGGAGATGGAGGTGTGTCGTGTTGGGTATCGAAGGCGATTATCTGGTCTTGGGCTCGGAGGTGGGGGAACAACAAATCCGCATGCTGCACCCTACTGCGACATGATCAATGAGAAGGTCGTCGACTGGGAGAGGAAAAGGACAAAGGAGCTGGAGATGAAGCCGAGAGGAGCCAGAGCATCAGCCAGTTTGGTCGAAACACAGCCAAAAGCAAAAGGGCCAAAAGGGCCAGTCGCCCGCAGTTTCGGTGGAGCCCCAGTCCTCCCAAAGAGGACTAGCGTGACTGGCCCAGCCAAATAAAAGTCTCTTCGGCGAAATTTCTCTTCCCTTTTTTCCTTTCTTCTTCAACGCTCTCTATAGACAGTGCAAGCCAGTACAAAGTCATTTTGATTTTCTGCAGCTGCCCGACATTCTGTCGGACTGGCTGTCAGTCTTTTAATTGCTGAATACTTGCGATACAGAGATGCGGAGACTAGGCCTCGTAAAGAGGGTTCCATAAGAACTGACCGTGTATTTTGCTCACTGTTACGCGGACGGTGTCAGAGGAACCGTACATTCATTCTCGGAGGATATACTACTTTTTTATATATCAATTGAGACCATCTTCAAGCGATCAAGTGTGTGGTATTGTGCAATATAGCCAATGAACAGAATAGAAGAGTTAGTTATAATACATGTACAACCGGCCGTGTAGATAAAAGGTGTGTACCCAGGTCCAGTACAGCCTCCAATCACCCTGCCCCAAGCAGAAATATCAAAGAAACAAACGCCGTGAAAATGCTGCGGAGGGTTAATGGTACAATCCAATTCCCCAACCCCGGCAGGCCCGTCCCTTTTACGAGACTGTCTTGAGGCCGAGTGGCTCGAGTATCCGATCCTGCGCCACCTTGTTGGCAATGTGTCCACCCTTCTCCAACGAGACGGCTCCAATGACGGCGTACATGGTGTGCGCCAAAACGAGTTCGAGACCAGAAGCCTTGAGGTCATCAGGCTAAGAGATACAGAAGTTAGCTGGGGTGCTCAGAAAGATGTGAGGCGTAGGGCAATCTCGAACCTTGCGAGGAGTCCACCGGAGGACCTTCTGCATTTCGTATTTTTGCGCCAGCTCGGCGAGCTTGGACCGATCGGTCAGGAAGCTCTTGGTCTCTGGAGAGAGATTTCGGAGGCCATCCAGGGCCGGGTGGGAGAAGGGCGTGCGGCCGTGAGGGTCCGTTGGTGTGGAGGTATTAGTAGCCTCGGGGTTCTGTACCAGCGCAAGAGAGGCCTGCAATTGCACAATACGCTTGCCTGTCCATCCAGTTAGTAACAAGACACCAAATACCGCCCAGAAAGTGTTTCTCCCCATACCGATGAAGGCCAATCGGTCGTTGAAGCCTCGACGTCCTTGATCAAAACTCTTGTGTGTCACGACCAACCACTTCAGCTCGTCAGAGAGGACCTTGTCACCGCCATTGCCCAGCATACGGATATAGAACTGATCCAGCAGAGCAGGATCCGAGTTCACGTGGAAGAATGGGCGCTTCGAGTGCAATCGGAGGCTGAAGGGCGCCTTTGCGCGCGGCGGCGTGTAGGACCATCGGGGCTGGTCTGCCTGGTTGGTCGAGGATTCAGGGTCCGTAGCGAAGGTGCGGCGGGGCACAAGCGTCGCAAGAGGACGAGGAGCCGCCTTGGAGACGGAGCATGCGGTCCTAGCCGCTCGAGTGGACAGATTCGAAGCCATGGGGGTCGGGTTGGTCTGCGGAAGTCGATCGTCGAGTTGGAGGTGTGGAAAGATTTCGGCCTTGGCGGTGTGATACTGCCGCTTCCTTCCAGTTGATGTTTATGGGCCTATGTTGATCTCCAACTAGAGACCAACAATAATCGGAATTATGGTGCAGATGAGATTTTCCGTCAGATAATTTCTTGGACAACTGACAATGCATACTGATTAACCTGTGGATCACCCTGTAATTGAAGACAAATGCATCCCGAGGCGCCCTTCACCGCTGCTGCGCGCGAATGCCGATGCACCTGTTGCCTCAATGTGTGGCTGAAATCGGATCGACTTTGTCACCACTAATGCACTTCTCTGACGGTGACAAAATACCAGGGGCTGCCAAGGAATTTTCATTCGCTGTCAGCGATTCTCAGAATCTCTCGACTCCATGCT